TTGTTCAAATTGCTTTTTCCATCACATTATTAGAGTGAAATTTTAATAAAACAGGTGATAATAGATTTTTCTGAGATTTGCAAAGAATTTATTGAATGTGTGTCTGTGCGTGATAAGCAGATGATTATAAGGTGGTTTTATGATATGATAAGAAGGAGAGTTATTGATTATCTGAAGTGATAATAGTGATATGATATGAAATGTCTACTCAGAATCACTAGGTGAATGCTTGTATGAATTTTTGATAAATTAATTATTATTGAAACGAATCTGCAAATGATAATGGACGATTTGAATAATTAAAATATATTTGTAATTAAATAATTGTAAATAATAATTAAAATAAGTAAAATAAATTTTACAAATGAGGACATGTAAATGTTGATAATTTAATAAGATGAGTGATATTTAGAGAAGAAGTCTTGAAATCTTTTATAAATGAAGTTTGTTAAAATAGCATTAATTAATTAATTAATTAATTAATATGAATAGTTACCTTAACTAATTCCAGGTATCGAGCTCCAGAAATTCTTTTACGTTCCACATCATATAATTCACCAATTGATATCTGGGCTCTTGGCTGCATTATGGCTGAATTATATATGCTTAGGCCATTATTTCCTGGTACTTCAGAATTGGATCAACTTTTTAAAATTATTACAATATTAGGAACACCTAATAAGGTTTTTGTTAACGTTAATTAATTTATATAGTTTAAATTCTATTTATTATAAAATCGTGACATTTTATTAATTAAAAATTTATTGTAATGATTAAAATTTTAAAAGTACTAATTAATTAAGAATGTAAAAAAAAAAAAAAAAAAAGACGAAAAGTGAAATTTTTACGAATATGTAAAGTTTATTATTGTTCTCTTTTCAAATATAAAAAATTTTGAAACAATCTTTAATTTTAGAAAAAGAAAAATTTCACTTAACGTTTCAGAAAAAAAATTGCACTAAATTAATATTCTTAATTAAAATACTCGTACTTAATATAATGAATATAGAAATAAAATGTATTACATATTTAAATACTTAATACAATGAATTATATATTCAAAAAAAAAAAAAGAAAATGAATTATTCATTTATAATCTTTTTTTTGCATCATTGATAATATATTATATTTAAATATTGTGTTTTAAAAAGAAAAAAAAAAATGATTTCTTTTTTTTTAAAATAATATATGAAATGTTAATTTCACAATGATAACTTTTTAATTATAGGATGATTGGCCTGAAGGTTATCAATTAGCTGTAGCAATGAATTTTAAATTTCAACAATGTGTGCCAATACCGTTTGCAACAATTGTAAATTCTGTGGGTGACGATGGTCTTCAATTAATGACCGATATGATGCTTTGGAATCCGGAAAAACGTCCTAGTGCTATTGGTGTTAGTGTTTTGTTTTTTTTTTTTTTTTTTAAACAAAAATATTAAATTATAATTGTGACAAATGGTATAAATAAATTTGAATGTACAAAAATAAATAAATAAATAAAATATATTATTAATATTAAATTTTTTTTTTCCTTTTCTAATTTTCTAATATTTATTTTCAGTCATTAAAATACAAATATTTTTTGGTTGGTGAAAAATTAGGTGCACAAGCAATAAGTCAACCAACGACATCAAATCGTGAAACAAGTGCCAATTCAACATTATCTGATTCATGTATTTTAATTGGTAAAACAAAATTGAAAACGAATAATAATATTTCGGAGACAAAAATTGATATGGGAAAAAATATAAATGCAGAACGAAATATTAATAGGAATTTACCAATTGTAAAGTAAGTAATAATAATAATAATAATAGTAATAATTTAAAATAATTAATTATTCCTAATTAATAATTTAAAATAATTAATTATTCCTAATTAAAACTTTTTTAAAAAGAAAATATTTAAATTATTAATACATTTATTATATTTTATTAATATTAATTATTATAAATTAGAAAATAAAATTTTTTTTTTTTTAGATTATTAGATGAACAACCATCAAAAGATGATACATTATTAGATAAGAATAGTCATACAATTGCTGGTACCATTGTTATGAAAGCTAAATTACCTGCTAAAGAATTGTATATGTCAAAATCAAGATATATGCCTGGTTTATGCTTTTTTTTGTTTTACAAAATAAATTAAAAAATTAATTTAAAAATAATAATTTTAAATTAATTAACATTGTTTGTTTATTAATTCAATTTGGTGCTGTTAGCTTGTTTTATTTTTAATGTTTATTAACTTATCTTTTACAAGATAAATGAAAAATTTATTTTAAATTAATTAAAATGTTTATTTTGTTAAATCAATTTCTATTCTTCAGTACATGCTTTTAATGAATATTAGATTATCTTATGCAAGATAAATAAAAAATAATTTAAAGTTTTTAGATTAAATAGAGAATTATTCGCTTGTTAATTTAACTAAAATCATTCATTTTTTCATTTGTTATTTCTTTTTTCTTTTTTTTTTTTTTTGACTAATTCAAAAATTTTTTTAAATATTTAAAAATATTTAAACATTTCATTTATTTTTAGGTATTACAATAAATCAGATAAATCAACAAAATAACAGTGAGCCAATGAAACGATCAAATTTGAAGCCAAATCCAGCACGATCAGCAGTACAGGCTCGTTTTGAATATGCTTATGGTTGGTAAACTTTCTTTTCTTTTCTTTTTTTTTTTTTTTTTTTTTTTTTCAAGAAATAAATTTAAAAATTTCAAATGATAATTTAAATTCAAAAATTGAATAAAAAAGATATTTAATTATCAAATAAATAAATAAATAACAAATGAGTAAACTAACAATTAACAAAATAAATAAATTACATAATTCTTATCATAATGAAATGTCTTCTTCAAAACAATATAAAGTTAGCTATTAATGAATTTTAATAAAAGATTTTATTTAAATTCATTTAAAGGATATGTTCCATCATTTGGTGTTCGAAAAAATCCATTCAATAATAATAATAATACAAGCACAAAACCATCCGGACGAATTGATTGGACAGCAAAGTAAGTTTAAATTAAATTAAACAAACATATGCATATATTATATTCTTCTTTCTTATCATCTTATTAGTTATTGATAATATTGATTATGATAATGTTTTTATTTACTTAATAATAGGTTAATGATTATTTCAAATTTTAGCTTTTTTTTAAGAAAATGAATTTTTGCTAGAATGTGAAATTGATTAATTTTACAGATATATTCGACATTAACTAATTCGATAGGATGTATATTGTGTCAAATATCATTGGATGCCTTATCAAGTTATATCGAATACTATATTAATTACATTCATTTCATATTTGATAATTTTTTTTTTTTTTTATTGAATGAAAATAAACATTTTAGCAACTTGAAAAAAAGGACAAATTCTATTTAAAAATTAATAAAGTGAAGAAACAATGGGAAAATTCATATTTATAATTGATAAGCTTTAATCTCAATAGTGTAGGAATATTTTTGGAATTAAATTATTAAAAATTGAAGGAACAATTAATTTATTATTATCAATTTTTTTAAATGTATTTAGCATTTTTAGTTCATAGATAAATTGAAGAAAAGAATAGAGAAGGAATCAAAAGTTATCAGTGTATCAGTTTGATAGATAATTTTTTTTAATGATAGTAGCTAAAGTAGCAAACTATACATTTTATGCAAAAAGATATCTTTGTAAAAAAAAAAAAAAACGTGAAATATGAGTAAAAGTTACGTGAAAAACAAGTAAAAGTAATCTGGAAATATATTTTTTATTGGTAATGAAATTTTGTTTCAAAAGAAAGAAATATGTAATAATTGAATCAATCAATATAGAAAAACTGGTAAAATATTGAATAAAGAAATAAATTTTTTAAAAAATTTCAGGTAGAATGGAAATTTTCATTCATAAACATTCAATGAATGCAAAATAATCACTAAATTAAATAATAAGCATTGTTACAAATGTACGTACACGTTCATACACGTAAAATTACTCTACTCTCTCATTTATATAATACTTAATAAAGTATTATTATTTCTATTACTGTTATTCGTATTATTATTAAGAAAGAATCGACAATGAAATAATCTCAAATGTAACTTTCTTTCTGTCCTTTTTTTTTAAAAAAAAAAAAAAAAGACAAAATGAACAATTAAATTATGAGCAAATCAAAAAAATTAACACTTTAAAAGTTTCAAACGAAAAAAAAAAAAGAAAAACACGTGAAGAAATTTGAGAGAATGAGGAAAACAAACAAAATGCAACAGCAAAAATATATGAATTTCAAATGAAAGACATTAAATATTTGATCGAATAATTATAAAATATTTGAAAAAATTTTTTTTTTTTTTTTTTTTTTTAAAGAAATACATTTTTATAAATGATTTCTCATTGGGTCCTTTTTTTTTTTTTTTTTGATTGTAAATATTAAAATTTATACTAAAATTTGTATGCATTATAAATTGATATACCTGAGTTTTAAATTGAAAAGAGTAGATATAATTTATTTTATTTTTAAAGGAATATCAATTGAGTGTAATCTTTTCTTTCTTTCGTTTTTTTCTTCCCACCGAAATTTATACAATTTAAAGTGACAAATATATTTTATTAATTCATATATCGCTGTGCCATATGCAAATTAAGATTAAAATTATACACGAAATAGAAATGAAATGTATAAAAATAATTCTTTTCCTATTATATATGAGGAAATTATTCATAACATTACACATTAATAAGTATGAATTTTTATCGAGATTTAAATATGTTATTAGGAAAAACAAAAAGAGCAAATTATATTAATTGAAAAGAATATCTCCTATGCAGAACTTTTTCTAATACAATATTTTTTAATAGAAACTTAAAAAATTATAAATTTATGAAAAAAAAAATGAGGCACTACAAAATGAAATTCATTACAATCGCTTCTTTTTTTTCTTCCATTTTTATTTTTAAACTATCTTTCATGATTATTTTATCATCAGAAGATATAAATTAGTTGATATGATATTTAGCTGAAATAATTTCTTTCATTTCACGTAGTCGTTGAGCGTAATTTTTCACCTGAAAAAAAAAAAAAAAAATGAATAGATGAGAAAATGGAATTCAAGGTAATTTTGCAAGACTAAAGATGAAAACATAAATTATACCATAAATTTTATTTTCAATGTAATCACTAGGACTATTATTAGAAACAATCTGAAGTGTTTTAAAATGTAAAATCTTCTAAATTAAATGCAAAAAAACTACAATACCGTGACGATAATTATTAAAATAATAAAAAAAAAAATTTACAAGAAATTAAAAACTTACATTAACTGCATTTTCAGTATCCGGAATTCCAAGTGAAATTCGAGCAGCTCGTCTACAGTCCACATCTCTGTCGGAAAGTAACGTTTCAAGACTATGACGTACAATTGATGAGTCACATGAGCCATGAAAAGCGTAACCACCACGTGTTTTTGATAGAGACCGTACGAATGCTAAGCGTACATTTGCTACTGCTAAAAATTTTAATCCTGTATTTATTTTAATTATTTAGAAATTTCTCTATTTGAAATTTGATTTCTCGTAATACTAAATTTCAAATTTAACATCAGAAATTGTACAATTCGTTTTCCTGTATAAATAAATGAAAAAATAAAATAAGAACAATTGAATATATTGTTAAAAATAAACTTACAATCTCCTGCTAGCCTCATTAAATCATTTAATAGCAATAATGAAAATTGATTGTAGTTTAATATTTCATTTTCCAGAATTTTTTCACAAAATACAGCAAATCTAAAAATAATTTCAAATATTTTACTCGATTTTTTTTTTTCTTTCTCCCATGGATTTTATTTATATGATGTAAAGAGGAGATCAAACATGAAATGAAAATTAATCGAAAAAAACAAAACAAAACAAATGAATAACTTACGTTTGTCTTCGTCGCCAATTCATTGATCGAGCAAATCCCTTCACAATATCACTAATAAATGAATCAGTAGTTGACATATTAGTTCGATAGGAGTTAGTATAATCCGAAATCCATTCTTCATTAACAAATTTTCCCAATATTTTTGCTAATAATATAGTTGCCTCTTTACGTACATCTGATATCCTATCTAAAAAAAATGTGACAAATAATCATTTTAATAAATTAGGTAATAATTCTTTCTCTTTTCTTTCATTTTTTCCTCTTTTAAATAATATTAATATATGAAGTGATTAAATGAATGAAAGTTAAACAATGAAGGAAAAATCTACAAATTAGCAATTTTTTTTTTAACTATCAATTTCTCTTTTTTTTTTTTCTTTTTTATAAAAATTAAAAACTAACCATTAGCTAAGGTTAAAGCTATAGCAGCCAAATATTCATTAATGTCATGCACAGTAAAGAGATCACATAGAAGAATACATTGTCTGGAAGATATACTGATTTCAAAAATTATTAAAAAAATTCATAGAAAAAAAAAATAATAAAAGTAAAAATTAACTTTAACGAAGCAATAAATTTATCTAGAAAAAGTAAGGAAAGGTAATACTAGGATTATTAGGATTATTTCAATAAAAGAATTTAAACGGATTTACCTAACGTATTTATATCTGTACCTCCAATTACGTCCATTATCAGCACCGGAATGTAAAAAATTTGGTAATACCGATAACAACTTTTGCCTTGTATCAGGTGTTACTAACTGAAATAAGATAAATATCTTTTTTTTTTTTTTTTTTTGTGTGTTCAATATGGGAATAATATTTAAATAAGCGATTAATATGAACAACGAATAACTAAATTTAACTACTTAATTAATTAACTGATTAAATTAATCAAGACATTGACACTTTCCAAACATTTTACTTGTTGACCTAGTTCCAGTTAACTATTGAATCCCTAATCTATATATGCACAAAAATTTCTAATAATCATAAACTTACTTTAAAAAAATCATACAAATGATTTAATAATCCAATTTTCACATCTTCCACATCTTCCACAAATCGTTCAAATATAGGTACCAAATGAATACCTGCATTTTCTTCCCCAATAATTGCTGCGATTTCGTGAATTGATGTTGCTAACGTATACCGAACACGCCGCTAAAACAATTTGTAAGTTAAAAATAAAAATTTTAATATGACGTTACTTTACTGTTAATATATTTAATAACTAAAAAAATTTATTTTCCTTTTTAAATGATTATTAGCATTAGTTGATAAAGAACAATAAACATTTAAGTCACTAAACTTAAAAATTATCAAAAAAAAAAGAATCTGAAAATTTATTTTTTATATACATCTTTTTTTCCTTTTTTTTTTTTTTTTTTTTTTTTTTTATAACAACAAATGAATTAGTTCTTCTCTACATTCAAAGCAAAAAAGAAACCATTTTAAAAAATAATTAATAGACCTTGAAACTCTAAAAAAAAAAAAGAAAAAAATTTGACCTATATATGACAAATATATATTTATTCAAAATTATAATTTTATAATGAAATCTTGAAATAGAGCATGAAATATATTACTTTCAACTTGAATATATAATTTTGATGGAAAAAAAACTTTGAGATAAAATTACAAAAAAAAGAAATTACTTCCATATCTGTTGATAACTGTTTATAAGTACCCATAATACATGGCCAATTAGTACGACCAAGAGTAAAAGCAACAGCAGGGAAATTATGAGCACATTGCTGATTTATTTCACTATCTGTATTATTACACTGTGAAGCCATATGTACGAAACTATCTAGCAAAGCTTGTGGTATAACCATCTGAAATTTTGTTTTGTTTTAATTGATTTACCTTTAATTGATTTACCCATTAATGATTTGACTTTTAATTAACATTGATAATGTAGCAATCAAATATACAAATAAATCAATAATAACAGTTAAATATATATTAATTATAATGATGATGAGAAGAAAAGTGTAATAAAATGTTAATTTTAAAAGTTGCAAATAAAAATTAATTCATTCAAAAAAAAAAAAAAAGAAAAATCAAACTTGAGTTCCAATATTGATAGCTGATGATGTTGTTTGTTCATTTTCTTTATCTTCAACAGAATCAGTTGATGGATCTGTTTCAAGTAAAACAGCAGTAGCAGTTTTACTTATTTCATTTGATGTTATAACTGATTCATTTGAATCCTCTTCCATAATATTATCATTTTCCGAGTATTTACAAATTACATTTTTTGCATCCTGAAAAAATTTCATTTCAATTTGGCATCTTTTATCGCTTGAATGTAGATCAAATTTAGATATACTAATACTCAAAATATAACATAAAAGATATTGTAATGCAAATAGGAAAAAAAACTTGGAAATTTTATGAAAAATAAAATATATTTTATCTCAGAAATATTCATTTACAAATATACAAATATACCGAGGTAAGTTATTAGCTAATTAATAAATGATGAAATTATTTAATAAAAAATATTAATATTTGCTCTCTTTCGCTTAACATAACAGATTAAATTTTTATAAGTGTCGAAATCAATTTTGAAAAAAAGAAAAAACTCAATAGTTATTCGAGATACACTAACTATTCTGACAACAATAAATTTATAAAAGCAATTGTTACGATTGGAAATGTTAACAAGCTGATGTGACTTTCATAATTTCATTTCATTTCAAATCTAATTGAAACGAACTATTCAATTTACATGTAATATTGATAAATTAAAATGAAAAACTTACATTCTCATTGTGTTCTGATGAATTGTAAAATAAATTTGAACGTCGTTGAATAAATTCAGCTACCAGTTTCTTTACATTATTATTATCTTTATTATTATTATTATTATTGCTGCTGTTACTGTTGCTATTATGATTGGTGATTGCATTGTCCCTGTATGATTTTAAATCAATGTCAACAGAACCTGATGACCAATATATCAGAGGACAGTAAGCATCCATATCATCGTTAATATCCATTTGTGATGGTTCCTCAAAATGGAAAGTTTGATTTTTTTTCTTCTTTTTTTTTGTTAAATTTGTCGTAAAAAAAAAAAAAAAAGTTCCAGTCCTATCTAAATGCAATACTGAAATAATCAAAATGCAATTTGATTTAAAAACTATGATGATAACCCATTCTCTAAATGTATTTCTTGGATAAATTTTTGATACTTCTGAAATTTCTATTACATTTCAAAATTTGCCCAATTTCATTTATTTATTTATTTTTTTGACTACTTAAGAAAAAAAAAAAAAAAACTCATTGTAATGCAATTTGTAAATAAATTTTTCACAACTTTTGCTCCTCTACTTCTCCAAAAGAAATAAAAAAAAAAAGTTTACTTCAAAACAAATTTCTATATCATCATCCTCAATATCCATCGGACATGACTCTTCTTCCATATCATCAATGCCATCATCATCTTCACCACTACTATCATCATTATCATCAAACATCAATTTTGTTAAGTCTGAATGTGTTGAACATGATGCCGCAACACCATTTTCAACATCCAAATCCATACTAAAATAATACGAAAAGAAAAAATTTTATTATAAAAATAGAAATTTAAAGCTATTTTAAGTGAACATTTTTAGTCAATGCAAGAAGACACTTATATTAATCAACAAACTTAATTAATAAAAGTCAAAATAATCACATTAGTTAAATTATATTATTATTACTATCATTCAAAATTATAATAAGAAATATGTTTAAAATAAAAAACTAATACTCATTATCAATCATTGTTAGATATGTATATTAATGATTTGCAGTAGAACCAGTCACTGCCAAATTATGAAAAATAACCAAGCATATAATAATATAATAAAAAATGCTTATTTAAAAAAAGCTAAGAAATATCAATGAAAAAAAACTTACGAATCGAAAATCAGCATGTTATTTGAAGCAATAGGTTCATCTGACATAGGCCATGAACTCCATGATTCCAAAAAACAGGTTAATTCATTTAAAACATAACTGAAATTTCAAAACTAACTCGATATACTACAAAATTTAATCAAACTATGTTGACATTTCCTTATATATATAAAACTGTTTAATGCAATTAGTGTGCCATTAAATCTAATCTCATGTGCCAATTTCAGTTTCTTATTATCAAATAATTACTAAGTACTCCAAAAATGGAGAAATTTTTGAACAGTGTTGAAAGATCAAAAAATATTTCATTTTATTTTCAACGTTTAATTTCAATAATACTAGCTGTAAATACCTTTTTTTTTTTTTTTTTTTAATAGTAAAACCCTCATGAATTTCATCTGTATTTTTTCTTTTCCACTGCCACACTAAGATATGATTGCATTTTGTTACATAATAGAAAGGAAATAATGAAATATTAAGTGGTATTTATAGTAACTAGTATAACTTCAGTAACCTTTGATCCTGATCTTCAGGTGATAATAAAGATGAAGATTCGCCTAACTCAGCACCTGTATCCGATTCCGGAAATACAACACCTGGAGGTAGCTGAGAGTATAGTTCATTTTCATCATCTTCGATAATTATCCCATTACTTTTGCAGTTATTTCGCATACTTTTATCATCTTCCATTATATCATCTAAAAGAAGAAAAAATGAAACTAAAACAATTTCCAAAATTTTGCCAAATTTAAACAAAAGAATGTTTTAAAATAAAATAAAACAAGCAATGAATAGCTAGCTGAAGGAATACGACTAATACTAACGATATATTATATATTATAGGAATTGATTCAAATAAATTTAGAATTTGATTTAAATAAATTTACATCAAATTTAGAAAAAAAGAAGAAATTTTATTTGATCAATATCATTTTGATAATCATATGAATAAATCTCATATTTAGATTAACTAACAACAATCACAAATAATGGTTTAACATAAACTGTACGAACAGGCACGAATATGATAAAATATCATATTTTGAGAGGTAAATAATAAAAATTTCTTAATAGTAATAACTCTAAAAAAAAAAAAAAAAGAAACTAACAATTTGCAGTGACCAATCGACCATCCTTTATTTCAAGGCTCATACGATTTTCATCCGCAAATGTTGCAATAAAGCGACCAAGTTGTTGGAATGCTACATGTGTTACCTGTAAATAACAAAATTTAATACTATTAAATTTGAAAAACTTAATATCATTAACACAACACGAAAAGTTCAATTTCGGACGATTTGTCAATATTTTCTTTAAAAAAATGAAAAGACATGAAATTTATTACTTTATTATTATTATTATAAACAATTACTGTTGCCATCACTATATTATTACTATTAATACTAATATTTTCTTCTTTTTTTTTTTTCATTTTTAGAATGATTTGTTAGTTTCAATATATTTATTTAAAGAATATTTTAAAAAAGTATATTAATGAACAAATAAATTCAATTTTTGCTCAAAATAATTGATAGACAAGTATAATTAAACGAAGTAAAATTATTGTGAAATAAAATAAAAAAATAAAAGGAAACAAAAAAAGAAAGAAATTTACCCATCGTGAAGAATCATGAAGTAAAATAATAAAATGTGGCGCAAGTTTATGTTCTTTTGTTTCCATTGTGCAATAATTTGCAACTTCAACAAACACTTCACATGATGATTTTCGTACACCCCATGCTAGATCTTCACTTGATGCTATTAAAAATGGTACCGCAAACTGTAAAAAAAAAAAAAAAAAATTTCATAAAATTAATGACAAAAGAGAACAAAAAGAATTATCTAAAAATTTGTTGAAAAAAAGCGGAAAAAAAAAAAAGAAATATAAGTAGATAATATTAGATAATAATTGTATATAAAATGCAAAAAGTATGACAATTTTTATCAATTTTTGTTTTCTTTTTTCTTACGAAAAGAAATTTTTTTCTATTATTTTTCATTTTTTTTCATCCTATCTCCAATATTGTTTTTTTTTTCTAATTTTTTATTGACAGAAATATTTTTGAAATATATTTTTAAAAAAAAAGAAATGAGCACAAATAAAATTGCTTATCATCTACCTTCTCGGTGAAATTCCTTCCAAACATTGCCGCCAATTTTCCTAATATTGTTACACATGTCTGAAATTTATGAAATAACTGATAAGTAAAGAAAATAATTGCTAAAAAAAAATCATGTATTTTAAGAAAAATGTTAAATTATTATTTCACAAAAACATAACCAACCCTATCTCATGGAATATGTTAACTTCTCAATTTTATATTTTAAGATTAGCTTTATCCACAACTGAATGGTAAGATGATAAATGATTTAAATATTCAATTATAACTTACATCAGTTATAACGAGATAAAATCTAAATGTAAAGTACTACCAACAAGAATTTCACTAAAACATATTACTTGAACTCAGTCTAATTAACTAAATCCAACCGTTCGCAATGATATAGAGACATACTTGGATTAATTCATTTTATATTATTTCATATATAAAAAGCAAATGCAGTTAAACAATTAAATATTGCTAATATATTTCAATTTCGAATTTATTATTATCAACTTTTGATTTCTCATAATGTTTTCGTTTTTTTTTTTTTTTTTTTGCTTACTATCTTAATTCCTTTATAGCAAGCAATCCACGATAAATTATAATCATATCCTTCTTCACTTCAAATCTTATATGTTGTCATCTATCATTATCACATTATGAAGTTACCTTTCAATCATAGATACTAAATTTTATCTCTGTTGTATAATAGTATGTAATAGTATTGTATAATAGTACTATCATTACTAACTACATTTTTATTATTATTATTATTTTATTAGTATTAATTATCATTATGTCATTGTCATTGCATCAGCATTATTATATCATTATCACTATTATTATTAATTAATTGTTATTATTATCATTACTAATATTATTGTTACTATTATCATTATATCATCATCACTACATCAGCATCATTATCGCTACCATTATTATTACTAATTATTATTATTATTACTGATACTATTAATATCATTATTAGTAATATCGTAATTATTATTGTAATTATTACTATTATTATTATTATAAAAAATGCTTCATGTCTTATCATTATTTATTACTCATCGAACCACCTGTATTACACTTCATTTGATCTTTACGCTAATCTCATGAGTAACCTATTCTCCCTACCATCCATTATTTAATTACTAATTCATCATATCAGCTTTGTTGTGTTAAAATCCCACAACTTGCATTCATTCCCATTCCCCCCTTCCCTCCCCACCACTCCTTCAGCTAATTTTCATTAAATATCACATCCATTCATCTAATGGAACAAATCTTATTAGTGTAATTTGATTAGTTAGACATGCCAATGTTGCTGTTTCAAGTTTATTTATGATTATTTTTCTTTTCTTTGAATGTTCTGAAAAAAATTTCATTCATCATCTATCGTAACCTTATACCATGCATATATTTTCATCAAAAAAAAAAAATAATGAAAAAAAAGTAACCTATAAATTCTGTACATTTCCATTTCTAGCATTAAAGGTTAATCAATTCAAACTGTTAAATATCACTTAATGCAAGTATAAAATCCATAGTTATCATAGATTCAAGTTTACAAATTTATATACTTTAAATTATACAAAACTTACATTAGGACCATATTCTAAACATTCTTCTCTAGCATAATAATTTTGATAGAAATACTGTATTTAAATTGGTTATATTTTATTATCCAGTACAACACGATGAAATTTCATTAAAAATTTTTATGATTACCTAACACATAAACCTATTGCAATTATCCATACTTCATTCTAATTTCATGTCTCCATCTAAAATATATGTCTGTCTAAGCTATCCTAAATTAATTTTAAAAATGAATTAGCATTAATGTAACATAATTTTTTCTTTGCAATAATGATTGATATATTACATTTCATTTATATCTTGCAAAAGTAACTTTCACATTTTGTAATCTCATTTCCATTTTATTTTATTCATTTCTCCTCATATTTATTTCTCTTTTCTTTTTCATTCTTTCTCGTCATTTTCTTTTTCAAGAATTTCACAACTAAAACAATCAAACATTCAGCTAATTCTACCTTTTGCATAATTTTTATTCCTCAAAAAGCTTGCAAAAGCCATCAATACTTACTTCTCTCACTTCTTCAATTTTCATCCATATCAACAATGTAATCATTGTTATTTAACCAAAAGAAAAAAAAGAGTAAGACTCAAAATTACATAAAAACTACTCCCTCAATCACAAGCATAAAAGACACTATCATTATCATTACCTTCACCTCCGCTATCATTATCATTATTATTATTATCATCATCATGACTTGTTATAGTTAACATTTACATGATCATCAACATTATTAACCTCCCTATTATCACTATCATCCTATCTCTATTATCATTATTATCATCATAGAATTAATTTATGGCAAATCATCTTTTTTTTTTTTTTCAGAACCCACTATTTACCATCATGAATTGCTGCTGCTATTCCTCTTTCAAATATTTCACAAATATGTAAATATATCAATGATATCTTTGCATTAGCATTTCTCTCCTCTCTTTCCATTTCTCTCTCTCTCCCTCTCCCTCTCTCTCTCTCAATCAAAATAGTAAATTAATTTAACTAAACACTTAACAAATTATTATCCATAAAATTCATATATATATTATACATTATTACATACATAAAAGTGTGTGTGTGTACTTCCCTTTATCCTTCCTTGTGCTTCATTAAGAGAGAGAGAGAGAGAGAGAGAGAGAGAGAGAGCTAGCTTCTAATATAGTAAGTAGCTCTTCCCTAAATATAAACTCTTTTAAATGAAAATGCAGCAAATTTCGCAAGAACGTGAATTTAGAGATCGGTGAAGTAATTTTATTGCTAAAGCAATCAAGCTAAAGAAGCAATTTCTCCTTATTCTCTTTCACTTTCTCCAACTTTTCAATAATCCTTCTCCTTTCTCCTTTCTTTTGAAAGAAAAATGAATGTTTCGTAATGTATGCTCATATAATTTATGTCATACGTATGTGTGTGTCTGTTAAATTCCTGTTGCAAAATAATGAAACAGTGGCATCAGGGAGTGAATAGCTAGCTTACTACAATGACCTTTGACCGCAGCATCACTTCTTCTACCACCCACACACATACACATACTCTATATATGTTTAATCAGTGAATAGCTAGCTTACTACAATGACCTTTGACCGCAGCATCACTTCTTCTACCACCCACACACATACACATACTCTATATATGTTTAATCAGTGAATAGCTAGCTTACTACAATGACCTTTGACCGCAGCATCACTTCTTCTACCACCCACACACATACACATACTCTATATATGTTTAATCCTTCTCACATCTACTAGAATAATCAACCAAATGCAAGTGAAAATGTTGTTGAAAACCTCTGGTCTTTTTGGCGAAAGCTCAAATTACGAAATGAATCCTACCTATCTATCACCCATATTATCTTTTCTTCCTCCCTCCCTCTCACATTATCCTCATTCTTTCCACAACCTTTTACTCTATGCAACAATAAGTGTAGTACGGTCAATGACAGAGAAATGTCATCATTATATTCACAAAATAACATATAAAATCAGAGACGAATAAACCTTATTCATACAACCTTTCTCTCCCTCTCCCTCTCTCTCTCTCTCTCTCCCTCTCTCTCTCTCTCCCACTCTCTACATGTTGAATTTTATTCTCCTTCCCCTCCTCTCCCTGGATACCAAAATTTCACATCAAATCATATGGTAAGAATGATTCTTTCACCATTAAAAATCTCATCTTTTCCCTCCCTCCCCTCTCTCTCTCTCCAGCCACTTTCGAAATCAGTTTAATTCCAAATACACAATGAAACTTTTCGTATATTTCAGATATACACACACATACACACATGTACATAGACTAAAAAAGTATTCCCGCCTGAATTAATCAATCAAAATTTAAAAAAAAAAAAAAAGAAACCTTCAATGCATACATTACCAAAAAATTTAAATATGACATATTGTAATAAAATAATTTATGAAGATTTCTGATTATAAAATATTCCTATCATTTTAAGTAATAATAGTTCTTATTAAATATATTCCCATTTTTCCTTTTTTTTTAAGTAATTTTTGAGACTCTTTCTTTTCTATTTAATTATTACAAATATATTTTCATTTATGTTTCATTCATCTTAGCACTCTCTTTTTTTTTTTTTTTTTTTCTTTTTCGTTCTTTATTATTAAATTTATTTCAGAAAGAGAAAATAAAAACTTTTAGTATTACTTTTCGGATATGAAATGCTGTATCTTGTAACAGTATGCTATATCTGCCGAGAAAATTTTCGAAAATCCATCTCTTCGTTAATGCTCCTGGCCATGTGACAATTTTGCAGAGAAGCTGAAAACATATAACGAGCATTATATTTAACTCATTTTCTCTCTTTCATTCCTTTTTTTCTCTCTCTTCCTTCTTCTCCCTCTTTGCTTCTCTTCCTTTCTTATTTTCTTTGTTTTCTCATCAAGAATATTTATTGTTGTTAATATTTTAATTATATATGTAAAATTGCAGTGGTGATTTGAAGCAAAAAAAATGATCATATTATTATAAACACAGAAGAATCTCCACCCCTATTAAATGTGTGAATCAAACAACCCTCAAATATGATTTAACACTAACTTTTTAACACTTTTTATTTATTAATTCAAATTATTTTTTCTGAAAAAAAAAAAAAAAAAAAAAAAGCGAACTATTTATACGTTACATAAAAAAAAGTGATTTCAAAATTTTGAAAGACAGAATGATAAATGATAAGGAAAGAAAAAAGTAACAATATTATACAAGAAAATGATCGAATTAATTGCAAATAACAAAATCAAACAAAATGATCGAATTAACAGCAAACAAGAAAACAAAAATAAATTAAAACTCCCTTTTAAAATCAAACTGAATTATATTTTCAATCTACTGACACAATGCACCAGTACACACATTATAATCAAAACACTTTTAATCAGTAACAAATTTAGAAACATTTCACGAAACAAACCACTAATTAATAACTATTAGCACTGGAATGTAACACAATGCACCGAAAATTAAACTGTTCATAAAGTGTTTTTTTTCTCTCCAAATTTTACATTTGAAGTGATAAAAATCACGAAAGCAAATATGGTAGGTTTCGCCAAGTAAGCCACGAAACGCAATTGACGCACTGTCACCATAAAAACATAGGATTAAGCTAAGCTTGCTAATTAGCATGTTGTGATGGGTCGACAAGCGCACAACACATCAAAGCTGGCTGTGATATGAATTTCATTTTGCGACACATCACTGACCACTTTGACGTGTCGGAGAAGTCCTTTTCGATGAATTCTCGAAAAAGAGTAAAGAAATTACCAATTGAAGAGGTGGTATTTGTCTGGGATTTTTTCCAAATGATAAACATAGTAGAATTTTTAGAAATCAATCAATTAATCAACAGAAAACAGCAAACAAAACACTACCAAAAATAAATTTGAAATTTACAATTCAACTTGATACACAACTATAAATATATGATCTACAATGAATTAATCAATCAAAACAAATAAACAACAAATCATAATAACAAGCAACAACAAATAATTCAAAAGAAGGGAAAAAGACGACACATAACTTATTAATTAAGCTACATTCAAAAGTATTTCGTTACATTACGAGTTGAAACTTTATTTAAATATAACAAATTAAACTAGTCGTATTTCACATAGCAAGCATCCTCAAATGCAAATGAATAATGACTAAATCAGCAGCTGCTCGCTTATCAAATCATTCATCTCATATCTTCTCATATTCATAGCATAAGAACCTAATGAGTTACCTGTATCAATTAATCAAATTTAGTGACCCATCATCCACCCTGAATACCTTTCAATCCAAAATTAAACCTATTATAAGAAAATGCTTAATTTATTCAATAATTCTAGCTTCTCTCGAAACAATAAATATCATCATCATATCTCATCCAAGCAAACACTAACTGATCTTTCTGCTCTCATCAATTTCGATGAAGTGAATCGTACGAGCATATAATTTCAACTGTTAACTGACAACAGTTGCAAACGATTTTCGATGTACCATTACACATATCTCGTGTCTCTCTAATAAATCTCCTTTTCCTAACAGGAAAAACCTGAAAATTCAAGTCAAACAAATCTACACAAATCACAAATGCACATTATACATGTAATAAAATTACTCGCCGTATCATACAAAAGAAAAAATTAAAGAGGAAGAAAATCATGATCTTATCATAATTGAAAGAAATATACGCATGTAAAAAAGGGATCGCGAAGGAAAATCATCTTTCTTATATGTCATCAAAATTTTGAATAAAAATTCAAAAAAATGAAAAAAAAAAGACGAAGATGCATCAAAAATATGAAGGAAAATTTCTTAATAAGGATGAAAGGAAATAATTTTGCAAAAAAAAAAAGAAAGGAAAAAATGATTCTGCTTATGTTGAACGAGAATGATACATCTCAGATTGAGCAAAAAAAAAAACTTCAGACATTCTTTAGCAAACTTATATAACTACTACGATACACAGACACATACATACACCCATGCTCACATGTACATAAACAATTTCCCTTACGATAATAAATATCCTCGTACTTCAACTCTCATCTTCACCCTATCCCCGCTTTCCTCCCCCCTCCACCTAATAAAGAACAACACCTCAACATTTGCACTTCATAGTTTTTCCTCATTTTTTCTTGAAACAAAAACAAAACTATTGGGAGTGCTTAGCGATCTCCATTTCATTTATATATACCCACACACACATACATACACATATGTATACCGGTTGAATACTAAACCCTAACTATCAGTACCAATGATTACAAATGGAAATGAAAATAGAAGCAAACGGAAGAAAAAAAAAAAAAAAAACGACGGGAAGGGAAGCGATAGGAAGGGACGGGTAAAAGAAAGGAGGGAAAGAGAGAAAGAGAAGGAGGAGAAGGAAATGAAGCGCCATTTGCTTCAGGGACACCTGTCATACCCTTTCTATCCCATACTCTTAAAAGCAGCTGTGAAATGGAAGGGACTGTTGCTCTCCCATGAAGCTTTCCTTCTTCTTCCCTCATTTCTACCTTTTCTCATACTACCCGTACTACTACTACTTCTACTTTTACTATCACTACAATTACCGCCACTACAGCTATCCTTACCGGATCACACACACACATATATATATATACATATTTGCGCTGCACATATGACAGTCTTAAATAACGGTAAAAAGAAACAATGCCTTTGTCTTCTCCTGCAGTTTATATTTTATTTTACGCTCCCTCTTCCTAACCTCTTATTTCCCATTCATTTCTATTGTTACATACATAAATCTTTAAATAAATGCACAGCAATCGTGTTACCCAACAAATACCATACATATTCACATTATCATTCATTACACATACATGCATACTCTTAAATCTTTCTCAATATGCACTTTTTGATGCTAAATGGCAATATTCCTATCTGCTACTTTACTTTACCCTTACCCAAATAAAATACCTAACAACAATATTGAAAATTTTTATGTTAATGATTATGCACTATTATAGGAGAAAGGTAAGCAATAGGAAGCACATTTATGCTGCTATTTTTTTCTCTTCTTCTCTTCTTTTCTAAACAACAATTTCCTTTATTCAAGGTGAACAAAAAAAGAAAGCCCAGAGACGAGATAAAATGAAAAGTTATGAATATTATTATATCATTATCATTTTGGTACCTAAATTTCTAAAATTCTCGATCAAAAATCCTATTGAAAAAGAAAGAATTGGTATTAGAAAGTTATTCGTATCAATTTTTCACTAATATACAAGGTCATCACTTTTCCTTATCATTTGCTATACTACAATTATCACTAATTGCTGCCACCACCACCCAACACTATTATCTCAATCAATAAAAGAAAGATTCGCTGCAAATGATGTTACCAGTTACAATTATCAAATTATCCTTCAAATCATCTAAACATGTAAAACAAATTAAAGTAAAAATTAAAATGCATTAGGCAATTCTTTTCCTTCCAAATCAAAAGAAAAAAAGATGAAAAGGCGCGCCGACAGTTTTGCCTACATCAACTATATCACTTACAAGTTGTTCCTCTAAAATATATTTTTATTTACTGTTTCAATCACATTTGCATGTTCCAATTTTCCTCTAAAAAAACCCAAATTGAAAGATATTCAGATGGAGAGCTAACTAACACCATAATTAAATCCTATTTTATTAGAAATAAGATAGTAATTTCAATCTACAATTAATCACCATTTCAGTTATCCAAAAAAAAGAAAAAGGAAAATACTTAACTAACATGATACAGGGAATTTTTTTAAATAAGATTTTCGGAGTACTCTTGTAACTAATACATCCACTAATGATCCACTGTAGAGATCATGTCAGTTATTTAATGTCAATTTGCAATTTGGGAATTCTGGTCCTATTCATTTTTCAATAGCCAGCTATTGTTAGCAGCCAAAACAACTGCTGCACCATATATTGCAAAATTATTCTTCATAAAATTAGATAAATATTATATACACATATGATAATAACTTCAGCTTCAAAACTATTTTTCTTAGTGGTAGTAGTAAGTAGTCATATTTCTCCTATATTCAAAATATTATCTTCAACCCTGAAGTTATCATCTAAACAATAGAATAGCAGTATGAGTACATTTCAACTGTTATTTCATTTAGCAAAATTATTAACTAGAATAAAAAAGAATACAAAATGCATAAAAAAGAAAAAAAAAAGCACCAAAATTCCAACTTCTCCATTGACCGAATTTGCCTTTTAATAATCCAGAAAACAATTTCATCAGTATTGGTACTGATAACGCAACTTGGTAGTACCACACAGCATTTTCGTGGTGATAACAGTTTTCTTCTTTTTGCGACAAAATAAGATTGCAGTAAATATCAATCCACTGAGCATGTATCCATATGTATACATAAGTAGCCATTTTTTCGCCAAAAAAATGAGAATTGTCGACCGGAATTATTCAGGACGAATTTATGGTACAGAGGAAGGGGGGAAAAAAACGGATAATTGCAAGAAGGGGGCGTCGCCGTGATACGAGGCGAAAAACAGAATAGTGATACGACCTTGAAATTCTAACGTCTCACTACCCATGTCTTTCACCACCGACACACAGCATGCTCCAGGAGGTATAGATTTCTTTCTTCCGGTACACGCAACTATCAAATTACACCCCTTAAGGATGCCTTCTATAAATTAAATTTCAAAGCAGAATTTAACATTGAGCACTTCCCTTTAACATTTTCTAGACATCATCCACCTGAATCTTAAATTGTGGCTGTACTCCAGAAAACTTGCCTGACGATGCAAAAGAGAAAAAAAAGAAGTGCTGCACCTCTCAGAAACAAACACAAAGAGCATTGTAAGACACTAAAACTAGTCATGTAGGAGTGTAATTTGATTAGGTGCTTCTGGAACTTGTACAATAACACATACATATGCATACATACAGGAGATGACAAAAATACTTTTTTTAACATCGAAAGTGAATCCTAATTTTTCCGTAAAGTTCCGCATGCTTTTAAAGTTTTTAAATTTCCAAAGAGTTTAAAAATCTTAAAATATTACACGTCTAAGTAGACACATGACACATGGTAATAGCAGTAAGACTAAAAATCGAAGAGTTGATAGGATTCACATTCACTTTACAGAGAATCATTACAATATAACTCATGAGCAATCTAAAAAGTAAACATCGAGCAGCGAAAGAAAAGTAATCCAGAATCGCTTAGATATTTTAAAATAAGCAAAAACATATTCCATCAGATATTTATCCCTCTGCAGCCGCTATGTGATCTTACCAGATTATTCTAAATGTGCCAAGAGCATGAATCAACAATGAATTTAAAAATAGCTTAAGCTATGTAAAATGATTTAAACTATCATAGCCTGATGCTGCAAATAGGACCAAATGTAAATGAATGAAACCCAAAGGATTAAAACAACTCTGGAAAATATCCCCTCAATGATGAAGCACTGCTCGATATTTAAAAAATATAAACTATGGACGACATTCGTAACATATAAGGTGAATTAAAACACAAATACATAAACATACACAAAAAGAAAATAAGAAATTAGGAAAAGTTTGCAAAATGTCACACATTACGTTCATATTCCAAATCCTAAACATACTCTTTCACTAAATCTCTTTCACTTTAATAAAATAGGTATGGAATATGTGTGAGATGATAAATGAGAAACTAACCATTAACGAATCCACTCGTTGATCATCGGTAATGTAATGCGAATAATCTGATGGGCAATAGCAATGCCCAAACAATGTAGGGCAAATCACATTTTGTAAGCTTCCTGAAAGACTTAACGCTAAATATAAATTATGAGTGTTACTTAATCTTAACTGTATTCTCCTTAAACCTTATGCACTAATAATCTCTAAAAAATCAATGGTACTGCAAATATAATCAAGCATACTGCATAGTGCTTTTTTCTAAGTGAAAGAGAAAGCTAATGAGGAATGATACATTGACAAATACAACGACAAATCAATTTCACCAATTAATTAAATACATCGAAATTGAAATGATGAGAAAAAATGGAACAAAATTTAAAATACAGTATAAAGAAACAGTACCATGAAATACTTATATGAGATATCAGGTATGAACCTTAAGCTAACAATCAATAAACCGACAAACAATATATGCAATTGACAAATTGAATACAACATTGATATGATAATATTACTACCAACAATGTATACAGAGTAAAAGTTAGGCAGCAATAAGATACGATAATCACTGTGCAACAATGATAGAAAGGGGTGGGAAAAAAGAAAAAAAAAGTGACCCAACAAATAACGACCTATCGCGCTCAAATGAAATGAAGAAAACGATGTAGGTATGTGTCTGTCTGTGTGTGTGTTTTATGTTATTGTGCGGGTGATTTGTTGGGTAATGATGATGGCAACACAGAAAGCTGAGGGTTTGATAGAAGAAGAGTAATGGACCAGATCGAAAATCTTGCCACAGCTGTTCAATTCAATTCAGCTGAGTTGAGTTGACTGAGTTGAGTTTGTTGAGTTGACAAATAGAGGGAAGAAGGATTACTGTCAAATAAATTCTCTCATATCAATATTAGAAAGTTATAATAAAAAAGGAACTGTAACTGAGATGATGAATGGATTAAAAGAGAGAGAGGTCACAGTGTGATAAAGAGAAAAGAGGACTAAACAGAAATACTTGTATGATAGCATTTAAAAGAGAGACAGAGAGAGGGACAGAAAGAGAAAATGAAAAAAAAGGTCAAGTAAATAATGAATAAAAGAGAAGGAAATAGTGACGAACTTGAAGACTTGAGACAAAATTTTTTATTTCATTGCCTATCCAAAATCATCTACCTCCCTCTCTCCCTCCTCTCCTCTACCTATCCTATATTACTGGTGATCGTTTACATATGCAATGCATACAGAATGCATTTAGTTAAGCTGCCAAATAACCCCTGCAAGTAAGCAGCAGCAGCAGCAGCAGTTAAAGCGCGACAAGTTCAGGGACTTTCCGCACGAGCAAACTACTCACTCCATCACCATTACCATCATTACCCACAACCATTACCCAACACCATCACCCACTACCGCTACCCATCATCACCACCACCACTACCACCAGTGATACCAGCAATACCATCAAGACCATCAGCATCAGCATCAGCACCACTATCACCACCGCCACAATCACTCTCTCTTTCACTGCTGACTGAGCAGCATGACCCTCCTCCTCCTCCTCCTCCTCCTTCCCTCCTTCTCCTCTTCTCCCTCCTCCTCCCCCTCCTTCTCCATCTCCCAGTTAGTTTTTTTCTTATGTCTGTCGAATGATATAATAACATGATGCTTGACTAGTAGTAACTTAAGTATAATCAACTAAGGCGGAGCTCATTTCTTTTTCCACCTTATCTCTAACTCATTTCATAATAGATGTTTCCCATCCCATACTCTCATTCTCCTCCACATCTACTTCTCATGAACCTCATGCAAAAAAGACACCGGTAATGAAGGAGAGAGTGAAAGTTTATTTGCTTGAAAAAAAGATAACATACTAAATGATAAGGTGAAAAAGAAGAAAATGAAATGATGAAGACAGTTTGGTGAGAGAAAGAAGATATAGTTGGCATTTATACCCCCTCTTATAAAGGGAAGAAAAAAAGAAAAAAACATTGCTCACACAAAGAATATAGCAACCCTCTTATTCTTACTCACATGCTCTGCTACTCTTATAATCATTGCAATTCTTTTTCCCTCACTCATCATTGCAGAAATTAATTCTAGTTATTTTCAGTAAGCATTCTCCTCCTTCTCTCTTCTTCTTCTTCTCTTTCTCTCTTCCTCCCTCCCTCTCTCTCTCTCTCATTGCCATCGATTGGTTAGTTGCGCGTGAGTTGGCATAACAACGACAATTTCGCAAAAAAAAAAAAAAATTATAGAAACATCACACAGTAGCAATGAAATAATAAAAGCATAGCAAACTAATGCTAATAGCAACTTAACACACGTTAGAAATAATACACGTACGTGTGCAGTCAAGGATAACACGTATCACTACGAAATACAAGTCTATCACGTTTGCAATGAAAAGTATCACTCTACCCTACCAGTCTGTCAGCCTTTCAGCATATTAATACCTCAAAAAATGCTCTTCCAATGTTTTCTTTCCTTCGTTCCTCTTTTTTCCCACTTCTTATTTGTTTAAATTCAACACTCTATTTCATTTCAACTATTACTTCATTCTTATTTATACCTCTCTCTCTCTCTCTCTCTCTCTCTCTCCTACTCCTCATTACTACAGTACTTATCCAATTTGCAAATCTATTATACCATATGTTTCTACAAAAATACATACTTTATTCTACTCTTTTTGTTTTTGATATGGTTCACTTATGCTTGTTAATGCTAAGCTTATTAATTGAATTTAAAAAATGTTGTCACATTTTTTAAAAAATTAGCTCTTGTCATTTAAAAAAAAAAATTTCCTCTTGTATAACCAAAGATTAAATATTAATACCCACATATATAAATAGATAGATTTGACTGTAAGGATACAGCAAAACTTGTTTCAACAAACAAAAAGAAAAAAAAAAAAACGATATAATCTTACTTCCTCTGATCAATCATTTCATGATTATATATAATTCCTGACATAAATACATATATATACCCATCACATAACTCATTTACACATCCCAATGTTTCAATGTTGTACACTACTACTACACATATATAGTAGTTACCACCTCCTCCCTCTCCCCCCCCCCGTCTCTCATCCTCCCCTGAAGTTGATCTATGATCAAATAGCTTACTGATCAAACAACACTGCTAATCGCATGGTTAGCATATTTTAAGTTTGCTTGGAACAATTTGACACTCCCCGAAAACGTCGAACAATGAAACGATGATGATGCAACACATACCCACACGCATACACAGCATACACACACACAAGAATTTGCTCGTAAAATTTTAATCTTTTTGTTCTCGATAAAATAATTGCAAGAAAATATTCAAACTGATTATTTTACGATAAATCATCCATACATATCCATATTTATATAAATACATACACACATGTATATATATACAAAAAGAAAGAAATGCTTAACTCTTAAAAACTTAAAATACAATGTCCTTTCTCCAAAGTACCTCTAATATACTTTACCTCACAATAACTTTTAACTTCAAAAGAAAAAAACAAAAAACAAAAAAACGGGAAACATGCCAAGCAATGATTTATTCAATTCCTTTCGGTTTTCTCTATCTTCTCAATTTTGATTTATTCTTTTTTTTTCTTTTTGGAAAGAAAAAAAAAAAAACTGGAAGAGAATAAAGAAAACAATGAATGAAAATACGATGCTATCTTCCTGCTCGTAAAAAAAGAAAAAAAAAATTAAATCCCAAGAAAAAAAAAAGAAATTTTTTTCTACCACTAAAATAAAAAAAGGCAATATTTATATCGTGAGTATAATGGCGTCGAGACCTCACACAAAGCATCACTGCTGCTTCCTATTGCTTCATACGATTAAATGGGTAAACAAAAAAACTAAAAAGCATTTTTGAGAATTAAAACAAAAGTATAAAAAAAAAAACCCAATGGAATTTTATATATATATATATATATATGCATGCAAATATAGTTCTTTAAAATTTCTTGTTACCAGCATTACCATAAAAGAAAATGAACGAAAAGCCCATATTGTTTATTTGTCGAATAATAATAATAATAATAATAATAATGAAATGACTCCTATGAAATTTATCTTAGTTGAATAATGAAGAAAGCATGATAGCAATGTACCAGCAAACCCTTTCAGGATATCACGAAGCATATTTGTCCAATTATTTGTGAAATCGTACTATAGTATCCTTATTTACTTACCTAATTAAGTAAAAAAACGAAAAAAACACTTCCATATTTTCTCTAATCGTTAATATGAGAAAACAGAACAAAGATGAAATTATTTAAAACGATTACCTAATTTAAAATATCTTTCCATATGAATCAACTTACAGTAAATCAACTAAAAAAGTATACACTACAATTTACTCGATTTACTATTATTCTACTATTCATGCATATTACTGATGCCACTTTTTCCTCATCTAGAAACCTCTAAATGTTAAAATATAGACATTTTCAGCAATATAATTTACTGAATAAATAGAAGACTACGAGAGAAATATAATTAGCCTAGTAGAAGAGACAAACAAGAAACAACAAGCAACCAACAACATAATAAATGGAAATATCTAATCCATTATTCAAAGCAGCAATCAATCATCAACAAGGGAAAAACCTACAAGTTTTCTCACTATCACTATCACTATCGAACAGTCTACAATTTTTATCTGATATAAATTTACATATGTTTAACTTTAAAATCTATCACGCAAAAAAAAAAAAAAAAAGAAAAACATACCTTGCGGCAGTATACGTTGCTCAACCAAAGTATCAATAGCACCAATTGCCGATTTACGTACCTAAAATCAACTAGAAATTATTTAGTTTTTTTTTTTTTTTTAATTCATCATTCGATCAGATAATTTAACCATGAAAGAAAAAAAAAGTAACAGAACGATAATCTGAAGAGAAAAAAAAGCCAAAACATCAATAATGGCTTATAGTGTTATTCCTCCACATTTTTCTTTTTGCTAAACCATTAAACAGGTTAATGCATGTGTTTCTCCAATCACATTCCCCAAATGTTTTTCACTTATCTAAGATTGATTATTGCAGATGTTGCAACAATAAACAATCATAAATAATACAATAACAATAAAGCAAAATACGACAAATTTTATAAAGAAATATACCAATAAGTTTATACCAAAGAAAAGTTAACACTTAATGAAACAATACATCAAACACCGTGTTAACATGTATTCATATGAAGATGTGAAAAATAATAATATGTGATTATCGAGAGCTAATCAACTTCATCTATCTAATATCGATTTAATATCCGTTTTATGAACGAAAACAACACATGTCATTTAACTGTAGCTTCTTCATATCATCTGTTCATTACATAAATAAAAATTCTTTTTGATTGAAAGAAATCAAGAGAAAAATAAAAATTAAACAAATCATCTGGAAAAAAACTTTTTTTCTTTCGATAAATAAAAAGAGAAACAAGCTTCGATTTTTAAAATATTATAAACACTAACAATATGATTATACATATATATATGATGTTTTCATTAAGTAAACTAAAATCGGTTGAATGGAATGTAGAATAAAATAATGAAACCACTTTATACCTACTAAATTGAATTTTGATTTCAGTAAAAATTATTTTACCGTCCTACGATATCCACAAATCGTTTAATGAAAATCTTTGTTTAGGATTATTTTTTGCACAATTTCGAAAAATAAGGCAGCTAAGTGAGTATATACAGGAAAGCAAAAATTTTCAATCCATTCATGTAATATAATCCTATTCCTCACATAATCTTGGTTATTAATGAGAACATATTTGCAGGATAAATACTTCTAATAGAATCAAATTTTCTTGAAGTTCCTTTATTGTTTTCAAATCAATCACATTTTAAAATTAGCTTTCAGAACTTGAAGTAGATAGATATTGTTTCTTGAACTTTGTTCCTTGAACTAAATTCCCTAGCATAAATTGCCCTAATGCACTATATGTACCCATCCATATATAACATTATATTGCCTTAATCGAAAGAATTCTTCAAAATATTATTAACAAAGATTTTAACATTCTAAACCGTTCTATGTTACTCTGAGTTCCTCTGAAAAACTATCAAAAAAGACATCGCTTCCTACTTATCTTTGCATATCATATTACTTATAGAATACTTAGACATTTCCATGCAATATTTTGTAAGTATCACACGGCTTAAGACATTTGATTCTAAAGAATGTTAATATTTCTCCTATTTCTTCTCATCACATCTGGCATGAAATAGAAATAGAAAATGCGATCGATACATTGCTAATTTGATGTGACAAAATTCTTCTTGCCCTCTCAACAAATCCAACGATGGATAAAATCTCCTTGATTGCTAAATAGCGCTTACTTACTCTCAAATAAACATTTGTATTTTTTAACTAGTATTTTTTTCAAAAATTTTTTCTCACAAAAATTTGAAAAGATGTTTGATTAAATGTTCCTGTTAAAAGTGATAACAAAATTAACGTTTGACGAAATGAATGAAGTTTCAAAATTTCTTGTTTCATTTCAGTGAATTATTATAATCTTTATGACTGACAGAGTTAGAAGAAGTTATCAAAGAAAAAAATTAGAATTTAATTTGCCTATGATTGACCAATATCTACAACCACTTCATCGTGTGCCATCATCGGCGCCTATCGCCGATACGAATACTCATATGCATATCATTTTATGATGCCAATTCTCACTGCTTGTTATCAGTAATTTCATATGTTTGTTTCTTTTTTTCTTAAGATTATAACACATTCATTCCATCATTTTCGAAATCCCGTCCTTGATTTCTGGATTATTTCTCCTTGGTTATCCAGAGAAACCAATAAATGAGAAAAGGACAGTTGTGGTTGACTGATTCTCTCTTCTCTATCTTTTTCAAGGTCAGAAAAATCTATTGCTGATGTTGTTGGCGCTTTTTGCTTGAAGAGCTTTTACAACAGAACAGCACAATTCAATTCGATCACTTAAAAAAAACGGCCCACAAAAAGGACAAAAAAAAAAAAGGAAAAAAAATTTAAGTCATTGCAGCGAAACGAACGGGAAGACAACGAGGAAAAAAGAAACGAAAAAAAAAAATGCAAAAATATATGATTGTGAAGAGCAATTTCTCCCTCCTTCTCATTACGCATCTGTCATTTTCCCGCAGGGATCCCCTTTGCAAGGATGAAAATTATTAAATATTCAAAACATAGTCTAACCGATAGGTGAACTGACAAAAAATATTTGATAGCTTATGTAACAAAATTTTTTTAGGAAGGTAAATATATACGTGTCCAATGTTATTAATATCACTTAGACAATCACAGTGATCCAGATGAACTACAACAAAACAAGACTGATCTGTTGTGAACTAATTTTTTAAAAGTTTCTAAAACTAATATTTTAGCAACTCCAGTTAATGTGTGAAAAATGGAAGTATTTTAGTTTGCGGATACCAACAGAAACAAAAGTGTTCGATAAAACTGCAGCTAAATTCAAAACTGAGTCAAACATTTCAAGCTTCCATAGCTCTCCAATCCTATTTGGATTAGCTATGCATAGTTTGAATAAATGAATGAACTTACTGAAGTCAAAAAATAAAAATTTCGGTTACATAAAACGGCAATTCAATCTAGATGTTTTAATTCCAATCAACTAAAGAAATAATTGCAGTTTTCCCTTTCTTTCGCAAGAGTCAATAAAACGAGTCAATCAATGAAATCTCTTAAAATAATTTCAGCAAAGACAGACACATCTTCCAAAAAAAAAAAAGGAAAAAAAAAAAGGAAAACATTTTGTGCTGATTGCACTGTAAAGAGAACGACATTAAAACCTGTTGCCATTATTACAAACTACTGATCTTGAAAGCAAACAAGAACCTGTTTACTTTTTGAGAACAGCCTACTTCCTACAGTACTGTCGCAAAAAAAAATAGTTTGGGTAAGTTTTGGAATAATCATCAACCACCAAAAATGTTTTAAAAAGATAATCGAATAGTATAACAGAAGACAAAAAAAAATAAGTGGAAAAAGAAAGAAAAATGAGTTTCAAAAAAATTTCTTACAACGAAAAAAAGGAACCGACAAGTCTACCAAAAACAGTAATGTAATAAAAAATATGTTATAACGAATTCATATCTCGAAGAAATACCGTTCTTTAGTTATTAGTCCTAAAATAAGCTACAAAACATAAGTGACTTATGAAAACCACTTACATCATCCGCAGAATGATCCAAAGCACTTGCTAGTAATTCTGGGAATACTTTATGAACCCTTTTCAGCAGGTGTTCTATTGCCATAAATTCAACATATAATAAAGGAATCTGCTCCACTAACATACCACATATTTTACTATCTGCAATTCAGAGAAGAAAAAAATTCAATGGAACTTCTTTAGCTTCTATAATAATAAAAAAAAAAAAAAAAAAACCTAGCTCACCAAACTTTTTTCTACATGTAATAAATTTAAGCAATTCTAAAATAAGCATCTTAGCATTCCATCTGTCCTTTATTACGATCAATAATTAAAAAGAAGAAATTCGCCTGAATACAAACAAATTCCTTAATTCACCTAATAATATTCATACTTATGCCACTTCTAATTCAACTATTTATTGTAAAATGACTTAGCCAGCACAACTTCAACACTACAAACTGAAGTAAATTTTGATAGATGGAATAAGCCCTTATCTTACTAATAAATGGACCAAACATATACAGCACTGCTGTAATCGAGTATAATATTAACTTTAATATTTCACGTCTCTATAATCAATTTAGCTATTAAATTAACTTCCAGAATAATAAGGTCGTCCATTTAATATGGAATTAGACTGGTATAAGATTGGTGAATTCCAATCCACGTTCATGATAAATATAGGTAAATATTTTCAGAAAATCCACTTTAAGATAACAAAATCACTTTTTGAATTACTATAAAAATACCTGTTTCTTTAGCAAAGATATTTTCAATCAGATTAAAGACAACTTCAATCTGCCGTTGCTCTTTTTCGATGTTCAGCGTTCGTGACAATTTCACCAGGTCACGGATTGCAATTTTCCTGAAAAAGTTTCTAGTTTAAACAAGAAATTCAGATGACATGTTTAAAGCTCAGGTGACAAAATACATTATTCAGTTGAGTCAAACTGGAAATTTTAAGTGTCAACTTATTTGTGACCATAAACAGGAAGATTTCTTCCAATACTCAAAAAAACAAACTATTTAACGATCCTCAAACATATCAAGAATGCTATTATCTATGTGAGACAGCGCAGACTTGCTATAATGTCAAGCTAATAATATAATGTCAAACTAGGTTATCAGAACAATTCTGTATCAAAAAATAATGCAGCTTGTTTCAAAATTGAAAGAATTTTTTCTTTTTGAAGCTTTCAACTACAAAAGGAATTTCAACACTTAATTAAAAACTTATTTATAAGTGCCAAAAATGAAAAAAACTCACCTATCTGATGAATTCTCGCTTCGTGCATATAATAAAAAGGTGTCGTAGTGAAGCATTTCAGTACTTTCTGTTTCCATTTCTGAAAATATTGAAAAGTTCTAGCTAGAAATTCATGGAACACAATAGGTAAAGTACTGGTATTAAAAATTAAAAAAAAATTACCTACAATTATCTGAGTAATAAAAGCAAAACTTTCAAATAAATGCCGTACCACACATATACAACCAACCTTCGTTGAATTCCCTGAATTCATTTTCGCTATATTCAATAACCATTTCGGACAATTCAACAGCTGCAAATAAAAAATCTTCCTCACTGAACCTATATTTATAGTTGTTAGAATTTTCGAAACTATATAAATCTTACCATAGCCGAAATGAAAATTCAATTTAATGCAGTGAATTTTGCAGCGATTGTTTCACACAACCAGCTGTGTTTCATAGGATTTTTCAACTTAAAAAGACTTTACCAAATAAATTTTTGAATAAAAAAAATAAATGCATTCTGCTAGTCGTCAAAAATGCATAAATCCAACAGAGAATACAAATTGCATGCTTTTTGAGACGAATTAAATCTTCTTGATAATTCCGAAAGCTTAAATAATCCTTCAGAAAAGTTATGCCTAACATTATGTTTGTTAACATGATATTTCATTAAACAATAATATCACTATTTTAAAAGACTTACCTGAAGTGGTAAAATCGTTAAAATTAATCATTGCCATTATTATTTTGTTGTTTGAAATTATAATTTATAAAGAAGAAAAAAATGCCCTATTGTCCACATATAATAATAGATTGACTCTGAAAAAAACATGGAAATTAAAAAAGAAATAATCGATTAAAATATATTTCACCATAAATATATAAGTTTTAACTTATAAATATTTGCTGAATGTATAGGAATTACCTAAAAAAAAAAAAAGATAGTTATTAAATAAAAGCACCCGATATATCATGATAAATAAATTTTATACTTACTGCATTCTTCCAAACAATTCATAAATCTAACATTCCCATATTTATTCATAAGCTCTCATCAAAGAAACCCATACTTACCCGCTTCTGTTCCCCCCGCCTTCCGTTACCCAGAAAATCCCAAACAAATGGTACGGGAAAAAAAAAGAAAATTCATATAAAGTTCGTACATACGGAATGTTACATACATTTGAGCATAAATCGAACACGGATGAATGGGTGAATGAATGAGTTGCATAAAAAAATAGAAATTGAAATTAAATTTATTAATGAAATTTTCTTGTTGGTCTTTTATATAATAAATTAATTTAATTTACAAATATTTAGCATTCATTTCATATTATTTCATTCATTAAAGAATGAGTAATTAGAACGAAATTGATAAAATCTTTTGTACTTTTTTTACTGTTATTAATTTGATTATTGAGAAAATTACTGATAAGATAAGTAATAAATTAATCAGATTTAATTGATTTTATAACTTGGATATCATTTATAATTATCATCATACTTGTGATAATCTATCATTAATTTTAGACGGATTAACAAGTAGATAACTCATGAAAGCTACGATGACTCATAATGAATCATTTATTCATCCCAAATGACACTAGAAGATCATAACGTGACTAATTCGTCCACTTACTTCACATTAACGTGACTAATCCATTTACTTATTCCACTTACGTGACTAACTCATCCACTTCAGTCACGTGATTAGTTTCATCATATTCTATTGCCTTGCCCTCATGTAATGTAACAATCAAATATTTTGGTGATTGAATTATAAAAAATTTACAAACGTATTTGATATAATATTAGAATTTTAAAGTACGCCGTAATATTTTTAAGTTAATCGTTAATCATTAAAAAAAAGAAAAGGAAAACTAACTAACCTTTGCATCACATTATTCATTAGTATTGACAATTTAAGATATGCTAAGCGTTAGCGTATTTTTCGATAACTTACGACGATGAGTTCATTCGGACCAGTTTTACAATCTTCCATTTTCAAGTTTTTTGTTTTCAAATTTATGAAGCTAACAATAGCTAATAAAATACGAATGATAACTAAGAAAAAAAGCCGTAATTTTGCCGGATATAAGTGACTGTAAAATTGAACCGGTAGACATTCTCTTTGTCACTTCTTTTTTTAATGCATATTTCTCACTGAATTTTGCCGTTTGCTCTGTCATTTCATTAAAATTAGAATTTTATCAGTTTGATAGTATGGCAGGGAAAATTCTAGATGTCCTCGTATCTTCTCTCACATTCAAAAATTTAATCCTTTAAGATTCAGTTATAGATTGCTGATAAGCCTTTAGTAATATTTGATTATTCTACCAGAACAGTACAGAATTTGGAAATAGTTGACAATTTCTTGAAAATGGGAAATTTTTAGTGAAATGATGGAAAAATACTAGAAATGATAAGAATAGCAAACAAATGAACGAATTGATGATGGACTGAAAATATAATTTCAACTATTTTCATTTCAAATGTTCAAATAAAATTTATTGACATTATCACTAAATTTCTTTTTTTTTTATAAATTTTGAAATACTGTGATATAATTTCTTGAATTTATTTCTTTTATTGAAATGAAGAAAGAAAATTTTATTCAATATATGATCTTATCCTATCCGGTTAAACAGTATGACAGCAGTACGTTACGTGGACTGATCTCATCCTATCCGGTTAAACAGTATGACAGCAGTACGTTACGTCGACTGATCTCATCCTATCCGGTTAAACAGTATGACAGCAGTACGTTACGTCGACTGATCTTATCTTATCCGGTTAAACAGTATGACAGCAGTACGTTACGTGGACTGATCTCATCCTATCCGGTTAAACAGTATGACAGCAGTACGTTACGTCGACTGATCTCATCCTATCCGGTTAAACAGTATGACAGTAGTACGTTACGTCGACTGATCTCACCCGTTACTGATACTTTTACAGGATTGAATTATTGAGATGTTTCAGAATTACAAGTATTATTTAATATCTTCCATGCATTTGCTATTCGTCCGGTTGATCTGCAATTCTTCCACGTCTTTCACGTCAAGATTATCCGCCTAAATCATAGTTTATATGAATTGCGACTGAAGAAGAAAAAGAGAAATGTAATAATACTTCAAATTACCGATAAATTTGTAAAATTTTTGAAAATAAAAAGAAAATGCTAAAATTGAAGTAAAATAAAATTACATAGAGAATATGGAAAAATGTTTAAAAATCTCATCCAAATATTTTATTGGGTTCATTTTTAAATTAATAATAGTAAGTAGCAAATAGAAATAGTAGTATTTAATGCAGTTTCAAAATATTTGGAAATTTCATTTCAACAATTCAAAGTTTAGAAAAAAAAAAGCATAATTTGATTCATTTCAAAAAAAAAATTTTTTTTTTTTTTGTCCGATAATGATTATTTCCAATTATTGCTAAAATTTGAGACATTTCAAAATAATTTAAACTGTAGTAAATATCTCGAGAATATTCATTCGATAAACAATTATCGATTTATCATTTTTTAATTCACTTTTTTCAATTACAAAAAAAAATGAATGAATAACGGAATATATTATGCATTCCAATTTTTTAATTTTACCATTTTTGCAAAATAAAACGAAAGAAAAAAATTTTTCTTTCAACCATAAAATAAATTTCATCCAATAATTAATTTAGAAAATCCTATATAAAATATATTTCATTTAGTAATTAGTTTAAAAACAAAAATCGAAATATCTCTTCCAAATAATTAATTAATAAAATTACTTTATCTAAATGAATAATTTATTAGTATTTATTGCTTTCGTACATTTCTTAATCAATTAACAAAAACTTTTTATCATTGCATGCAAATATTTGATTGACTTTTTGCTAGTATATTTTGTAAATACCATCAGTGAAATAATTTTAATTATAATAAGTTGAAAAAACTTTTTGCATAACTAATAATTCTTGCAAAATATAGTTTAATAAAGAAAAAAATATAAATATTAACACTGATTTATTCAAATTATTACTGAAATTGAAATGAAATTGTTAAGTAATTTAAGTAATTAATTTGTCAAATTTTAATTTTGTATAGAATTGTGCTAAAATTAAAAAATTTTTTTGTCAAATTTATTAATGATTTAATTGACAAATGAAAAATGCAAAAGGAAAAAAAGAATCTGTTTAAATGATATAATTGTTGGCAATTCTTGCTTTCTCTTTTAATAATATTTTTTCCACTTTTCTTATTTTTGTTAAGTTTTTCTGGAAAACGAAAGAAAAAATAGGAAAAGAACGAAAGAAAAAAAAAAAATGTTAAACCAAATAGAACTTATCTCCAAATACTACTATTATTACCTCAAAGGATTATTATAATATCGGTTACATTCCGGATGCATAATCGGAAAAGAATGAAAATAATAATAGCAAAAAATAATAATAAACATAAGAATAAATAATAATAAGAAAAATAATCAATAATCATAGAAAAATAATCAATAATAATAATTTAAATAATAATAACAATAATAAGTAATAATAATAACAATAATCAGTAATAATAACAGCAATAATGATAATAATAATAAACTATAAAAAATTATTAATATGATTAAATGAAGTGATGTGACATTGTATTAAAATTTTATGTGATATTTAAAAGTGATATGTTAAAAATAATATTTGATAATAATACATCAAAATTTAAAAAGAATTTTTGAAAAACAATTACTGCATTATATTGTTTATTATTCATGGTAATGTAGGCAAAAACAATTTCATGCAATTATTTCAATTCGTATAATTTGGTAAATAATTGAAATTAATAATTGCTGAATTTTATTATTTCGATTCTTCATTTTTATATTTTCTCATTTTATGTGTTGGTTCACTTCAATAAAATTTTAACTTTTAGAATTTTTTTTTTTAAAAATTTTTTGAGCAATTTTTTTAACACTCTTTTTCTTTCTTTTTGAATTTTTAGATCATTAATATATTATGTTAAACAAATTTTAGGTATTTATATACTATATTAAGTGAAATTTTAAGTAATATATATCACGTTAAGTAAAGTTTTGATTTATAGAATATTATATGTTTACTTACGTGTGTTACTTTTGTGATATATACGTAACGTAAAGGTTTTTCATAATAGATAGAATATAAAATAAATAAATGATACTCTGTGTTATGACATTTGCGCATCTTTTTGCATCATTTATCTTTTTTTTTTTAAAATCTCTCATCGACTTCAAAAAAAAAATATATCAGTTTTCTTGATAAAATGATAACTTTATATTTCAAGAATTGATAATATTAATTGATACCTTATAGTGGAATATAATAAGTATAAAACAACTTTTCTGATCAATGAATATTTTTTTCTTAATTTTAATTAATTTTATTATTAATTTCAGTTTTATTATTTCTATTAATTTCAAATTTATTATTACTACTATTAATTACTAGTACAGTCACTTTCTCTTACATATTTTCCTTTTGATTACTTTTTATCAAAAAAGAAAACAAAAAAAAAAAAAAAAAACGAACAAAAATTTACTGCAATAAATTTGTATTTCAAAAATTGATAATATATTGATTAATAATTAATAAGAATTTATTCTATTACTTCTAAAGCAAACATATTATCAAAATTTATCACTCCAATATCTGTATTTTATTAATTTTGTGCCACATTTATTTTGTTACAATCATTGATAACACTGATAGTGCTGATAACAAAAGAAAAAGGATAGCAAAAATTTAAGGAATTCATCAAAAAAAAAAAGATCAGAATGTCCCTTATCATTATGATTATTCATTCATTGATAGTTAAAATTGTTTGGCGCAAAAAAAAAGAAAGTAATTTAGTATTATTCATTTGTATTTTATATACAAAAAATGAAATTTTATTCAATTTATCCAATTTATAAAATTACAAATGCTATTAAGTTAATATTATTAGCGATAAAACCATTTATTATTCATTCAATAAGAAAAAAGCAAATAAAATTATAAATGAAATTATAAATGAAACAAATACAATTCGTTAATTCATTTTCAATTTTATATTTTTGCATCAATGAATTAAAACTATCATAAATTCATTCAAATTTATTAATGTATTTAATTAACTTCTCTTTTTGAGGAAAAAAAAATTTGAATACATTAAACAAATTCAAAATAATTTGGAATTTTTAATTTCCCTTTTTGATTACTTTAATTCTTTATTATAGATTTTATTGATTATAAATTGAAATTCATTCTAATTTACATCAATTTTAGCTAATAAGCAAACATTACAATATTAAGTAATTGCTATCCATTACATAGTTAATTAATGAGAATGATTAAATTTTTAAGACATTCATTCAAAATGCTTCAACTGCCATATCAATAAAAAAAATTCTCAATAAATTTAATAAATTAAACTAAAAAAAAAGATTACAAGAAAAAATCAAAACAAATACAAACAATCATGTAAATACAAATTATCCACCTTATTGTTGTTGTTATCATTCTCGACAATCAATTAATTTCATTTTCTTGTCTTTCACGTTTATCTTCGACAAGAACTCGCTTTATTTCCGTTTTACGTTTACATGTATTTGTTCTTTATGTATTATTCATTTCCCGTTTTTATTTTCGTCTCACGTTTACACGTACCCTTATCCATCAAATTCATAAATTGTTTATTCTTGTCATTTCAAACACAAGTTACATTCATAGCAATTATTGTTCCTTGCATATTTACAGCTTCAGTACAAGGAGATAACTCCTGTACGTTACGTGTAACCTCGTACATTAAACCTGCGATACATTTCACTACTTTTAGAACATCGCTGAATCGTAATTACCACGTGACACCCTCCGGTGACCTTCCACACCACCCCATCTCTCTATGCCACCAGTCATAAGTCCAAGCATCACCACCACACGTCCTGCTCTTATGTCCAATCAATAACGATAGCAACCATACAGATGAGATGATACGACCTCACCGGGATTCACTCAATACACATACACACACACACACACACACATGCACACACCACATACATATGTCTAGCCCTCACTACTAGTAGCAACTTACCAAACAGCAAATGCCACCAAACATAGTTGTAAACCTAAGCTAGAAGAGCCAGAACTAAATCTTGAACCCAGTGAACACCACAAGAATGAACGACGAACTCCTCTACAGTTGTCAACACGAAATATTACCATACTCCCTTCATAGCCACCCATGCGGTCCATCTAGCACTTGTATGCAACCATATTCTGTTACCAAAAAGGTATCAAAGATAAAGGAATATTTATTAATATAAACAAGGTGAAATAATGGGTACAAGAGATCAAACCTGTGCGGCAGCTTCCCATAATACTATGATTTGATTAATTAAACGAGTATATACAGACAATAACTGTCACACCAAACAATAAAGTGCATAGTTGAAGGGAATGATAAGAGGTGCATGACAGGAAATAGATATAACCACATGACATAACCGGAGAACCTTATGTCTCCGACCTAAGAATAAAACATAACTTTGCCCCCGACCTCATAACCAATAGTAAAATTCTTATGTACCATCAGAGAAGAGCTAATTCCACCAGTTCCTCCTCATGCCACCACTTCAAATAAATTAAAGTAGGATTTGTAACCGCTTGTTATTACAGAACATCATTTTCCTCGGAAACTCAAACTTTTTCAGCGGTCTTCTTCGGCAACAACACCGCTTGGATGTTCGGCAATACACCACCTTGCGCAATTGTCACACCAGCCAGCAGCTTGTTTAACTCCTCATCATTGCGTACAGCCAACTGCAAATGGCGCGGATTGATTCGCGTCTTCTTATTATCACGCGCCGCATTGCCAGCTAACTCCAACACTTCCGCTGCCAAATACTCCAACACAGCAGCTAGATATACTGGGGCACCAGCACCAACACGTTCCGCATAATTTCCCTTACGTAGCAAACGATGAATTCGTCCCACTGGGAACTGTAAACCAGCACGAGATGAACGACTTTTCGCCTTTCCAGACGATTTCGCTTTACCACCTTTTCCACGTCCCGACATAGTCAAAACTAAAAAAAAAAAACACAAAATTTAAGTTCAACAATCCCACCAAATTTGTTTTACCAATTAGCAATGCAACAATCACCAAACTCCCAGAGTCCCCACAACCAACCAACACCTTTAACTACCCTCCCCTTCAATAAAATATCGCTCGGGGGACGAAACCCTTCAAAACCTCTATGTCCACCCTACACAATACCACAACAATACCCACCTCGTCAACCCAACGATCCAACAAGCACCACATCCCCTCCTGCAGTCTATATATACCCATCAGCGAGCGCTGTCAATCTGTTGGCCACGCCCACTTTCTATAATAAGGTGGGCGTGGTCTCTCGATATGCAACGCTCGATGGATGATATAAAAGGATGTAGGAATGAGTTGCACCATTGTCCCGTTGGTTTCCTTTGTAGTGACGATGGTTTCATTGGTAGGAGAGTAACGGTGCGGAGTTGGTGCTAATGTGATATTGGGGATTATGCGTATTGTTATATGGTGAAATGCTGGGGAGTGACTGGTGGCGGTGGTGGTTGTGATTCGTGTATCACTACGACAATGCTTTCTCGATTGTTCCTTTGTGTGGCAGAAATATGTGATATAGGCAAAAACGAGAAGGGATAGGGTATTTCTCATTGCTAAGGTACAAATAAGGTGTTTATAAATGAAATGAATTTAGAGATTTATGTTGGGAAATAGGTTTGGGTAGTTTGGTTTGTTGGGTTTTCTAGAAAGTAGTCTGTGGGAGAATGTATATATATATATATATTATTTGTATATGCAGATTAAAAGAGAGGAAGTATCAGGTCGAGCTTTTTTTTAATTGTTATTGCAAGTGTTGTTTTTCTTTTAGATCTCGTGTGTTGTTAACATGCCACCAAAACCATCTGCTAAAGGAGCCAAAAAAGCTGCGAAATCGCAGAAAGTTCGCGGTAGCGATAAGAAGCGGAAATCTCGACGCAAGGAGTCGTATTCTGCATATATCTACCGTGTCCTGAAGCAAGTTCATCCCGATACAGGTACCACTTTATGTATTGTAGAGATATAATGAAAGTGTAGGAAGTGGTCGAGGGGTGATAGTAAGTGGGGAAGGATTGGGGTTTTTATAGCTGAGTATTTGGAACATGATTATGAATCAATAAATGTGGTGAATGGGCTGTAGGTCCAGGTGTAAGTAGTTGTCTGTGACATTTTGAACTCGTTTGTTTTTCAGGCATTTCCTCGAAGGCAATGTCGATTATGAATTCGTTTGTGAATGATGTTTTCGAGCGTATTGCTGCAGAGGCTAGTCGCTTGGCTCAGTATAACAAGCGCTCGACGATTTCGTCGCGTGAAATCCAAACTGCCGTCCGACTTATTCTGCCTGGTGAACTAGCGAAACATGCTGTGTCGGAGGGAACCAAAGCTGTTACCAAATATACTAGCTCGAAGTAATTCCGTGCATGTCATGTGTAGTGTCTGTGTAGTCTGAAACTTCCAGAAACTGATCTCATGATTTGTTAGGAATAAAGAATTTTGATGGAGAAAAAAGGCTTTAGGAATCTATTCCTTGGGAATAACTCAGCAGTCGGGGTCCCTTAATTTGGTAATTATCGCTTTCGTTGTTATAATTCAACTTGTAATAACATTTCAGAATCTTTGTAGTTCTGGAATTGTTTTTTCCTTTCCCCTGTAAACAAGTCATCAAGCAATTTGTCTACTGGGTGGTGGTTAGGGAGCTCGTCAGAATTTTATTTTTACTTTATGTGCTTAATTTGAAGCGAATAAAATTTTTGGAGATGGTTTGAGCTGAATATTTGACTTGATACGTATATGAGCTCTGTTGGAATAAAGTTCGTGGGTCAGATTTTGCTGCAGGCTTAAAGAGTAGTCAGATTAAAACACAGCATCGGGGATTATTCGGTCCCGCTCAAGGGCAAAAATCGATTGTAGGAGAGTGTGCTGAACATGAGCATAGCGCGGCATTATCGTTCGTCGCTTATGTGTACATCTTGTGTTAGTATCTTTACTTGATATTGCTGTCGAGGGATGGTGACAAATGAGCACGGATACAGTACAGTGAAGAAGTGACAAATCTTTCCTATCTGCTGTTCATTATGGGAACACGGATATATGGAAGAGTTACAATTTGACACATATTTATTGCAATGTGGAGAAAACGGAGGGAATTTTGTGAAGTTAATGAGCAGTTCTATCGAGTATATCGGTATCCTTAGTCTAATCGTTCAACAAGTGATAATTGGAGTGGAAATATTCAGCAAAAAAGCAAAAGAATATAAGTATATGGCGTAACAACAAGAGCAATCAAATATATTCAGAAATAGGAATGATAATATAGAATTTTGATAATACTAAAATGATGGTTATTGAATTAAATGAATTATTTAATTAATAATATGGTGGTTGATTAGTAGCTATAACTCGACCAATTGTTTGATTATGAGTTAATCGTATGTTAAATAAATAATATAGAGGGGATGAAGGATATTGTTGATTATAACTTATATTTATTGCATCATTAGCTGATCGTTGAAATATTCCATTGATAAAATGAGTCATTAACTGTTGAGCTTGCATAACGCTTGCACGATCAAGTGATCGTAAAGCAGCAAAAATTTTTGATGAATATGATTTTGATAATCGTACATACGATGATGATTGTGATCGTGATCGTGATAATGATAGAGTGGACGAAGAAGTATGATTATTTTGTTGTTTTCTTGAAAAACGTCTCTTCCTCTTCTTTTGTCGTAATTTTCGTTTCATTTTCACATACAGTAACTAATAATTACTGAAAAAAAGAAAAATGAAGTATAAATGATAATAATTGTTTATTATTTTATGCATATAATTAAAATTACTAATTTATGAAAAGGAAACAAAAAGTTTTGTTTGTTTTTTTTTTTTTTTTTTTTTAGAAAAGTAATTGAAAGTAATTAAATATTAAAAATGAATTAGATTAAAATTAAAAATATTACCTTATTATATTTATTTTTCTGTCCTACAAAGTTACTACTACCTATACTATTATTACTATTGGTCAAAGGTTATATCCATTACTGATGTGAAGCATTTTCTACCTCACCTATAGATTAAATCATTATCTATTTTTCATAATATATTACACTTTCTTTGCTTCTTTACCTCTTTCCTTTCTTTTTCTCTCCCTCTCTCACTCTTTAACTAACTTACTTATTGACCTTAACTGATTGCTGACCTTTCAATCAACAAATCTCCATCCGCCCACCCACTTCTCAAATGACTATAAAAAGTCTCAATCGAATAGTTTCACTTTATGTAATGTCTTGATATCGTCATCATTCGTTGTTGTTACATTTATAAAATGATGTAATTTCATTTTTTTTTTTTTTTGTTTAGTACTCTAAAATTTTAGATTTTATTGTTATTCCTCAAAATTTATATGTATATATGTAAAAAAGAAAAATTAATTAATATTAATGTTTGAAATATCTTTGTTTTTTTTTTTTTGTTTTTGTAGTAATAATAAGCATTTAAAAATGTATAATTTTACATCATTTAACATGAAATAACATCGAATTTTGCATGATATCATTCATTACTAATTTTTTCAATTAATTTGCTCACATATTTAAAAGTGCCTAAAAAAACAACAGCAAAAAAAAGGGAACCCAACGGCTCTTCAAAAACAGAAAGAGCCACAAATGCAAATGAATCATGCTTATCCTTTAAGTATCTTCATTTAATATAATATTTCATTATTTTATATTCGTATTTAAATAAATAAAAATATTGTTTAGCGAGAAAAGAAGAAAGAAAAAGTGAGCCAAGAAAGTGATACCTTATTAATGATTATTAATATATTGTATTATTATCAATATCTATTAATAATATTGCATTTCCTTTGTATTTGTTGTTATGCTGTTTATTTTTGTTATTATTGATGAACTGAAATAAATAAAAAAAATTCAGTATTTGTTTTTTTTTTTCTTTTACAAAAAAAAAAACAAAAAAACAAAAAAAGCAGTATGAATATGAATTAAAATTAGAAAAAAAAAAAGAAAATCACGATTTCAACTTTTTACATGCAAGAAATATAAATATATAGATATTATCTAAGCAACATTTGATTAGAAAAATAAAAAATAAAAAGAAAGGTTAAATGCTATTTATCATAAGAAATGACGACCATTTTTGGTATAAATAAAATAGCTAGCTAACCTTTATTATTTGTTTATTTTATGCATAAGGAGAGGAAGGGAAAGAGAGGGAAAACATAAAATATTTAATAAAAATGAAAAATTTTTTAAATGGTTAAAGTATTACAAAAGCAAAATACTTCACAATCAATGATAAGGTAACATTAGATAATACAAAATTATGTAACAGCAAATGTATTTGAAAATAAATCCAGGAAAAAAAAAAAAAAAAAAACATTCTTTGATAAATTGAAATTTGAATAGAAATATTTGGTCTGATAATATCAATCAATGTGACGTAAACAATATATTGAATGATGAAAAAGGAAAGAAAAACAAAAATGAAAAGAGGAATGAATTTATATTAATGTGAATGAAAAAAAGAAAAAAATGTACAATAAAAGAAGAGCAAAATAATCGTACAAAAATAGAATGTGAAAGGGACCGTATAATGACAAAAATGACCAATAGAATGTAATGAGGGACTAACCGTTACGTTAACGAATGTATTTGCTGAGGAAAATAGAAGCGGTGTAAAAATTTAATTATGAACATCTGATGTGTATTCTATGAAATTATTTTGTCCATCATTTAAATGATAGTTGTTTTTTTTTTGGTTCAAAATTATCGAGAAAAGAATTTTTTTCTCCGGAATATTTACCAGAGAAAAAGAAATGTTTTGAGAAATATTTACCCATAATAATATTTAGTTGAGTAAATTTATGTTTAAATTATTTAAATTTCATCTTATAATTAATTCATTTCTATGATTTCCTATGTATCAATAAAATAAAATGTCAAGTTTTTTTTTTACTTTTTTTTTTTCTTTTTCTTTTATTTTTTTTTTTTCTAAATGAAATGAATTATGTAAAACAAATTGAAATCAAAAAAAAAAAAAAAAAAAAGAAAAGTAAAATGGATACCAATGCAAATTTTCATTGTTATTTTCTTCTAAAAAAACAAACAAAAAAAAAGTATAATAAAATAAATAAAAAACGAAAAAAAAACACCGAAAATTAATTTTAAAATATTAATTAATTTAATAGTTAAAAGTTAAAAGAAAGTGAAAAGTTCATTAATTGTCAATCATTAGAAATTTATTAATGGATTTCATAAATTATAAAAAATTAGTAAAAAAATTTGTTAATAAAAAATAAAAAAAATAATAAAAACAATTTGTTAGTGAAACAAATTAATGAGTTTTCAGTTTAATAATTAAATTTACAATTAGTATAATTATTGGAAATCTTTTTCATATGCAAATTTCGTATAACAGTGTTTGCAATATTATTTGATTTATTCTATTAATTTTTTTCTATTTATTCTATTTTATAAAATTTGTTCAATCAAAAAATGAATTTTTAAATTGTTATATTATCTCAAAATTCTATCTTTTTTCTGTTTTCAATTTAATTTGTTTAAAAAATTTTTGAATAAAATCATTGTTAAAAAAAAAAAATTCTATTTTTATTTGTACAATATAACATTGCACAATAAATTTTTATATATTATTTCAAATAAATCGACAATTAAATGAAATATTCCTCATTCAACAAAAAATGATATATTTTATTGTGTATTGAAAGAATAAGGAAAAAAAATAGTGGATAATATAAATTTTAAGGTATTGTTAAATTAATAAATAATTTTTACAATTAAGATTTAAAAAATAGGGAAAGTGAATTTCTTGTAATTATCCAATTAAACAATTAATTAACTAATTAATTAATTAATTAATTAACCGTTTCAAATAGTAAATATGATTACATTTTTCAGCGAATAATTTTTTCTTTCTTTCCTTATCATAAATTGAATAATTTATACTTTTTAATTTTATTTTGTTTTTATGTTCTTAATTGCATTTTTTAATTTTATACTATGCTCATATGTTATGTTACATAATATTTTCACATTCATTCGATCATTATTAATAAATATAATTTATTTTTTTAATAGTAACTGAATTATTTATTGTATTATTTTGACAAGTAATAAGTTAATAAATACTTTGTAAAAATAATTTAAATTACGATAATTAAAAATTTTTTCTTCAATAAATTATTCAGAAAGTTTTGTACTGTTATACTATCATTAATTTACCATTTCAAACTTTTCTTCAACTTATAAAAGAAATAAATTTTAAAAAATGACTTTTTTAAAGCTATTTCATTTTATTTTTGCTTTTTTTTTTTTTGAATAAAAAATTATTAAGCCAATTCCTTACATATTTTTATTTCTTTAAATAATTATTACAAAATTAATTAAATATTTATTTTGAGTAATTTTTGTTAATTTTAAAAATTAAAGTTAAAAAAAATTTTTTTTTAATTTAAAAAAAAAAAAAAAATTCTTTCTTTCATTTACCTTCCCTCCATTTTTGTACCGTTTAGAGATTGAAAGAAAAAAAGAAAAGAGAAATAAAAATGAAGCAAATGCAAGGTTATATAGATTTAAATTTAAAAAAAATCTTTTTTTTTGATAATTTCAAAAAATTTTGTTAGATTTTTATCACATTTTCTTTTTTTCTAAAATTGATTTCTTATTAAAAAAAGTTTTTCAAAACATATTTTTGAAATATTTTTCGGAATTCAATAGGAATTTTTTCTTTTTTTGCTTACAAACAAATAAAAATTTCTTATTATGTGTTTTAAAATATTTAATACTAAAAACAAATCAATCAATCAATAAAGCGATTAATTTACATATCAATTCATAAATTACTTTTCGGTATCAATTTTAGTACTGAAAATATTTGATAGTGAACAGATCACATAATCAATAAAGCATTAGTTAATTAATTAATTATATTCGATTAATATCAAATAAATATTTCAAATATTGAGAAGTATTTCGCGGATTCATTTCCTATACATCCAAATAAATTTATCTGGATTAAATTTAAAATTTCCATAAATTTTTTACTTGTAGAAATTTTGAACATTGTATAGGAAAATGAATTTTTTAGTGATTAATATTATTTCAACTTACTTTTATTTTTTCTGCTCTGAGATTTCTCGGTACTTTTTTTCTTTTGAATAATCGATTATTTGGTTAAATTCATTGTAACTTATTTCTTAACGTTATTTCATCTCTTCCATCATTAACACTTCATATGGATGAATTATTTTTTAAAAAATAATCGGAGAGAAAAAAAAAAAATGAAAAAAGAGATTTTCCCCAACTCTCTCAAATAAAAGGGACCATCACATCGAGAGATGTTGTCCGAGATATACCGCTTTTATCGGTTATTACACTTCCCCCTCTCCCTCTCTCTTTCTCTCCCTCTCTCTCACCCTCCCTCTCAAACATTTTTCAGATTAGAGAGACAATGACAACATGACGGGTGACAAATGACAATGACTGAGTGACTGCTCACTGACTGTAGCAAATGTATCTATTCCGAGAATTCACAGTGTCTTTGCTTTATTTCTCTACCGTTAACTCTTTCTTTTTTCCGGAATCTTTTATGGATATTATTTTCTGCCGGGAATAAACGAGAGAGAGAGAGGGAGAAGGATAGGGAGAAAGAACGAGAAGAAAATATAATCAAAGAATAAGAAAGAGGAGAGAGGGAGAAGGAGAAAGAGAGGAATTCTCGATAGCAACTGCCCCTTTTCCCGTTACCCATCGATTTTCACACCGGTCCAAATACATCGAGGAGAAAACTGTCATTCCGGGCACATTCCCTCTTCCTCTTCTCTCGTCAACAACAACAATAGCACAAGGAGCAGGCAAGCAGCAATACGGCCTTGCCAAAAAGAATGGTCGATATCGAGGTGGGGAGGAGAGGTGGGATGCTTAGGCAATGGTATGTCTGCCCGAGGGGAGAGGGGAGTGCCCGTCTTGCTACCCCAATCTTAACCCGAGCACCGATCAACCCCCCGCCCTCTCCCGATCGACTCCATTCTCTCCACATCGCCTAGTAGCAGCTCTCGTACCGCACCGCCACACCACTACTACTACTACATCTCCTTCTACTCCCCCACTCATACCCCTGCCACCACCACACCACCACATCACCTCATCACCTGCACAACCAGCAGCACCGTTCTTCGTTCTCAAATTTTGCTCAGACAAATTTCCCAACTTAATTCATTTATTAAGGTAAACTGAGGTAAAATTATCAGTCATACCTCATTTACATCTTTAAACTCTTTAAATTACACCTGGAAGGAAGTTTGTAGTTACCAGAAGTTACAAATAACTTCTTGATTACTCTACTTCTTTATCATCTTTACAGGATACGGCGTATATCATTACGGGTTAGGTTAGTAGCTAATATTGATTATACCAAATATTAAATTTCAAAAGATAACAATTTATAAATTTAAAAATGCATATTTGTTTATCATATTTGTTCTTTTATACATGGAATGCTAAAAAGAGGAAACTAAAAGATAGAAGGATAACAAATAATTGTATTTAATTGAAATTAATCAGTAATGTAGTATGTATAAGAGATTGAAATATGATATTTTGTTTAGCAAATATTTAAAGCATTTAAAAATGAGAAAATCACAAATGGAAATTTGGTAAGCACTTATTGATTAAATGAAAACTAAATGTTTGTTATAATTCATAAAATTTATATTTTACAGATGGTATCTGATTCGTACTATCGAAGTTTAATTGAAGCTGTTCGTCAATTACCGGTACTCTATGATCGAGCACATCCGGATTTTCGAAATGTACGAAAGCGTAATGAGGCATGGAAACTTGTTAGTGAGACATTATTCAAACGTGGATTCTCACCAAATGAAGGTATAAAAATTATAAAATCATTTCATTTTTTTTTTGTACATCTATCTTTTTTTTTTTTCTTTTTGTCAAATAAAAAATATTTGAAAATATTCACAAGAATATTTCAATATTTTGACTTTTCTTTTTCTTTAAACTTTAAAAAGGTTTTTTTTTCTCTTCTTTAGTTACTTTTTGTTACACTACAAAAATTTTTCCAATTTAAAGAATTATTTCAAATATTTATAGACGTTTTGTGATTAAAAGTGTTTATCGGTCTAAAATTAATCTAATTTTTTGCTCTGTTCCTTTACACTTTTCAATGTTTTTCCGTAAATATTTCAACTATTTTTGTTGTTGTTGTGTGCTTCATTAACTCCATATTATTTAATAATTTGATATTAATTGATGAAATTACAAGCAGTAATAATGATTGGTTTATATGAAGTGTAAAGATTTGCAAAGGAAAATTACATTTTAGTATCGGTAACAAAATCAAGAGATCGATGGAAAAGTTTGGTACAACGATATCGAACCTCAGGACAATTTGGTCCAGCATTTATGTTTACTGCAGAAATGCAATTTCTTGATGAATTTCTTAATGCTGTACCTCCACAATCGTAAGAGCATTTATTTTATGATCTAGGAATATGAGTAAATAATCAGGAAATTATTCTTGTAATTAGGGTAAAAGATAAGTAAGTCGTCAAATATTGCACAGATAATATATTGATGATAAATGATAAATAGATAATCATGTGATTTCGTTTTTATCCGTAATGATAATGAAAAACAAATATTACAAAAATATGGACTAAATATAACATTGTTTTTAGTTAAAAGACAGAGAAGTGAGATGACAAATAATTTCTAATCAGGAATGTCAAGAATTTCTTCTTAATCAAAGAAAAGAAGCTAATTAAAATCCTTAAATATTCCATAAATAGTGATTGATGATAAATGATAAAGAGATAATTAGTCAGATAATTAGTATAATTTCGCTTCTACCCGTGATAATGTAGGAAAAAAATAGTGGAATTAATGTTGCTTTTGGTTGCATGGGAGAGAAGTGATTAGTGCGACAAATAAACTCGAGCCAGAAATTATGGAGAATTCTTGTAAAAAAAGTTATTTAAATAGTCCTGAAATATGGATATATGGATAATACATCGATGCTTTTTCCTCCCTTTTTTTTTCCTTTTAAGTTTAATTTAATATTTGTATTAGATGATCGACAAAAATATTTTCTTTTTTCTGAAAATCTAACTTTTTAATACGTTTTTGCTTTTCAGAAATTTCTGTTTGAATGAAATTTTGCTATATAGGTTTTTTTTTTTTTTTTTTTTTTCGAATATTATCATCATGCTCTTACTAGCTTATAATTTTGATCTTTTTTTCTTTTTTTTTTTTTTTTTTTGCTGATTGATCTATCTGTGATCATTTTGGCATGATTATATTTTTGATTAACTAAATATAAATGAGAATAAAAATCAATAAGAATTTAGATATAATATTACATGTATTAGATTCAAAACATTGTTATAATTTGAATTGGACATATTTGTGAATTGAAAGCATTCGCAAATTTTTTTTATTTTTATTTTATTATTATTTTTTTTTTTTTTAGAGCAGACGTGGTAGCAACAAATTCGCTTCTTGGAAATATGAAAAAAGAGGATAGCGAATGGGAATTTCCAGCTTTATTTGGTAATGCTAATCAAACGGATAATAATATGTCTTTATTTGCAAATATGGATTCACCTGGAGGTTCTTCATCACCATATGCGCAACAACAAAATGATATTAATGCAATTGATGGTACTAGTACCGATGATGGATTGTTAAATGGAAATTGTAATTTCTCTAATGGAAATGGTGCTTCATCGGCACATTGTGTTCCTATTTCAATTTCTTCATTATCTGTAAAAGGTATCTAATAATTTCTGGAAGTTTTTTTAATTTAATTTATATTAATTATGTTTTTTTTTTTTTTGTTTTTTTGTTTTTATGAGCAATAAAAATCATTGATTGCTGTAAGCATAAACATATATATTGATATGTTGATAAATTAAGATTGTATTTATAAATTTGTATATGTGATATAAATATGTAATATTATTTTAATTATAGATCTCATGGCACGAAAACGACCACGTCAGAATGTTCCAGATGGTCCAACAGCATTAGAGAAAAGAATTGCAAGTAGTTTGGAAACAATTCAAGAATTTATCAGTAATGCATTTCAAAAGCAAAAGGAGCAAGAAACAGAAAAAGAAAGAAGTCCAAATGCTGCTCTATTTCAATGCATTGATCATCTTACAGCTGATATGTCACCAAAAGAGCATCAAGAAGCATTACGTGAAATTAAACGATCATGTGTGAGTATTTGTGCTAGGATTATGTCCGAATCACAGCCATAAATTAGGTGTTTTAATTATTTTATCATATTTCATTTCATTTCATTCAAAATAATAATTCGTATATTATATTTTCATAGCAAATATTTCATTCGATGATTGATTAATCATCAAAATTTGTCATTATTATGGTGTATAGAGCTTTAGCTCTAAATGTTTCAGTTTAATATTCTTCATGCATATGCATAATTTCAGGGTTTATATATTTTTATTGTCTTTCCATTTCGTAGAGAAAATCGAAGGAGAAAAGTAGGTAAATGAAAAAGATTTTCAAATGGATTAAATTTTGTCCTGATATAATTAATTATTAGTATTATTATCAAGTAATATCGATGTTAGTTAGAATAATGAGTTGAAAATTTCATGCTTATTTTTTCTGTTACATATTCTTTTATTAGTTGCAATACTTTTATATCATACTCTATTCTCTTCCATTTGTTTATTGTGTGTGTGTTTTTTTTTTTTGATCTCGTTTAATGACAGTCATTTGTTTTTTGTTTTTTTTTTTTTTTTTTTTTTTTTCTTTTTAAATTATAATGAGAAAATTATGAGTATAATTTAGTCGATATGATAATATTTTTCATTTATATTTTATCTCATTCCCAGCAAATATTTCATTTTTGCTACAATTTCTTCTCAAAAATCATGATGATCAAAACCATTTCAGCTAATGGTTTTTTTTTTCTTTTTCAAATAATGTTAAGTTTCGTTAGTGAAAACGGATTGTGTATTATTTAAAAAAAATTACTGCTTTAATGTTTAATTGATTTCATTATGACAATTGTGACCTCACATATAATTTTCATCAAATGTGCATCATATTCCATCTTGTAATACATTTTTTAAAACTATTTTACCATTAGAAATGCACTGAAATGCACAAGTATTATTGTTTAAGTTTCAAAAGTGAAACTTAAAGGAAAAAAAAACAAATGCCCAATTTGTTGGAATTACAATAGTGAATGCTTAAATAGCTAAAATTTATAAATTATCCTAGCAAATTTCAAGTCCCACATTTCATTTTATCATAATCATTCCTTTTACCTAGCACGCAAACCATAGAAATAAACGACAGCTAACTCATGTATAAAATTTTGCTATTAATTGCAAAGTTTTCACAAAATGTAACCACATCAGTTGCTCTCATCACTAGTATGAATAATCAATTGGCAACTATGAAATGTCAAAGATTTCAAAAAATTTATTGCAAATTACAATATATTGACAAACAAACCATACGTACATTTTTCATGAGTGAGATTACAATTCAAAATGCAGAATTCGAGAATTTTGATTAAAACACATTTAAAGAGGGATGATAGATATCCTTTAATTTTAAGAAAGACATTTAGAATATCCATTTTAAAGCAACACTAATTTCCATGCATGTTCTTGAATTAATTTTTACTTAAGAAACTACTTGAAATACAGCATATTTTGTATTAATTGTTCTTAAAATCATAAAAGTTTATAATTTTAATTACTTTTCCTTCATTATGATGTTCATCAGAATGAGAATAACTCTATTAAATTGTTATATTGAGCTGGCATGGAGTGAGAACAAATACAGAAATATTTCTTCAAGAGATCAAAATATGTAAAATATGTAACAAACGCAAATAAGGCTGCAAGGAAGGCCACCAACTGAATAATTGGTAATTAACAATTACCAGTAACAACTGGTTATCACCGTATCAAGCGCACCATGCAATTAATAGTTATAATATATGATCAATTGATTGAAAGACAAATTGTCATAAAACTGTGAAATTTTTATTAAAATTAAAAAATAAAAACAGATTAGGTAATACATTTATTCCTCTTTTTTTTACTTTTTTTTTCCTCCTTTTTGAATTTTATAGTAGTATTACGGAAGTGATAAGTAAGAATTTGATTACAAAATATGGACTATTTTTGAAGTAATAATGTTATAAGTAACGAAAAAAAAAAAAAAAACTGTTTCTGACTTAAAGGAGATTTCAAAAAAATTAACAAGAGAGGTACTTCTCAGCATGTTTTTTCAATAAACTGATAACCGTATAAGCTTCCGGAAGAGGACAGCTGTCACAGTCTTGTTGTTCCAATACCCGTTCTACTTGAAATGCTAACAAAGCTAACTGATCAATTTTACTATAGCCACAAAATGGATTTTCTGATGACTCTACTTTCTGAAAATAATAATTGGGTTATTAAGTATAAGAAATAATGCAAGATTAAAATAAAAATTTATTACAACTTAATTGCATTTAGGTATATTTTGAATCTCTATCTCTATAAAACAGTAAAAAAAAAAAGAGTCTAACCGAAGGTGATAATGCAATAGCATCAAGCAAATCTGCCATCAAGCGAACACTAGGAGTACCTTTTTCCTGCAATAATTTAAATTCTTCCAACAATAGAAAATTCGCTATAAATAATAAAAATTTCGACAAAAAAAAAACGATGAAACGAATTAAACGTGACACCTTAAAACTTTAAAACTTCTTCCTGTCAATTTCTTTCATAAAAAAAGCAAATAATTAAAACGAAGAAAACAAAAAGAATTTATTACCGGGCAATAATCAGGTGAAGAAGCCTGATTAGCCAGTGACTGAATTGTTTTTGGTAACTGGCGAGACTGTTCAGCTGAAATTTTCTCAAAATTATTACATAAATTTGATTTGAATTGCTGATTTAATCTACTTTCAAACCAAGTGACAATAATACTTACGCGAGCCACTGCAATTAAATGTCAAAATTGGATTAACGAAGCGCAGAATGAAGAACACACTGAAAATAATACATTTGAAAATCAACATCTGTAAAAGGAAAAATTTTCAACCTAAGCTCTTCTTTTTAATCTATATAACACAATGAAATAAGTTGGTAAAAAAAAAAGATAAAAAAAAAGTTCCTTTTATTACACTAATAGAATCACTAATTTTTAAGTTTTTATATTGAAAATTTACGAAACTTTCAAATAAGCTACTTTTCCAATTCAATTAGTAAAAAAAATATTTTACCTAGCAACTCGACGTGCAACATATTTGGAATCATCGAAATATGCTTTTGCTGTTTTTATGGTATGTGATAGAATGGCGCGGAAAAGAAGAGGTAAATGTTCAGATAAATTTTTCAGAGCACTCATAATTTCCAATTCCTGTTTTGGTAGTCCTCCAGTTAGCAAATTTGCTAATTCTTCTGTAACCAAATCCTTACCAGTCATACGCAGAACTGTTGAAATACAACAAGTACAAAATGAATCACACCGAAAAAGTGTTACTTCTGAAAAAAAAAAAAAAAATGTTAGAAGAAAGGAGACAAATTATTATAAGTAATTTAAACATTCTAACTTTAAACTGATCTCCTTACCTTAACTATTAAATATTGCTAAGATTAATTTTAACACTACACTACAAATCTTTTATTAAATGCTTAAATGCAACTTTTTATTTCTTATTTAAGAATTGTTTCTTTTCACATGTCTAAAAATTTACTAAAAAATCTTAATAGATTTTTTACAATTTTAATTTCTTTCTGTTATCAATTGATCCGTTTAGAACTTTCAAAGCTACAGTCAGGAATTTTAGTACTTGAATATATTTTATAAATATATTAAATAAGCACAAACCAGTTTCACGTTTAATTTGCTCCCTGATGATAACTTCAACAAATGACATCAATAAGTCATAATTTGGTAAAAGGACAGAGAGTAACAGACGAGCAAAATATTTTCGATTAAAAATATCTAAGACAGAACCAATCCAAATGGATAAAATAAATGATCGCGAAGTGAGAAGCACAAAAAAAGATGCATATTGTTCTTCGGGTAGTAAAACGATACGATGACGTACCGCACGAAATACAAATCCCTCAAAATTATTTTCCACGCAAAGTTCTTTGCCATCGTCTGCTAGCAAATAGAGTGGTGATATATCTGAAATTAATTTTTCAAAAAAAAGTAACCAATAAAATGCAGTACTTATCAATTCCAATACGATAATCTATTATCTCACTTTAAATTTGAACAATATATGATATAATTAAGGAAGATAAACAGAGAGAAAGAAAATACGACATATCATTTTGGTACAAATAATAACAAATAATATTAATTTTGTAAAATATAACCTTTCTGTAGATAATCTCTGAATACAAGATTCCGTGTTTTTGTCGGTGGAAGATTGTGTGAGCAAAGTACAAATTTCAATGAACATGATCCAGGAGGAATATATCTGAAGTGAAAATGCAGTGAAAATTGATAAATGAACTAACTAATCAGTACAAAATTTTGATTTCTCACTAGTCATGTCATTTGAATTGATTTTACAGATATTGATTAAATGATGCTAGTATCATAATAGCTAATCTAAAAATTCTAAAAACATATGTAATGTTACTATTAGAAAGAGCTTACTGCAATAGAAAACATCTATTGAATATAATGGTATTTTTTGCAGGCATCACTTGTTGAGTTTTTGTTAAAAAAATTCCATTGATCGTTACTACTGCACTATATGAGGTATCAGGTTTAAAATCACTACCCCTGAAATTAATTCTGTTAAATGTGAAATTTAATTGTTAATTGTTAGTAAAAACTGATGCATAATGAAAAATTTTTTATCAAATAAACAAAAATCAGAATAAATGATTGCAATTTTCAGAATGGCAAGATTTGAGTTGTAGTCAAGAATTGATAAGACTATGTGCTAGTAATTATACGACTCAAAAACAAATTAATGAAGTAGAATAAGATTCACATGCTTTTAATCATGCCATTTCTATGTTACGGCAATAATTAAATAAGAGGTCAATGTTGAAAATAATAAAATATATTATTTATGAATAAGTGAAAAATATGAAAATATTTGCGATATTAAAAATCTACCTAAAACTGGTTAAAGTTAAATAAATAACAGTTGTAGAGCGAATAAAATAATCCTGTATAGCAGGAATTACAGCAAATGGTGATGGTGAATATCGACAACCGAGACATCGCAACCGTAATTCATTAAGCCAATTTAGATATGTGCCTTCGTTTTGAAATGATAAATGAACTGATGGATAAATGTCCATACTATTCGACGCAACCAATAAACAATTAGCTCGATCGAATGATCCTTCCGGAATTTTATAAACAAAGCAAAAACCAAGATCCAAAACTACTTTTGGCTTTGCTCTCTACAAAAAAAAAAAAAAAAAAAAAATGTATCCACGTAAGTAATGCATTTATATAAATCATAACGACAACTTCTATAACAATGAACAATATAACTATAATTTCAATTAATTACGAAATAATATTGATACCTTCTCATCATCTAAAACGTAAAGTTGTGAACCATTCGAATCATTAAGTGTTACATAACAACGCTTCCACTTATCTTCTTTACCTAAAATTCATAAAAATGCAGTTTTCCATACATAAAGAATAATCCAAATTCCTAGTAGTCTTTACTGAGGTAATATTATGACATCCATACTGCATATATCAATATACCACTCAGATATTGACAATCAAAAAATTTTACACATATTAATAAAAAGAATATCAATAGAATAATTCCATCTAATTTCAATCTATATTCCATCCTGTATGTCAATTTAGTGCTTATTATTTAGTTTGACAAAATAATAAATCGAAACCCCATTTTTGTGCGCAAAGTTAAATCGCAGTCTACTCATACCTATATCGGAATTTTCAAATACCAAGTTTTATGAAGCTTTTTTTTTTCTCCTGAAATGTTTTAAAATTTAAATGATTTTAAATAAATAAGTCCTTACATCTTCGATATGCCAAGACGGTCTGTGGACGAAAACTATTAGTAACTAAATCCTGAAATTTTTTATCCGCATTTTTTCCCGACAAATCTCTGTCAGATGCCTTTGTTAACACCGCACGCGTCAAATGAAATCCTTTGCAAATTTCCTTTTCGCTATATCTATAAGTTAGGTTACACTTTAAATAAATCATACTTATTACGACAACCACTAATGACATTGTAATTTTGAAACAACAATGAATTAGTTAATTACAAGCAATCAGCAAAAATTTTTACAACAGGTTTAGATATTGGAATTATATGTATTTTTTCAGAAAAGTCATATATCATCCTATCTAGAATACACTATGAAGGATATATCGCATTGGATAACTGGACAATCAGAAAGTCCTAGTCGAATGGTAAAAAAAAATTGAAATAGGAATTTTACCTTTCAATAATATCCGGGATGGTAGCAAAAATTTGCCCATCAATTTCGAAATTACCATCTGCTGTTCGCTTTATTTGAAATTTTTCAATATGCTGATCGATATTAACCATAAGCGTATATGAACTGGACTGCACAAATGAATGCCGCAAAAGATAACAACCATCAGTATCTGCAATTTAATTTATAAATAAATTGAATAATATTTATAAAGCTATATAAAAAAAAAATTAAACAGTCGAAAGTTTCCGATTTAAAATTTCCGTCTTCTCCATAAGAAAATAAAGACTTTAAAGGAAGAAGCATATCACACCGGATAAATCAGTTTCATCGAGTTATTTCACTTCAGTTCCTTAATAGGAACCATTCCAATATGTAAATTAAATGAATTTATATAAAAATGAAACTGTAAAAAAATACATTGTGTTAACCGTTGTGTAAGCACATTTATTGGTTCGTCATGAAAATATGGCAATTCTTCAGGTTTCACGTTCTTGTCGTTCTGCAATAATAAATGAATGAAATTAAAATATCAGCTGATTTTAACCTTACTATACGCATTTGAATGCAAAGAAAACAACTAAAAGGACTTATAATTGAATTATAATTTTATTCTCCATTCCGGTTCTGAAAGAAGCATATAACTGCTTTTTTCCTCCATTTTCGGATATTTACTAAGCAATTCTCTTTGAAGACAGAAAGGTAAAAGAAATGCATAAAATATTGAAGTAGCCAAGATATCATAATTATCATAGATTAAGGAAAGACTCACTAATGGAACAGTTAGTTGCAAAGCGACAAGTCCGGATTTTCCATTTTTTTCTAGCCTCGCCCATGCCCATTCATTATCCACTCGCTGAATTTCCGTTAACAAATCACCTTCACAAAAACTGAAAAAAAAAAAACCAAATTGGTACTTCTGTTTCAACATCTACCGATACATGCCTTTATAATATCTTGAATAATTTTTTTTTTAACAAATAAAATACAGATATTTGAGAAAATTTGATTTCACAAATACAATCCAGCATTGAAAAATAATCCAAGATTTTAGAAATGGCAATGAAATGAACAATTAAATATGAGATCAAAAAACACCGAATAGAAGAAGAAAAAATTGAAAAACATGGAATTAATTTTATTACTACCTTATTTCATTTGTATCGGGCATTGCACGAAACGGTAGTACTGCTATCCTTTGACGGTTAACTAATTTCACCGGCTATAAACAGAAAATTGAATGGGAAAAAAAAAAGAAATAAATAGGAAAAAGAAACTAAACAGTTTTCTTTTTATCAATAATCTATACCGCTTCTTTTTTGCTGTTGAAATAAAATGGACATAAAATTAATAATAAATAAATATGCAAAGAGACCGACCGAAGGTGGTTGAAGTGGTAACACTGCTGTTTTTGATTCGTTTACAAATGTTTGAATGAGATCAGACAATGTTGTGAAAGATTTTCCAAACAAAAAATATTCACCACAAACCTGGTCAATACTGAAAATTTTCATTATTTAAATACGATGAGAACAATTTTACCAACAAATGAAACTACTAATTAAAAAAGCAAAGAGAAAAATGTAAATTTATTCGTGGTAATTAAAAAAGGAAAACACATTTCGTTGCACCAAGAAAATTTCTTTGTAAACACAAATTTTTAATCAGTGTTTTCGTTTACTTAACTATCAGTTCTTTCCCACCGTTCTCTTTTTCTTTTCCAAAAAATAAAAAAAAAAGATAAACCCTCAAAACTATCAATAAACAATATGCAATACATTGGTTTGAAAATTGTTGAAAATTGCTACCAAAAGTAACAGATAAAATATTCATCCGAAAATTTTTCAAGTTAATCATCTCCACTGTAAACTAACTAAAAGCAAAATTTAAAAAATTCATCATTAAACTTCTTCATTTCTTTGGAAAAAAAAAGTCAACATTTTGAATATAAGTAAAATGAACTTCAAAAACTACCATTTTTCCATTTTTAATACAAAATTAATCAACATTAATGGCATTATCTTTTTGGAAACTAATAGCGTGAAATTGTTCGAAAACTTACGATAAATGCATCACCGAATTACTGACTGATGGAAGCCAAGAAAGACAAAATTTTGGTGTGATAGAATTTTGTTCAGCATGTAAAATCAATGCACCATCAATTTTACATTTTCGTAATCGATATTCCACTTCTTCTTCTGTAATAAAACCATGGAAACAATCCACTGAGTCTAATGCTCCTTCTTTCACTTCTACTCCTATTTTTGATTCATATTTTCGCACTTGCTTCTCCTTATCTTCCATTCCATTGTCTGTTGCAATCGACATCAGACCATCTGGAATAATTTCAAATCATATGCAACATTAAATTTGAAAGGATTAATTAATGAATTTTGTGCAGGAAACAGAAATAAGTTCGGTAAAATGTTAATAATTTTAACTACAATTCCTCCATTCATTCTTGCCACATATAATGGAGTGAAGATATTTTACAAAAAAAAAGTAATCACAGCAAATCAAAAAAAAAAAACATGATAGGTTATTTAGATGAGAAAAATTTCAATACCTATAATGATTAAAAGAAAATAACAAATTGTTATTTTTTTTAAAGTCAGTAACTATTACAATATTAGTAATATTATGAAAAAGAAATTTTATGACTACAAAAATGAATTAGAAAAAAAAAAAATCACAAGAAAAAAGAAAAAATACAACATGACAAAATTTTCAACCACAATATGAAAAAAGATTTCAACAGTCAAATTCTCATTTTACTGAAATTTCATATCATTTCAAATAAGAGTTGTTACGCGATGAATAAATGAAATAAATGAATGATATGAAATGAAGATGGCCACCAAAGATTTATTTGAAAGTTAACTCATTACAAACATTAATCTCATGACGATGACCTAATATCATCCAAAATTTTATGCGTCAGTAGCTAAATTCATTCCAAATTTATCTATGAATGTTTCATTTCATTTATTCATCGAATTGTTGAATAGAAACAAAAATAGCATAAATTTTTGCGGATAAAAATAACACTGTCCGTTATTAATTTAAAAAAAAAAGATGAAAATTTATACAAATTTTCGGAACAGAAAATACAAATAAGTACTGGAAGATACAAGTGTATAAAATAAATTCAAATCATTAAAATAAGTAAATGCAATAAGCAAAACCCTTTTGTTCTCTGTTTAGGTAATTGAACAAAAACCGATGAACATGGATACTTTAAAACAAATGAAGATTTTTGATGCTAACACCCTTATCATTGATATCATTGACAGCTATAATATGGAATAATGAAAAAACGATAAACAAAAACTGTCATCAATTATTAAAAAATGATAGTTTTTTTACTGGTTAAGCTTCATTGATTATAATTGACTAAAAGCACTAATAATCAGCAGACTTTAATTGCATAAATTAAAAACTTTAAAAGTTTTTTTACCTACATTATCTAAATTAACATATCAAAAAAAGGAAAGAGAAAGGAAAAAAGCACAATTAAATAACTCCAATATTTCTTCATAAAAAAAACGATGCTACATTTTAGAGATGAATTTAATACCTCGTAAATTAATTGATAAAACTCAAGAAATCTTAAGAATCATTGATTTTTTTCTTAATGCAAAACTTTTCAATCATTCCATAAAAAATTCGATTTTAAAATTTACCGAAATTCCTGCGAAGAAAGAAAACCGGCAAATCGTTAACAACAGAAATATTTGTACCAAATATTTATAAACCAATGTTTATCAAATTCCACATTGTGATTTAAACAGCATATGCAACTCTTTAATCTCAACCGCAATAATAATTGTTTAATATTACCCCAATTTAAATTAGTTCAGGTAAGGAGGTTTAATTTAAAATTAAAATTTTTTTTAAAAAACTTTTCTTTTTGAAAAAAAAAATGCATGAAAAATTATTTGATAGTAAGTTATAAGCATAAGGTTATTATAGAGGAATATGGTAAAAAAAAAAAGAAAAAAAAAAGATAACTTGTGATTGCAAGAAAATGTTGACAAAATGACAGCTAAGACATTGCTTCATCTAACTGCAAAAAAAAATTTCGCCTTTTTCTTCCTTTTTTTTTTGAAATATTCGAAGTCTGAATATGAATAAAAGCAATACTAGTTTATTACCAAGGAAGAGAGAGAGAGAGAGAGAGAAAGAAAGAAAGAGAGAGGGAGGGAGAGAGTTAAGAAATATTATTTCAGTGTGATCATTTCAACAATGTCATTCATTTAATGCTTAACATGAAAAAACTCTACATTTCATATCTTTAATTACATAACGAAATTTTTCAATTAATCGAAAAAAAAATACAAAAAAGAGGAATAATTTCATAGAATAAAAAAAAAATTTTTTAAAAAAGTTACTGAAAATAAACAAAAAAAAATGTTTTATGTTGGAAAATTAAAAAAAAAAAAAAAAAAATTACCATTGCACATTAAGAAAAGAAAAAAAAATGATAGATAATTTTAAATGCTAATATTTGGAAAAAAAAAGCTAAAATTAAGAATAGAAAGAGATAAGATAGAGAGAGGGAAGGAAAGAAATAAAGATAAAAAAAGTAAAATAAAATGAAAAAAAAACGAGAAAGAAATCAAAACAAAATAAAACAAAAAACCAGTTTTTTTTTTTTTTGTTATCCGTAATTTTGATAATAAAATAATGATGGCATTCTAATTGTAATTAGTGATTGAGCGAAATTTCACAAAGTGTTACAAATTGTTAAAATGCATTTCATCGTGTTTTGTTACACATATAGAGTGGATTACATATTATGGGTAAGAGAAAGAAATGAGAAGAAATATTTAATCAACCATAAATAAATTTTATCATTACTTTAATAATTATCAAATATTGCTATAAAATTTATTAATAAATTGCTAATATTTTAATTATGAAAATTATTAAAAGAAAAAAGAAAGCAGTAGAAAAATTATTTGTTAAATTTAAATTTGATAAAAAATTGAATAATAAAATTTGAAAATGCCCATCAAAGAAAGATAAAAAGAAGAAAAGATGTAAATAAATGAAGAATTAAAGATTGAAAAGATGCAGCAGAAAATGAATTAAAATTAATTAAGAATAGAAATGAGAAGAGAAATAAGAATTGAAATGAGAATAGGAATAAAAATAAAAAAAAAATAGAATAGAAATAGAAGCGGAAATAGGAATAAGAATTAAAATGAGAATAATAATAATAAGAATATGGAATAAGAGCAAGAATAGAAATAATAATAATAATAATAATAATAATAATAATAATAATAATAATAATAATAATAATAATAATAATAATAATAATAATAGTAGAATTAAGAATTAAGAATAAGGAAGATTTATATACATCATTGAACGGAAATACAATCTCATAATTTACGGAGCAATTATTTCTAATTGGTTGTAAATTATAAATCACATCTATTCATCAGAAATAACATTTCAAATATTTATTCATACGTGTATGACATATGCATGCACTGATGTGCATACGTGAGTGGGTGGTACGTGAGTGACACACGTATGTGAGTGTAAATATACGCATTTAATCGATCATCAATTTTCCATCAATCTTTTAATCATTATTTTCTTTTCTTTTCGTTTCTTTTTAACGACACACATTTTTTTTTTCTTTTCTAATCTAAAATATCCATTCGCTATTTTCTTCCTTTTTTATCGTATTAAAATAATTGCAAAAATACATGTGAAATAGTATTTCCGGTATAATACAAACCGGAACTCATTCATTCGAGGTTAATTTTGAAAGACGGAAATGACAAAGAAAGGAATTTTATTTGATTACATTCAAAAAGATAGATAAGATTTTCAGATAATAAGTTAAGAAAAAGAAAAAAAAAATGAATAACACTAAAAGTTTGTGAAATTTTAGTTTTTTTATTAAAAGCTTATCTATTAGATTAATTAAATTCTTCCAACTTCAATAAATTTTTTTCTTTGTTTCTTTTAAGTAAGTGAAAAATATTTATAAATATTTGTAATGAAATTTAAAAATATTAAAAAAAAAAAAAAAAAAAAAAAAAAGAGTGCTTCCATCATTGCAATTCTTATCTTTCATATGATAAAATTAGATAAGATAACAGAAATGTATCATCTTTTCTCTTCCATTTTCCTTTTTTCATTTAAATAATTTAATGCTTTATTACTTTTCAATTTAATTTATTCAATGTTTATTTATAAACCTTTTATCTAATTTTTATAGAATTTAATTTAATTAATTATTATAAAATACTGTTCAATGCATATTTCACCTCTAAATAAAGAATGAAAAATAAGGAGCAAAAAAAAAAAAGGAAAACTTTAAAATAAATATTAAATTCCGAATATTTACATATATGTATACATATATTATTCAATAATATTCATACATTCTTACCTGTAATTCTTACCTTATGCTAATTTACAACATTGTCATAGTTCACTACTACTAACATGACAATCAAATCTATTCAAATCATTTTAATATGAATTTTTAAATTTCAAAAAAAAAAAAAAAAGAAAGAAATGATAAAATTATTAGAAGAAATTGGAGAAATTTTGCAAGTAGCAAACAATAAAAGAATCTACTGAAAAAAAAAGAAATCTTAAAAATGATGAGTTAAAAGGAAAAAGAAATGAAAAAAAAAAAAAAAAAAGAGAAGAAACAAACATCTGTTATTTAAATCGAAACACTTCAAAAGATTGAAATATAAAAATGATATCTCATTTTCAAATCTTTTATTCCTCATGAATCATGAATCATTACACAGAAACAGAAAAGCAGGAAAAGAAATGATGCAAACAAATAAATTTCAAATTAAAGTTAATGAGTAAATGAATTATAATAAAATAAAACAAATTAAATTACCTTATAAATGAAATAAATGGAACGTTATTTTTTTTTTTTTTTAATCTATAATCAAATTTAATTTTAATGAATTGAATTAAATTACAAAATGTGAATATATCATTATTATTATTAGTAGTGGTAGTAGTTATCATTATCATTATTAATTATTATTATTATTGCTTCTGATTTTTTTTTAAACAAATATATATATAATACATTTTTTTTCAGCATTTTTATATTACAAATTTTGTTCCGGAAATGATGTCATAGTATAAATTTGTTTTATAATACATGTTGACCACCATAATCATTATCATAATCACCAGCAACATTATTATCAATAACAACAGCAACAACACTCTGATAAGAAAGAAGGAAGAAAGAGGAAAGAAAAGAACGATGAAAAGTGTTTCCTGTTTAAATGGAAATAAATTTCTTATTTTTATTTCTTGTCTTCATATATAAATTCATAATAAAAACAAAATTAAATTTCATTTCTAGTATTTGAAAAGCTAATGGTAATAGCAGTGGAAGTGTAGGATGAAATAAGAACTTGTTTAAATTTTTGATAATATTTAATGGAGTGGAAAAAATTTTCTTCCAAATTAATTAAACATTTCGTAGTATAATGCTTTTTCCAATTTATTACAACAATAATGATAATAATAATATTTTACAACATTTTGCTTTTATTTACAATTAAAACAAAAAAAAAATTTTCAATTCAGAGATGATGCTTAAGGTAGCTTTTATTAATTTATGTTAAATTTAAAATTTGAAATTTAATTTATTAATCCGAATAAATAAGAAAAATATAATTATAAATTTATAAAAATTTTTTATAAAGAAAAACGAAATAAAATAAAAAGAGAAGGGAAAGAGAGAGAAAGAGAGGGAGAGAAAGAAAGAGAAATTTCTTATCATTAAATTCAGATTAAAAATAACTCACATTTTCAACAAAACAAATAAGATATATGAGAAAGTTAGCTGATAAATTTTAATTGATAAGAAATCTTAGCTCATATTTTATTAAGTACCAAAATTTTTGTTATTTTCATTTTTATATTTGAATAAAAAATTTATAGCAGTATTAAAGATTTATATAGCAACATTAGAAGTTTGTGATAACATTTATGATAATGATAATTTTAAATTTATGATGATGAATATTTTAAGTAATTACTTAAATATAATAATTTACTTAACAAAGAAATATGTGCACAAAAATAACAAATAAATTCATGCCACTTAATAAGTAAATAATAAATATTTAAAAGAATAAAGTGAACAAAAAATAAAGAGAAAATATTTAAACTAATTTGAAATAATATTTATTTTTGTTAGAAATATTTTTAAAAAAAAAAAGGTAAGTAAGAGAAGTAAAAAGAGAAAGGAAAAAAAAAAAAAGAAAAGATAGAAAGAAATAAAGATTTTATTATAAAAGATAACAAAATTTAGATGAAATTTAATCATCACATATCAACTAACGGAATTGCCAAAAGGCATGTCACACTCATATATACTTACACATACAAACATACATAAAAATAGACGACGCATACAGACACGGATACATACACAGACATACATGAATGATATTTGATAATTTTGAAAGTTTAAATTTACTACTACTACTAACCGGAAGTTTTTAACCGGAAGTAAGATATTATTTATTAATCATCATTTTATCCTATTAATTCAATTCAAATGACCACATTTGATGGAACAAATTGAAATTGATATGAGAAAAAGATAGGAAATAGGAAAATGAGGAATAAATAGAATTGAATGAAGAGATAGTTAAATGAGGAGGAGGAGGAGGAGGAGGAGGAAGAAATGAAGGAAAATATATAATGATATAAGATTGGAACAAAATGAAACGGAAATCTCAAATACCGGAAGTGCAATTTTTCTTTTTCTCTCTCTCTCTCTTTCATTTTAAAAAAAAGGAAAAGAAAAGAAGGAAGAAATGAAGAATGGAAAGAAAGAATGAAATATTTAGAAACGATGAAATAATTCATAGAACAAATGAAGGAATGAATGAATGAATCGGATGAATGTTTGATATTTTCAAATCGTTTACAATTTATCATTAATGATTTGAATGAATCAATCATTTAAATATATTTTTTTTTCCTTTGATCACGTGAATGAATACGTGAATGGATACGTAAATATATTAGTTAACATATGTTTGTAATTGATTAACATATTTGATAAAAACTAACAGAAATTATGCTTAATCGTATGATTACGTGAATAAATACGTAAATATAAGATTACGTAGGTGATTACGTAAAGTAAACATATGTTTGCAATAAAATGACGTATTCGATAAAAATTGACAAAAATGAAACTAATTACATGATTGCGTTAATTAATGACTGTGTAAATATCTATTTATAATATATTGATGTATTCGATGAAAAAAAAAAAAAAAAAAAAAAACAAAAAGAAGTTAATCACTAAGTGAAATGATTACGTGAACGAATACGTAAACTGACGTGTTTCAATTAAAATGAAAAGAAAGTCAACTAACTATGCAATTATATGAATGAATATGTAAATACGTAAATATATGTTTGTTACAATAAATTGACGCATTCGATGGAAAAAAAAACAAAGAAAAAGTTAATTTAATCAGTTATTAAGTATTGCAATCTTTTTTATTATTAAATTGAATTATACAATTTTATGCAGAAAATAATAATGTGAAGAAGAGATAAAAGTAAAAAAAAAAAAAAATAACAGAAAGAAAAATGCAAGAAATGGAATTAAAAAAAAAAATAAAATTATAAGAAAAAGATAAAAAGATGCAATGATATATATATATGTATTTAATTAAATTGATAATTAAAATGAGAATATTTGCTATACTCATTTTTTTTTTTTTATTTCATTCCATTTCATTTTAATTCAGTTCATTTGCAATCTTTTTTTTACTTCACTCTTTTGTTTTTTTATCCATTCAATAATATTTTATTGAATTTTTACCTTCTATTGTTTCTCTATTTTCATTTTTCATTTCTATCATTTATCATTTAAAAATAATAAAAAATATTTCTAATAATAAAAAAATAATAAAAAAAAAAAAAACGAAGAAATGATTAAGCAATAAAGGCACTGTATTTGCTATTAACAATTGTACGTGATCGCATACGTGATCGTATACGTCAATAAGCCAGATTAAAGCAATATATACTTATATTAATGCTTATTTTTTTTCCTTTTAGATTTACGGTGACATATTATAGAAAGTAAATTTACGCAAGAAGTAATATTACGTAACGTAAATCATGCAGAATTTTGTTAATTTAATAATTTAATAATAATAATAATTTAATGTTAATTTAATAATTAATAATAAACATTTATGAATGTTAAAAATTTATAAAATTTTTAAACGTAACATTTGTTTTTTCTAATCGTATTATTTACAAAATATAACGCTATTAAAAATTTTCTAAAATAGGAAAAATTATTTATTATAAACACACACACACAGAAAATGAAAAGAAAAATTTAATCAACAAATTATTTCAATTTTAGTATTAAATCATTAATTTTAATATTTATAATTTATTTTTTTATTACTAATAATAATGTAATAATTTTGTTATTCTTATGCTATTATTTTCAATATTATTATTTATGATATCATCGTTTGTATTAATTTTCTAAGTAATATATCCTTGTTGTTTACATTATTATAAATTTTTTTTTTCTTTTTTTTTTTTAATGAAAGATTATATTTGATATTTTCATTTTCTTCCTACCTCTTTCTTCTATTCACTTTTTTTTTTTTAATTTTTCATCTTATTCCTTTTTTACACAAAAAATTTTTAATAAATTGAAATATGAAGAAGAAAAAAGGAAAAAAAAAAAAGAAAGAAAAGAAAAGAAAAAAGTTTAAATCACACATTTTCGAAAGTGTTAGTTAATTTGTCGTTCGTTAATTTTTTTTATTTTTTGTTCTTCGCTTTTTTTTTTTCTTTCACCTATTTTTTAAATAAAGTGCTGTTTTAATAAATGTAAAATTTCTTTTTTTGAAAATTAATGAAAGATAGAAGGAAAAAAGTGAAAAATTTGAAATGAAAAAAAAAAATTTGTAATTTAAAATGAGACTTTTTAACTATTTTTATAATCTTTTAAACTTTTTAAATAAAACAAGGAAACTAATATCCCAGAAAAAAATACCTATACTTACCTTATGTAAATTATAGACATGTATGTATGTGTGTATGTATGTATGTGTGTGTTGTGTGTTGTATGTAATGTGTATATATATCCATACAAATGCATATATTTTCCGTGTAACCACACAGACACACATACAAACACATACACACACACACACACACACACACACACACACACACACACACACACACACACACACACATACACACCCACGCACGCATCGCCTATTTTAAAATTAAATTATTCCATATTTTAAATTGTAAATTAAAATTTTTTTCTTCTTCACTTCACTTTGATACGACTAATAAATGTATGATGAAAAAATTTCTAACAAAGTGTAGGAAAAAGTGAAAAAAAAAAGTTAAAACTCTTTTAATTTAACAATTAATTGAAAAAGATACGAAAAAAGTAACGGTAGAAAATATTTTTTTTAACAATTCTTATTAAATTAGTGACTAACTAAATAAATACATAATAATAATAATAATAAATAATAATGATAACAATAATAATAGGGTTAATAATAATAATGATAATAATAACAACAATAATAATACTAATAATGATAATAATAATAATAACAATAATAATAGGGTTAATAAATAGTGATATTTACCATTGGAATTATAATTAAAATTATATAGTTCATATAATTATTTTTAATAATATATATGTATATATTATAATTGCGTGGTTAATATAATTATTCATAATTATTATAATAATTGTAATTGCTAACTGTAATATTAATAATAATAATAATAATAATATTAAAAAGAATGATAATAACGATGATGTTGATTGATAATTGATCATTTTACATGTTTGGTACCAGTTTTTTTTTCAAACTTATTCCCTGGAGATTTACTGATTTCCATGATTCATCATTCATTCATACTGCATGGTCTCACCCTTTCATGCAATTTCACAATTCTTTCGCTGAATCTCTTGAGATTTCAAATTTTCAACAAAAACAATTTCACCTTTATTTTAGTTTTGTTTACATCCTTTTCTTTTTTTGTATTGCTATTTTTACTTTCAATCCTAATAAATGTATGGCTAATTTTGAATTGCAGTATAAAAGATTGAAAGGACTGATTAATTTTAATGATCGATTCATTTAGTAGTTAGAATAACGAACTGAATTAAAGATTGAAATCCTAGAAAGATAGCATAGCATTAAAATTATTAATAATTGGAACTTCTGACTTAATTAATAAATTAAGTCGATCATATTGATTGATTTAATCAATTATTTGATCTAAAAAAAATTAATAGCATTAAAATTTATTCATTTTAAATCATTTATGTGCTGGATTATTTGGTTATTTATGGTACCATTGTTGCTTTATTTTAAAATGAAAAAAAAAATTTAAGTAATTAAAGCAAGAATTTATTGATATTACAATAAAAAGTTTCAGTATTGAAAAATAAAATGTAATAAAACAATTTTACATACTAATATCACATGTAAATATTTCTATTTTAAGTGTAAAATTTTTTTTAAACGTGTAAAATTACATTGTAAATATTTTCATTTCGCTATAAAATTATTATTGCTGTATATTATTTTATATTATTATTCAAAATTAAATAATTTCTTCTAATCTATTAATTGTTAAAAATTTGAAATGACGAAAACTTTTTAAATTAGAAAAAAAAAAAGGAGGCATACTGAATAATTCCTGTAAATATATTTATATATATGCATATGAAGATCTTATTTTACCACAAAATGTAAATTTAATAAATTACTTATCGTTATATGGCGCAAATGTAATTATTGTAGTAATTTACAACGATGTAATGCGCTAATGTAATGAATGCTGCATTTACTATTAAAGTATAAGTATAATTATTATTTATTACAATATTTATTGATAAAACTTATTATAAGATTTAAAAATAAAAAATGACAACAGTATGTAATAAAATGTAAATATGTATTTTTTAATTTTAATTTTTTTGTTTATGCAAGATATAAATATTAAAATAGACTTTTTAGCAATCATTTTATATAATAAATTTATAATGGTAATATTGATAAAATTTATGATTTATACTAAATTAAATTTTAAAAAAATGAACGAATTAAAAAATCTTTTTTGTTGTTTAGCAATTATAATTGGATTGCTAACAAAAAATACGTATTTTACGTACGTAATAATTTCTATTCATTCATTCATTCTCAGTGAGTGAATCTTTTAATTAGAAAAATTGGAATTGATAACAAAAAGTACGCATTTTACGTACGTATAATTTTTATTCATTCATTCTAGTAAATAAATCATTTAGTTAACGATATTTGAAATAGTAAATATATATTTTACATACAAAAACAATTTTAAAATCTCTTTATTTAGCCATTCATTCATTCATTCATTCATCTATTTATTTATTTAATAAATTAATTAATTAATAAATTAATTAATTAATGAATTCATTTATTCCACTCATTCATTCATTCATCCATTTCTATTAGAAAAGTAAGAGTCCACCAGTACAGCTCCTCAAATCCCTTCCTTCCCTCTTCTTCTTCTCATTTCCAACAAAGTTACAGCTAAACTCTCTCCAAATGCTAGGTGCTATATAGTTTAGTTAGCTTGCTTACTTCAAATCGATTCCTCTCTCTTTTTAAACTATTCTATCCAAAATTATATTTATTCTCTTCTCAACTCTATTCCATCCTTTTGAAACATTAAAATTTTTATTTTTCGTATGCATTCTCTTAAAAATGTATAAACTTTTCTCTTTTTTTTTCCCTCATTATTTCTTTTCCTTTTCTTTCCTTTCCTTTTTCTTTTTTTTTCCTCTTCTTTTTTTTCTTTTTTTTTCGTTGTTGTTATTATCTACATCTTATCATCATCTTCTACATCTCTCTACTTTTTTTCTTTCCTCTTTTCTCTCCCTCTCCTTCTTCTTCATCAATCTCCTACTCTATTTATCAAAACTTTCATTACATTTCCTTCATTTCTTCCTCCTCTTTCTTCTCTTTTTTTTCTTCCCTCTCTTTCCTTTCTCTCTCTCCCTCTCCCTCCCTCTCTTTCGTCTCAATTTCAAAATTCATTTCCAAAATGTAACACTTATTTCTATATGTATTTTGTTTCCATTACACACATATATTTATTAACTTCTCCTACAAATAGCCTATAACTAAACCATTTGTTCATTTTAGCTTGGCGCAAATGACGTGTCCAATTCATTTTTATACTATTTTAAACTTGCAAACGACATATTCACAACGTGTATGTATGGATATGTGCGTGTGTGTATGTGTGTGTGTGTGTATGTGTGAGTGTGTGTATGTATGTGTGAGTGTGTGTATGCATGTGTGTATGTGTGTGTGTGTGTGTGTGTGTGTTTTTTTTTTTTTTTTTTTGTGTGTGTGTGTGTGTGTGTGTGCGTGTGTGTATGTGTGTGTGTGTGTATGTGTGAGTGTGTGTATGTATGTGTGAGTGTGTGTATGCATGTGTGTATGTGTGGGTATGTTTGTTAAATATGTGCATACATTCGTCTATTTTTTCCTTTAGTTATGTAAAAAGCGAATAGCATAAAGGCTAAAATCGAACTATACCTATCCAACATCTATCCATCTATCCATCGATCTATCTATCTATCTATCCATCCATCTATCCACTGATCGATCAGTCTATCTATCTATCCATCCATCGATCGATCGATCTATCTGTCTCTCTATCTACCCATTCTATCTAGGTTTAACTTTTTTAAATTTCTACATATCGTCTATCCTATGTTAGCCAACAGCACATCACTCTCTATTATTATTATTACTATTACCATTATCATTAGTTGTTATCATTAGCATTATCATCATCATCATTATTATTATTATTCATCAGCTATAACCATTATTACCACTACTAACCATTATCATTTATACTCTATTACAATCAATATGTTATCATTATTTTAATCTTAAATTGGTATCAAATTGTGAATTGTTGATATTATTTTCAGAAATTTTTTTACCAGACTATTTATGTTTCTTATATTGAATATTTTTAATTTTACGTATAGGTTGTTTGTTTGTTTGTTTTTTTTTTTTTTACGTGGGATTTTTACGTGATGTAAAAATTTTACAACGAATGGAAAAAAAGGATAAAATTGAAGAAAATAACATTGGGGGTGTGTTGTAATATAATTTCTTTTTTTTTTGAATTTTAACATTATTATTTCTATTATTAGTTTTTTTTAGTTGCAAAACATTTTGGCATTACTATTATTATTATTTTTTTCATTATTGTCATTATTATTGTCACTACTATTGTTAGTATTATTATTATTACTACTACTACTACAGCAACTGTTTACTATTACTGTTACTGTTATTTATTACTGTTACTATTATTACTATTATTATTATCACTGTTACTATTATAGTAATACTTATTAATAATTTTTACTGCTATTACTTATTACAATTGACTATTATTATTATTACACAATTTTGTCGATCGATCATCAATCAATCAATCAATCAATCAGTCAGTCAATCAATTTTTTTTTATTTTTTAATTCTATCATAAATTATCATATGCCACAACAGTTATCAATGGCACAAGGAACACCACGTAAATTTGCGGAAAAAATTGCAATAATGGAAAGGAAGCAAAATGAAGATCAAGAAGTGTTTACCTCAGTTATGCGTGACGTACGTGCAATTACGAGTAATTGTACCGCTTCACCACCTGTTTGCTCTAGTCCACAAGCACTTGCACCACCAATAAATTGGAATCGTTCCGGTGGTTCATTACCAAATGTACATGAAATGGTACAACAGCAACCGGACATTCATCATTGGTCATATTTGCATGACTCATCACAATTGAATCAATCAAATCATTTACGTGGTCGTTCACCAATTACAACAACAACAACAACACACTATCATCCGTATAAATTATTCAAACAACATGAACGTTATTTACCAATTGATCAACTGGATTATCAACATTTGCATTGTTCAGCAAGTAATCATTTACAACCACCAGATATGTTATGGCCAAAGTAAGTAAATATTATTTAAATTAAGATTAAAAAAATAAAGTTAGTAATATTATTGAAATTAAAATAAAGAAAATAAGGTAATTAAAATTAAAAAAAATGAATGAAATTAGTAATATTACTAAAATTATTGAAATTAAAATTTAAAAAAAAAAGTTAGTAACATTATTGAAATTAGAACAAAAAAATATAAATAAAGTTAGTAATATTAATAAATTTAAACTTAAATGTATAAATGTATAACTATATTCTTAATATATTCAATTTAATTAAGAAAATATATATTTCATATTTACTCCCTTTTTTTTAAAAAAAAAAAAAAAATGAAATATATTTAATGACAATAATAATAATTTTACTTATATTTTTATTAAGCTTAAAAAAAAAAAAAAAAAAATCGTATATATTTATATATTTCTTTTGTTCCATTATTGCATCATAACTATTAAGTTATTTCATTACGATTTTTTCTTTTCCTTTTTTCACATGAGACAGATAATTTAGTCGACGAAAATCTGAAATTTGAATATTTTATTAATTCGAATATAAATTATTTCAATGAGTTATAATAAGTAATTTATGACTTCGCCCATAACTTTAACTAACGATAGATACACTGAGCATTATAATTCTATCGTACGATTATTAATTAACTGATAAGTTATTTGTTTGAGACAAAGGGAAATTACTGATAAGAATTATCAATATTATAATAAGAATGAATAATAGTGAATTTTATTAATATTATGACAATAATGAATAGTGAGAATGGCATTTGTTAATATTATGATAAGAAAAAATAAATTAACTTAATTGCCTTTGTAATTTTTTAGAAGCTTTTAATTATTATATTGCAGGCAAAATTTGTAAATGATATTAAAATAGATTTAAGAAAAAATAAAATATCCTTTCAAATTGATTGAATTATATTAACACCTTGATTTTTCACATTAAATTATATTTACCTTTTTTTTAAATTCATATAAACTTTTTGTCATTTCTTTTTTTTTATTTCTCACATATTTATCATATATATATAGCTCTTTTTTTTTGCAGAGCTCGTAGTGATCCGACAATTTTCATGAATTTATATCAACAACAAGAACGATTAGAAAATTTTAACATACAAGATTTGACGTTATTATCATCCAATCAATCATTATCACCATTATCATTTCATCCTACAACCGACTCATTTAATGGTACATTACAACAAAAAATTATCAATGATAGTAAGGAAATTACAATTGGTTCATCATTACCTGATATACCAACACCAATTGCAACAATACAATCATGTCCATATCATTATCATTATCATCATTATCATCATCTTCATCATCATCATCATCAAACAATAACACAACGACATAATACAAGTTTATGTCAAACTTTAGCTACACCACCATCATCATCCGAATCACAATCAGCGCCAACAAGTCCAGCGCAAAGTGTTGAATTACCAGTACCAACAGCATGGCCACAGCGTAATTATTCAAATAGTCCTGAATCACGTGAAATACCAAATATTGTTCTCACGGGTACCGATGGTGAATTGGATTGCTTTGAGGATTTGCAAGATTTACATTTAGATGCTAATGAACTACAACAATTGCTAAGTAGCAATGAACAGGTTGATCCAACAGGTGAAACACAACTTCTTCAATAATTTTCTTCTTCCTTTTTTTTTTAATTTTTCTTTTCTTTCTTTTTTTTTCTTTTTCTTTTTGTTTTTTTTTTTCTTTTTTTTTCATGATCTCTTATTGATTGAATTAAGGTTTCTTTTTTCTTTTTTTTAAAAATATTTTTTAAAGATTTAAAAAGGAAAAACAAAACAAAACAAAGCAGAAAATTAATCGAAAATAATGTTTATTTACTTATTGTTTTATTTCATAAATAGATATATTTTAATAACAAAAAAATTTATGACAATTAATTGTTTTTAATTAAGATCTCTTAATTTTTTTTCTTTTTTTTTTTCCACGAGAAATTCTTATAAATTATAGATAGCAGTGATATTTCGATGATATAATTGATAGGATATATTAAAAAGAATATAATTTTGCATTTCTTTTCAAAAATTAGAATCCTTTTCTTTCTTTTCTTTTCTTTTTTTTTCTGTGTAGAATTGGATGATAATTTTTGATTTTTTTGATTTTTAATTTGTTATATTTTCATTAATTTTTGTGCAATATTGATTAACACAAAATAGCAATTTTTGTTATTTTTCATTTTATTTTTTCTAAAAAAACCCTATTTTGTTAGCAAAAAAAAAAGTTTTATAGCAAATTTTCATTAAATTTAATTTTTATAACAAACGATGAGAGTGAAAGTAAACTATTTTCTTCTCTTCTCTTTGTTTGTGTAAATTTTTTTTTTAAAAGTTTTTTTTTTTTTTGTTCTGCCTCAAATTTCATCAAAAAACTTTTTTCTTCCTTTGCAATAATTTTTTTTTTTTTTTTTGCAATTCGATTAATTAGTATGGATTATATCATTATCTTAAATTTTTCGTCAAAAAAGTTTTTCAATTTTATTGCATTGTTAATTTTTCTTTTTTTTCTTCTTTTCTCTCTCTCTTTCTTTTTTTCTCTCTTTCTTCTTATATTATTTGATATTCAGATTTGAATGAAATGATAAATTAATGTCTTTGAAACGAAAAATAAATTTTGCTGTTGAAAATAGAAATTATAAGAGATGGCTAAAGTCAAGTAAGTAAATAATAATTATATGCATAATTTAATAAAATAACTAACCAAATTGCTTAATGATTATAACGCAAGTAAATAATTAAGTAAATAAGTAATTTCTTAATTGCTAATATTTAATTCCTATAGGAAGTCTTAAATTTAATTTACAAATTTCATTATCTTTTAATTCACTACTGAAAAGTACCCCGTTAGCATATAAGTTTATAATTAATATCAATAATGATACTTTTATATTCTAAAAATAAAAAGAAAGAAGGTAGGAGAATAGTGAAATTTATAAAAGCATATATACATTTTCCTTTTTTTTTTTTTTTTTGAAATATATCTTTTCATATTTATTATATTATACTTAAAAATATTTCATAAATAATTTCTAAATTAAAATCTTAATTTAATTTTTGTTTAATTCATCAAAAATGAAATTGGGTTTCTTTTTTAAATTGGTGTCGGGATCATTTTTTCTTTAAAAAAAAAATTCATATGAAAAAAAAAAGAAAATAATTATGTGTCACTAAAATTTTTGAAATTTCCACTAAATAAGCTCATATAATTAGCAAAACTGCTTAAATTTTTCATTTTTTAAATTTATTTAATTTGTTTTTAATTGATGGTAATTTATACTAATATTAATTTTTCATAATAATATGTAAAACTGCTTAAATTTTTCATTTTTTAAATTTATTTAATTTGTTTTTAATTGATAGTAATTTATACTAATATTAATTTTTCATAATAATATGTAAAAAAAGAAAGAAAAGAAAATATAAATTATAATAAATCAATAAATACATCTTTTAAGTATATACATTAAAATATATTGGTTGAAACTAAGGGAAAAAAGAAAAGTAAAGAAAAAAGAAGAGAAAAAGGAAAAAGAACGATGAGAGAAAAAAAAAATTCTTTCAGAAATTATTCTTTTTTTAAAAGTAAAATTTTTTTTTAATAATATTGTACAAATATTCACAATAAATATATGTATTTTTAATAATAGTGCCATAAAATTTGTTAAATTTTTTATAATATTTGTAATTAATATTTTGTCTGTATTTTAAAGTTTACTTAATATTAACTTTATTTCATTTATTAATTTTATGTTAAAATATTGTTTATTTAAAAAAAAAAAACAAAAAAACAAAAAACAAAACAAAAACAAAAAAAAAAAGCAAAAAAAGAAGAGAGAAAAAGAGAAAAAAAAAAAAACTTTTTGATTCATTATTGCTCAAATATGTTTATTTTTCATTTCTGCAATTAATTGTTTTATATTTATATGTGCATGTATGTATGTATGTATATGTATGTGTGTGTGTGTGTATGTGTGTATGTGTGTATGTTTGTTTACTTATATGTTTTTTTTTTTTTTTTTTTTTTTTTTTTGTTTTCTCATTTTTTTTTATTTTAAATTTATTAAGAAGAAGAAAAAGAAAGAACGAAATATATGTTTTGATGAAATTTTATTCAGCAACAAAATATGATAAATGATTTTCTTTTTTTTTTTTTTTTTCATTATAGTCTTTCAAGTTTATAGAAAAAAAAAAATTGATTGAATTGTGAAAAATGAATGAATATGATTTGATCGATGTTTTATCATTTGATATTTGATTTATTTTTATAAATTTGATTTGTAAATGACAGTTGAATGTTGATATCATTAAAAATTTTTATCCATCTTTTGCTTTACACCTTTTTTTTTCTTTTTTTTCTTTTTTTTCTTTTCCTCTTAAATAAAATCATTTCAATTTAGAAATTTTTTAAAACATTGAAATGATCGTGCTGTTTCTTTTTTTCCTTTATCGTATCATTTGAAATTATTGATGATAAGATCAAAAAGACTTTAACAGCATTCATTAAATTAAGACATTTCAAATTAATCATGATAAGATTAAAAAGAGTTTAATAACAATTGTTAAATTAAGATTAGAATTGTTTTTTGTTTCAAATCTTCCCCTCTCTCTCTCTCTCTCTCTTCTTGATTTTAATAATTTAAAAATTTGAAAATCTAACAAGGAAACGAAAAATAAAAGGACAAAAAAAAAAAAAAAAAACAAACAAAAAATTCGTGAAAAAATTAAACTATACAATTAAACTGATGAATAAGAACAAATTTGTTAAAATATGATTTAATAGAAGTACGATGCATATAGTCTTTCCATTTCATTATGTAATTTAAAAGGTATAAAATTTCTCTTTCGAATATTTTCTAAAAAATAAAATAGTAAAAAACGAAAAAACAAACAAAAAAAAAAAAAACTTTTTTCATCTAAAAATAGAAGCAAACAGATGGTTTAATATATAAAATATATTTCCTATAATATAAAATTTTATAAGAAAAAGCAAAAAAAAAAAATGGAAAAAAAAGTAAAAAAATCACGAAATGATTAAATGACATTTTATAAAGTAAAAATTAAACAAAAAAAAAAAAGAGAAATATGTATTTATTTGTTTTTTTTTTTCAAAATATTTTAAATTCAAACATTTATTCAATCTCTTTTTACTATCTTTCAATTTTTTTTTTTTTCTTACTATCTTTTTTATATATTTTTTGTAAATATAATTGCCATATATCAATATGATATCTACAAAATGTAGAAAAGTACATTCATATATAAAAATAAAAATGCAATAAATTATTGATTAAACAATTTAAAGCAATTCTATGTTCTATTCTAAAGCTTTCTAATTTTTGAAAATATTAACTTTATTGATTTAAAATTTTTTATATATTACTTACTATTTATCAGTTTTAAAAAATGAACATTAGTTAGGAACTAAAGAAGCATTTACAAATTTTGAAAAAGAAATAATAAAAAAGAAAAGAATTACCTAATATAATTGAGTATTTGTAAAATGTTTTCTTTTCATTTATTTGAAACTTCCATATTTTAAAAATTTTCAGAATGAATCAGACTATATTTTTAAAAGAATTTTTTTTTTAAGAAAAAAAATCATTAAAAAAAGATAATCTTCAATATATTTATTTATTCTTAGTTTTTTTTTTTTTTTCATTTTGAGGTTTTCGAGAGTCTTTAAAACTAATCGATAATCAAGAGCATCTATATCAGCTTGATTAATAATAATCAATAAATAATAATCAAATTGTGACTGATTAATTGCGTATTGCTTAAAAAAACTCAAAAAAAAAAAAAAAAAAATGAAAAATTGAAAGAAAGATTATTTTATACGTAAGTATAACTATTTATACATTGGTTTATATTAATTTATTAAAAGAATATCCGTATGTAACGCATTTAAGAATATGCATACGCACGTACGTGTATATACGTGATGTTATATTTATGCAATAAAATTTTTGTAAATATTATTAAATATTGAAAGCAAAAAAAAAAAAAAAAAAGGAAAAACGAAACTATTTGCATATTCTTTAACAAATTATATATGTTTAAAATAACTAAAAAAAAAAAAAAAAATTGAAAAAATCATTAATTGAAAAAGAAAAAAAAAATTTTTCATTTTCATTTGTTATTAATAATTTCTACTTATTTCATACTTTTACTATTTTTTATGATCAAAAAATTGAAAGAAAAGTTATTTTCTCTCATTTCTTTCTTTTTTTTTTGAGACTTTATTACAAATTTATTATTTGGGTTTCTTTTTTCTTTAAATTATGAACTAATTTCTCTTTTTCTTTCTCCTTTCCTTTCCGCTTCCTCTCTCTCTTTCCCTTTCTTTTTATTTTAGAAATGCATAAAACAATAGATCTATATTTGGTTGAATTATATCTGAATACGAAAAAGAAAATCAAATTGGTTTGTCGTTTTAAAGAAACAAAACAAAAAAAAAAGTTAGAAAAGAGTTCGTTGTAAAATTAATGCAAAAGAAAAAAATATTTTTATTTTATTTTCTTTTTATGCAATAAAAACATTGATGGTTAGAAACTAAATTGATGCTTTTTTTATCATTAAACCATTTTTTTTTCTTTTTTTTTTTTTAAATTTGCAAAAAAAAAAAAAAAAAAAAAAGAATAATTTTAAAAGGTAAAATAGACTAGGCTCAAAGATTGAAATTATTTTCTTTTTGTTTTTTTTTTTTTTTTTTTCTCCTGAAAACTTTAAAACAAAAAAAAAAATTGCAAAAGCATATAAAAACTTTCTTACAGACAGTTTTATTTAATCATTTACCATTCTTTATTTTGATTTTTATTTTTTTTTTTCGATCACACAAAAGTTTTTTAAGGTACGATTTATTCCGTTTTTTTCTTTCGCTATAAAATCATATTTTACAATAAACTCTGGTTCAGTTCATTCTTATTTTACTAAAAAAAAGAAAAAAAAAATTTCTTTCCATTACACTGAACTTACACTCTCATCCAATTTGCTTCTAGAATCTATCCGGAAGTGATCGGTAGTTATTAAAAAAAAAAAAGGCTATCGGAATCTATCCGGAAATGATTAGTAAATAGTTGTTGAGAAAAAAAGCTTCTAGAATCCATCCGGAAATGACTAGTAAATAGTTATGAAAAAAAAAAAAAAAAAAAAAAGAAGAAAAGTTCAATAAAGGTTATGTAATTGTTTACAGATCATAGCTTAAAAAAAAAAAAAAAATAAATGAGAATGAATTGAATTTGATATTGTCATAAAGACAGTAAGAAATGTCATCTGATTTGTCATCTGAAATACTTTTTAAAAAGAAGCAGAAATTATCATCGAAAATGCTTTGAAAGAAATGAAAATTGTCTAACTGAAATGTCCTTAAAAGAAGCGAAAAATTATCTTTTGTATATTTGTATGAAATTAAGAGAAAAAAGGAAAGAAATTTAGCGAAATATTAAAATAAAATATGAAATAGCTTTTTTATTCGTTTAACATTTTACAATTATTATTTCAATTATTCGATTGATAATTTATTCATTTCTACATCGTTTCAACATATGAAAATAAAGTGCTGTAAATTAAAGAACTATTTGATTAATTAATTAAAATTAACAAAATATTCGGAAAATTTGTCACTGTTATGCTTAACTTTTAACCGCGAGAAAATTTCAATTCAAAAGTTTATAATTTATAAAAATGATTGCTATTTTTCATCTTTTGGTGGGAAAAAAATTGATAATATATTATTTGATAAAATTGCTAGCTGGTAAAATTTCAAAAAATAAAAGTAGGTTAAGTTATTTAGAAAAGTGTCAATCATCGGTGTAAGTTATTTAAAAGGTGGCAATATGTTATGTCATCCGGTTAAGTATTTAAAAGATGGCAATATGTTATGTTATCCGGTTAAGTATTTAAAAGATGGCAATATGTTATGTTATCCGGTTAAGTACTTAAAAGGTGGCAATATGTTATGTCATCCGGTTGAGTATTTAAAAGATGGCAATATGTTATGTTATCCGGTTAAGTACTTAAAAGGTGGCAATATGTTATGTCATCCGTTTAAGTATTTAAAAGGTGGCAATATGTTATGTTATCGGTTAAGTACTTAAAAGGTGGCAATATGTTATGTCATCCGGTTGAGTATTTAAAAGATGGCAATACGTTATGTTATCCGGTTAAGTACTTAAAAGGTGGCAATATGTTATGTCATCCGTTTAAGTATTTAAAAGGTGGCAATATGTTATGTTATCGGTTAAGTACTTAAAAGATAGTGTGTTATCCGGTTAAGTTATTTAAACGATAGTGTGTCATGTCGTCCGGTTAACTTATTAAAAAATAATAGAATGTTATCCGATCAATGAATAGAGTGTCATTTGGCGAAAAGATAAATATATGTAAATACAATTTTAGAACAATAAAAAAATGTTAACTTTGTTTATAAGTTCGATTGTTCAAAGAAAAGAAATGCAAACATTTCTAATGCAAATTTAAAAGTCACAAAAATTAGATTATTAAAGAAAAAGAAAAATAAAAAAGCAACAAAAGATAAATGAATTATATCAGTACATTTGCGCTGAGCGCAAAAAGTCGCAGTGAATTGGTCTAAAATATTAGCTATAGCGCTGCAATACTCAACCGCACTCTTGGCGCAGCATTTTTTCAAATTAACCAAACTTCGGGTAAAAAAGTTCTGTAAGCAACAGGTGGTTCCCATGATTACCCGCCAAGTTTGATATTATCAGTTTGGGTGGTGAGATTACTGCAATAGAATGATTAGCAGATACTTTAATTTATGCTAAGATTAGATTTCAAATTTAATTTGTATATTTAATTGTTTTATTGGCAGAAAAAATAAAGTGTATGAGAAAATTTCATCAATATTTATTTCTTCATTACTAAAAAAAAAAGAAAGTAGATGGAAAAGTGATGCAAATTATTAAAATGATAAATTATTTAATGCTGCTTAATTAGTCGCTAATTAGTTGCTTGCTTATTTAATGAATGTTTATGGCAATGATACAGTTCTAATTGGATGAATATTTTAATAATGTAAATGAATGATCTCAATATATATTAGTATAGTAGAGTTATTTATAAGTTTAAAAATTTCTTTATGAATTTACAATGATTTTATGAAAGAATTCATTACACATAAAACATGCTGAGAAGAATATTGTGATTAAATCACTGCATAATTCTTTTGATGTTATTTTTTGTCTTATTTTACTTTTTCTTTGCGTTGTCAAATTTATTTTTAGCTCTATGCAATCATTGATCATTTTTTGTTAAAAAAAATGTTTGTGTCAAATTACGTAAGAGTAACGGTTTAAGGGAAGCATTTAAAAAATTGTACATTGCATCACATAGTATGCATTTCAAATATATATGTGTGCAAAAAAATATGCGATGATTATAATTTGTTAAGTATTAAGATGAATGAATAAATGAAAATGATTTAAATAGATGTTAAATCTATTATTTTCAAAGTTAAATTCTAGAGATTTTAACGATTGTTAGAATCATTAACGAGAACTTAATGAGTAGAATTGATTAATTCCCTAAAGTTATATATGGTTTTTTCAGTATCATTTTCCTTCTCAATTAATTATTCGCTCTATTCACCATCATCTTTCAATATTATCCTAAATCCTTTCCTGTTGCACACTGAGCCTTTCATAGTGTTAACTGCTGCTTACTTCATTTCTTACAACAGCTAAACCACCAATTGTCAAAATAAAATGTTTTGTAATCTGTTCGTTTTCATTTCGTTTTTTCAATTCTTTTATTTGATTTAACAATGAATTTGCTAACTTTATCTGAAGTTACATCATATTTATCGATGCTATGCTTATATTTCATCTCATTTTGTATTCCGAAATTATGTAATATGACTTTTCATTTTTATTATTTATCATTTTTCCTTGTCATTGTTCTTATCAATCTTTGATGCAATGATTTCAATAAGTTAGAACTGTGACTTAATTATATCTATGGTCATCTTGCGTGGTTTTGTGTAAATCATTAATGACAGTAAATAATTTTATTCTTTTTATGACACAACATAACATTAATTAAATATTGATTTCAATATGAAATAGTATATAATTGATCATATGAATATTCATTATTATGTACATTAATTACATATGCGCGGTATTTATATTTCACGTTTATCTGCGACGTTGCATTACCAGTACAATAATTTGTAATTGTCTCAACTATCAGGGGAGTTATTCGAAACAACAAGGCTTCGTTGAAACGAATGGAGCAGCAAAGAAGTTTCGAGGATGCTGCTTTTGAGTTGTTCAAAAAGTTGGTTTTTGTTTGCAAAGTGAAAGTGTTTTTTGCTCGATTTATAAAATATTGCTGTTTATTTACTATTTGTTTGATAAATAATATAATAATTGATAAATAATAAATATTTGATGAAAACAGTGGTAGTAATGTTTGGCAAATAATAATAATAATAATAATAATAATAATAATAATAATGCTTTAGCTCACTATTCGTTTGTTTATATTCGTTATTTGCTTATGTCGAATGTTACATGTGAATGCAGTTTTTAGCCTTTGTCCTCAGAGAAATTTCAAACGGGATGAGATACCGTATCAGACAGTTAAAGAAATCGTCGAAAAGCATCTCAGTAATATGGATCCAGAGAAAAGACAAATTTTGGAGGCTCGTTTGAGAGGTGAAACTGAACAGGGACCAAGTGGTAATTTTCCAATAATTTTCTCAGTTGTTAATTATTTTAGATCTTAGATCTCATCGAAGCAATCTAATTTCTGTAGTCAAAAATAGTATATGGAAGGACAGACGATCATTTTGCATTTAATTTATCTATGATTAAGCATTAGCAATAGGTATTTGGTGTGCTTGATTTACTTAGAATTGCTGAAAATTTTGCAAAAATATTATAAAAGCGACACTGTGGAATCGTTGCAGTTTCTAGGAACCTTTTGAATTTATCTTCCTAATGAATTTTAACATACTCGAAAGGAAAAAATTGCTGTTTCCAGAAACTAATTCAAAAGTCGATAGCCGAGGATCGTCTCCAAGCAAACCAAAATCAGTATCAGAATATCGAAATCTTCTTGTTGCGGATAGGCATCATTTGCTTCCTAAATTGGAAGACTTCAGTGAAGCTCAAAAAATTCATCTGAAATACCCAAAGAATATACGGAAATTTGTGCGAGCACGCACAGAACGTAGATTAGCTTCAGAATCGAATGATTATGTCAATATAGGTTATTTTTAGTCCTTCAGTATTTTTAATGCTTGAAATTTTTGGTATTTAAAAGCTCAAAATCTTTTTTCCAAAACCATTAGATTTAACTGTAGCAAAGAATTTGCAAATCTCGAGCATTCTAGGCAATTTATTTACATGGCATTAATTTCTGATGGAATATTAGATACAGTTTTAGATATTCAGTGTTTCAGTTCTTTGTAGTATATATTAGACAAATGGCTTGAGCAACGAAACTGTTGCTGTAAAGTTAGAATTTTGAGACTGCATATTTTATTTAGTTTGTGATGAAAAGAAACTGCCGGAAGTCTTTCTACCTATCTACGACCAGATTTTGCGAAAGCGAAAGAAGTCGTTACAATGTTATAACATGATTATTAATACTTTGCATCATTATTTTATGCGTATAACTTGGTCGGATCTTGTTTCGGTTAGTAATCCGGAGTGATTTTATTTTTTCGCATACGGGAAAAGTTTTTCTTTGTTCCATATATACATATATATATATATATAAAATATACATTGTTTCGAGTTTTTATATCTTTATTAAATAGTAAAATGAAAATTCATTTTTAATAGTACGAACTCTAAGTTTTATAGGATTTGGTAAACGAGTTTATTGAAAAACATATCATACTTACATGTGATGATTTAACAACGAAATATGATCGTGAAGAAAGAGCAGTAGATATCTACGAGCGTCTTCGTGAGTATGAGTTAATGGTACTTCTCGAACTTCATTTGATCAAAAAACATCCAGAAAAGATCGAGGAAACTGAAGTTTGTCTTTAATATTGCAAAAATAGATTGCAAGAAACGTCATTCAATAATACTGTTTGAGAAATAGTATTGATTTGAAGATTGGCAAGTTCAGCGTCCATCCTTGATTTCAGGTTGTAAACAAGTTGGGTTTTCTGGTATTTGTTGCTGACTCAGTCCATATGAAAAATTTTCTTGATGAAATTGTTTGTGATCAGTAGGTTTTTCTTTCATTTTTATTGGAAAAAGAAAATATGAGGAGGGACTAAGCAGCATTAAATATATCATTTTAGCTTAGGTTTTGTTGGTTCACTTGCTAATGGCTTGACTTTCCCATTGAAATACACTCTTTCGGCTGGATTATAGCCAATACATTGGTTGTGCATGTATCATGTCACGTTGAAATGCAGTATGTCTTGCATTTATATGCTTTATTAATTAAGTGTCAATTAAATTAATAATTCAATTGTAGGGAGGAACATTATTACTTTTTTATATTATCTTGGCAATATAACGGTATAAGGACAGTTGTTTTTCAGATTTGCTCATATAATGCCCAAAGCATTGGTTTATATTTATGAAGAATTATGTATAAAGATGCCACTTGATCTGGAAGATCGATCAGTTGATACAAGTGCAAATAGTAGGTTACTTGAAACTCGTGAAGTGGGAAGGAGAAGTAGTCGAAAAATGGGTCCTGGCAGTGCAGCAATGCTTGCGTTAGAGAGAAAAGCTGCTGCGAAGAAAACCGAAAAAGAAGGGAAGCATAAAAAACGTAAAAGTGATGAATCATCACCTGATTCGGGATCTGGAAAACCGAAAATGGGACTTCGTGCACGTGCAAAACAAGCAGAACGCATCTCAAAACGAATTGCTGCTCGCGAAAAAAGCAAAAGAGCTGGTTCGCGTTCATATCGTTAATTTTTTTTTTTATTTTTTTGATATTTGGCACAAAAAAAAATTATAATTCAGGTCAAAATATAGCTCAGGTAAGTGGAAGGAATATCTTGCTTTCAGTTTTCTATGCTGACTTTCATTCGCTGCTTTTTTACTCCACTTTTTGTGCTTTTTTTTTTATTAAATTTAGTATTACCTTTACTTTCTTACTTTTCCATGGCTGTCAGATTGGAAGATGTCCTGTTTTATAACATTTGGATTCGAAAAAAATACGGTATTATTAATTTATTGAAGTGTACGTCACAGGTTAAACATATTCTCTGTTGTGTTTTTTTAAAAAGATTACATGTCAGTGAAATAGTTAACTTTACCTCGTTAATGTTTATTCAAATATGTGAAGTGGTTAAAAACAGAATTTTATAACTTATCAACGGTTTTATTCATTTTTAACTTGTTTCATCTTTCTTAACATCGAAGTGACCTTACTTTCAATTATTATTATCATTATTATTATTGTTGTTGCTTTATTTAACGTAGCCTTGTTAACATTTCTTCATTATTGCTTTGTATATTAATAGTTATCGGCTTCGGTCCTTTCTGTTAAAACAATTATGCCATGTAAGAAGACCTTCAAATCCTAGTAAAGCCTTATGTTCATCTCGTTTGGCAGAGAAAAAAATTATCCTTTCACTAGCAGATCCCTACAAAATGCAGTGGAAAAACTTTTACGCTTACTAAAAATGGAAGAGTAAAAGTTTTCTTGTTTGATTTTCACGTATTTCCGTTTTTTATTCATTTGAAAAGGCATTTGAGAAATTGCCGTATGGAGATAATTTGGGGAGCCCATATAGTTCCAGGTGGACAAAAGATTGGATTTTGTGCTTCGGAAATCGATTTTTCCTGGTATTTGAATCGCTTTAGAGTGTTGTTTCTAATAGTAGCGTTGCTACATTTATTCGGATACATTTAGATCATTTGTAAAGTTATTGAGGGCATTGAATTTAAGATGTTGTAAAGTAATTTACCTATTATTCTTATGAAGGAAATCATGAAAAACATGGGAATATATATTGGGTAACTGTTGTAGGCTTCCAAGTTCACCTAGTTATAGAATATAGCTTTATTAATCTGTTCATCATAATAGTAGATGCAAACATATTCAAGCTAATTAACTCAGGACATTAATCAGACAAGGAATAGGCAAAATTTCAATATTTACATTGATATTAGTAACTTGATTTTCATACTTTGGATATATATGTATTATGATATGTACTAGTTTTTAAAGTGATATACATACTGATAACATTCAAGTGTAACATATTTAAGCTTAGAGGACAAATATTGAGGGAAGATTTTAGGGAATTTTATGAATTTTAGCTTTTAAATTAAGAATTCTCAGTTTGCATAATACCACCATCTTTTTTTTGCACCACAATAGTATATAATCTTTGCTCATAGTGCTCATTGACCTTTAACATCATGAACCCTTCAGTGTTGATGATCTCTTACAGCTCTCTAGCTAAGATTTAGATTTCTGAAAGGAAACATACCTAATTTTACGTTGTTTATTCTTTATACGGGAAAGTATTCTCGTCATATCTATTTCGTTGAATAATCACAGAACCGTATTTTAAGTTTTTCATCCATTTATGATTAATCTTTTAAGTATCGAAGTGAAAACACTAATAACTTTCAACAATTGGTATATTATTTATAGTTGTTAACTTTTGGAGAATAATTGGAATGAATGAAAGGATTATTGAATGTAATTTGAATTGTTAACTGTCAATCATAATACATTTGTATTTGAACATGTATATATTATATTCAATCTACTTTACTACACATTCAATATCATATTATTCATTTCTTTGTTATATTTCTTTGTTAAATGTAACATTATGATAGTTGAATTAATTGATCTTCACTTTTTTTTCTTATTTTAACAAAAATTACAGATGTAATAATTACAATATGATATCATCACCATCAATATAATTTTCAAAAAAATAATTACAACAGTAAAACATAGATTTTTCATCACATTGATCAATACGTATTTTTAAAGACTTGATAATTATTATATATTAAAAGAAAAAAAAAAAAAAAGTCATGTCTCTAATGATTTCATTAAAGCTAATGAGAAAGAATGAATGAATTAACAAAATGAATTATAGCTGAAAATTATAGCAAATGTATGCGAAAATGCTTGATTATCTTCCTTATATATATGTTCTAGATAACATATTGATTTTTGATGTCATCTCACATTACCTGTATTATTGAATGAATTAATGACATATTATGCTAGAGTTGCTATTAGTGAAATGAATGTCATAAAAATGCTTTATAGCAAATTTATGCATAATTTCAACTAATCTTTTCATGTTTTTTCCATTATAATTCATACTAGAGCTAGTAACGAAATGAATGTCATAAAAATTAGTTCAGCTTACCAAATATCAATATTATAGTTAATATTTTTTGTCATTACAACATCTTTTATCCTAAATATTTTTATCAAAATGATGGCGTCATCACTGTAATTAATATATATTGTAATTATGAGTGATGTTTTAGTTGTATATTTCTTATCTGAAATAGTTTGTTCATTAGAGAAGAAATGAATGATTAATTTTCAGCTCTCTTTATTGAATAAATTTTTTTATTCATTAGAATCTATTAGTTTGGATAATTTTCACTTTACTTTTTTCATTCATACCAATTAATAAAAATATTGAATAAAATTAGGCTCTGTAATACTGTAACGAAATTTTGAAATGAAATTGAAAAGGTGAAAAAAATCTTAGATGGAAATTTTGGCTTCCTTTCTGCAAAGACTTATATATGAGTTATCAAAAAGTAATAGTTAACTTTAAGGATAATTATCTTCAGAATTAGTGATCTAAATGCTTATATATGGTTAAGGATTGAGTGCAAATTATTCTTAGCTAATTCATTCTATCATCTTTGAATATTTTAAAGCATTTATTGCTTATCTGATTGATATTAATTATTCCAGTTGAATTTTTGCAACAGTTAACATGTGCAAAGTGTCAAAATTATCGATATTGGGGCGAAATTCAATATTTGTGCGTATTACTTATGGAAATAACTTTATATCATTTATATTAAAGTTATTCATTTTTGTGTTTGATATTAATTTAGGATTGTTAGGTAGAGATATTAGGGCTGCCTTTAGTAAATTCGTTTTTGTTGATATTTATGCATGTGTTAATTTTTATGGTTATTAATTATGTATTTCAATTGATATCTTGAAAATACCGGTTTAAACATATATTATTTTTTTCAAGGCAATATTTTAAACTCTTGTTCCATTTCAAAATTCTTTTTATGATAGGTAAACTGCATTTCGTTAAGTTTAAGTTGAATCATTGATTTAATATCTTACGTAAATTGTCAGCTTACATTTATATCTTAATAGATTGGATTTTGTCAATTTAATGTATTTTTAATTTCTTCGTGTCCTGCTGTTACTCGAAGTTTCATTTCTACTGTTACTTTTTCTTTTTAATTTAAGTTTCAAACATGTTTCAATATATTTTAAGACGAAGATAAAGAGATAGAAGAAGAGAAAGCAGGCGAGAGTGGCGGTTCATCTTCCACAATTAGCGAAGGTGATGATCTTGGAGAAATAGTTGTACCATCAACACCGAAATCAAAAATGAAGAAGAAACTGGATGAAAAAATTTCTAAAGATGATGAAAACGTTATGCAAACGCCACTTAGTAAACTCAATCGAAGTAAATCTTTTTTTTTTCTTTTACAACGATCTCTTTTTCTCGTGTTCAGATATCTCCAGATCATTTGTATATGTGTCTATCTTTTTCAAATTAGGTATACTTTGTTCTTTTTTTAATGTTTTGCTTATGTAATTCTCGTTAAGGAGATGATTCTCTATCAGCTATTTATCTTAATTCACGTAGTGAAATTTTTTATTTTTCTTCAGATTTATAGATCAAACTCTGTAACGCAGCACTTCGATATTTAAATAGTAAATTTCAGTTCCGACACGTAAAAATGAAAAACTAGCAGCATTGTTAGAAAAAAGTATGAAGACGCAATCACAGCAGCTGCAGTTGAAAAAAAGGAAAAGTCTTCCAGTGATACGTGGAAGAATGCAGTCCAGAAAATCACGAAATTCACTACCATCGTCGTCATCTGCTCCTAGTCTTGCCAATATTCCACGAACACGTTCTGCACGTGTAAATTTAAATGAACGTTTTGCTATGATGGATCGATTAAACGAGGAAACTAATGCACGTGCTGCTGCTACTACATCACCTGCAGTACGTATCAATTTATAAATGAAGCATAGTTAAATTCTACTTTTAAATATTCTTGGAATGTTCTTATATTAAAGATTATTATCATTATGTAACCGTCATCATTATGTAATCAAACTCACACTGAGCTTAAAAAGAAAGTGGATAGAGGGAACTTAAGCAAAATATCATCGCAAAATCTTTGCTTATCCATGAAGAAAGTGTAATTCTAGTGGGTTTAGTTAATAAGGCGGAAAAGAAAAAAATTCTATTGGAAAAATTTTTAATGAAGTCATTTTTTAATTTTTGTTCCATGCAATCACATCTAGTAATGTTTTTATGACATAACATTCCGTCATTCTTTGCCGTATGCAGCTGTAATTGCTGATTTTTCAACATTCACTTTTTTAAATAATATTTTTCGTACAAATGACTTTTTGTTTGTATGTGAAAAGATCAGTTGAAATAGAAATGAAAGAGAAACATGGGTAGTGTTGCAAACAGATATCTATTAATTTTATCTGAGTTAAAGGACTTAATTGAAAATAACCAAATTTTGATCGTTGTTGGAAACTTTTTAAGTTTGTTTCGTTTTATTTTCAGTGGATTAATTTTTAGCCTCAAACATCGATTAAAGATATATCTCTAGACAAAAGTATTATTGAGCGATATCGTAAACGCATCGAAACTATTCGTCATTCAGCACGTCAAAGTGATAAAAATGAGGTAAGTGAAAGAAAGCATTTTCAGTCAAATGTTTATTTCATAATCAAATTTATGATTTTTTTATTGAAAGGTGAAGGATTAAACGGTATTTTTTAAGCTACGTTTATCTTCATTTTTGAGTTTTATATGTTAAATTATTTCAGAGTTCCGTTATAAAATTCCTATTAAAAGAAATGATTACTTTTTTTTTTACGAAATATAAAAAAAATTCCCTCATGGGGCTCAAAAACTTGCGGAAAAGCCTTACTACTGATATGTAAATTATTGTTATAATCCATACATTTTTTTTTTTTTTTTTGGAAAATTCTAAGTATAAATTTTCAAAAAATAGGGTTTAAAATCAAAGTGTAATTTTTATAAATTTTATAAATTCTACAAGATTTTATAAATTCTACAAGACAGTTTTCCATTCAATAGAAGAAGCAGTGAAAAAAGAAGGAGAAGATATCTTAAATGAAATTATTTGTAGGTATTTTATGGTCGTTGCACATCACGTCGTAACTTATTCGATGATATTATTGACGAGGAAGACAGTGAAGGAATTGCAACACGTTCCACAGCTTGTATTCAGAAGAATCGAAGTGGACGATCGGTTCAAACTAGTCAAAAAGTGTACATGGCACATGCATTGCTCAACGTTTATAATACAGACCCACTTAATCCACCAAAGCTACCAAAAGATGCTCCGTTCAAATTACATCGTCTCATTCGTCCGGCATCGAAATCAGATAAAAAAAGACTATTCAAGCTTAGGTAAGTCTATATTTAATAAAAAAAGATTTAATAAATTGAAAATTCATTTGGCAGGAAGTTTTTGGTAATTTTTGAAATAATTCATCTGTTTACCGATAAATGAAGTGAAGTAAGTGATAAAAGATCTCATCAAGTGTTTCTGTCATCATTCATTTCGATTGAATAGGCATTGAAAAAAAAAAAAAAAAAAAAACATTCAACTACATGATGAAAAGATCTCGTCTCAAATTTTTTTTTAAACATTAATCTATGTTTGAAAAAAAAAAAAAAAAAACTAAAATAATATTTAAAGCTACTTTCTCATTGGTTGTTTCCTATGAAAATTCTTAATTTATTGTTCTCATAGCTATTATAATCATTTTGCAGACTTCGAATAGCTCGTGAAAAATCGGGATCAGCTTCATTGGTCAAAAATAATGCATGTGAAATTCCTGAAATAACAGATTCTTCAAAGGATATAAAAGCAAAATCCGAAATAGTAGAAGGAAATTCTTGTAATGAAAGTGAAAAGTTTGAAGCCGTTGAGAGGAAAGAAATATTAGAAAGTGATAACACCGAAAAAACAGTGGATCTTTTCAGGGATCCAGGTGTGAAAAAATTAGCTAGAAAGTTAAGTGGAACATCAAAAAATGTAGAAACGCATTTGGCATCTTCCAATCGATCATCGAAAGAAAGTTCCAATAAAAAAAGAAGAAACTCATCATATTCTTCACATTCATCCAATGGTGTATCATCCAATAATTCAAAAATTTCCAATACTAATGGATCAGTTATAGATGAAAAAATTTCCACTAAAGCAATTGATGATATCTCTGAAATGGTAGCGAAGCCATGTATTGATTCCGCGAAATCTAAATCAGCAGATAATATAAAGGATCAGATGAGGAATGTAAATCACGAATGTATGATTGATAAAATAGAAAACGAAGGTGAAAAAGGTGATAATTCGAGTGAAATTCCATCTAACATCAAAGAAAAAGATGATAAAATGGATGTATTGTAAAGTGTATTTTTCATTTACTGTAAGTTTATTCGGTTTGTCTGTTAAACGATATTTGATAGAGCTTTTTATGTTTAAGAGTATAAATATATTACTCTCACATTGCATAGCTTTTTTTTTAAAAAAAAAAGTTTGCCAAATTTTTCTTTGATGCCAAAATACTGACTTGATATCTTTTTTACCTTATATCTCATTCTTTCAGTACAAGTTGGTAGTAAAGTTCAAGTTGTATATTTTCCATTTCCAAAGAAGTAGACGATTATTTTATTAAAAAATTTCTAAGTATTCAATTTTTTTTTTTTTTTTTAAAGCTACAACTATTGCATCAAGCTTTTGCTTTATCTTTTCATTGGTTTGTTGTTCTAATAGACAATTAGGTTGTTTTATAAAATTTGATGTTTTTAAATATATCGTAATGTTTAAATCGGAATGCTCTCAACGTTGTTACTATAAAGTAAGGAGAAGTATGTGTTAGGCTCTTTTGTTTTCTTTTTTTGAATGGAATTCATTTTTTTTTATCAATCTATATTGTTGACTGATTGACTAAACTGAGGGCATTGTATGATGTTTTGTCTTTTTTAGGTATGAATTATTTAAGGAATTCAAAGGAAGGATTTAGAAACGAGGTATCATTTGTTTATAGGCAAAATTGTTTGATATCGAAGCACTTTCTCTTAGAGAAGTTTAGAATCGAATAAGACAGGATGATGAATTTATCAAACTGGAAATGAAATTTTTGATGGTTCAATGATTTTTATTTTTATGGCTTAAATAAACAAAATAGGGGTGATTATGGATGAATGTGTTTTTTAAATATTGCTACTGTTACTAGATACACGAATCAATCCGGCTTATAAAGTTAGCACTGATTGATTTTAATGATAAAGATTCGAGATAATCTGACACTATCGTTGTTCATTGTATGTTTTATTTCTCAAATAACGTAATTGTGATATGATGCAGAATTAATTTATCGTTTTCTTTTTAATCACACTGCATCGTTTTGAAATTCAAAAAAAAAGAAGAACCACATCTTGCGTGCTTTCCGAAATGAAATACTTTCTCTGCTGCATACATTTGTTTTTTTTCGTTGTATCAGTGTATGCTTATTTATCTTGAAATGCTTCACGTTTTACGGATTAATGGATGAATAATTGTAAGTTGCATGTTTTTTTCTTTTTTGGTTGTTTGTCAAGAAAAGAAAAATTGTCTTCCACGTTTCAATCTTTTGCATTACACATTTGTATTTTGAAAACGGCTGAAATGCTGTTATACATATTAAATGGATAATGATTCGATGTAAGGATATTGAAATTGTTAAGATTATGTGATCATATTTATCGTTCATATGAATCATAGGAATTTAAATTGACTAAAGTTTTAACACTAGAAAAAATTTATTTTCAATACAGTAATTAGAATTTTGGAAAAGATTAATTTATATTATTCATATATACACAAGTCTAATTGAATCAGATCTCATATTAATTTATATTGAATTGTTTTTTTTTTTCCCGAGCATAGGTTGTAAAAAGTTTTTTTTTTTTTGGATTTATAAATATAACTTTTGATTTCTTCATGTTCAATCCTTCTAAGTAGCGTGAATTTTCGATTAATCCTATGGTTATAAATAATTGATTTCATGCTTCTAGTTTTGTATCTAGCACGAATGGTTGCGCGTATTGATGAAAAGAAATCTTGCAAAGCGTTCCAATGAACAACGACTTTTAAGACCACGTCTAGAGGTTAAAGAAGAGGTGACTATTTGAAAGAAAAAGAAAAAAGTACAAGATGAGATAATTTCGAAAAAACTCTTTTTAGAAAAAAAAAAAAAAAAGAATAATTTAGAAAAAACTCGAAGAAGTTCCTAACTATAAAACAAAATTCAGAAATTATTAATAGCATTATCAGTAGCAGAGGTGAATTCGTCATTGTGAGCCTATTTTCTATAGTCAAAAAATCTTGAGTGAAATTATTTTATGTTTCTTCTCAGCTAATGAATTTTTGAGTTCGAATTAAATTCACAGTTTCAGGAAGGATTTGATAGAAGTGATGTAAAAAAAGCATTGTTAGAATCATTGTATGAACAGCGTAAGGAAGAACGTCGAAAGGAATTGGCAAAAGAATTGAAACGACGTGAAAATTACAGTAGAAATAGACTTACTGAAAAGGATCAGAAAAGGAGCAAGAGTAATGAGCATAGAAATAATAGTGAAGACAAAAAACAAAATGAAAATTCGAAATTAAAAAGAAAAAAGGAGAAAAGAGGAGTTGAACAACATACTTCAAAAGATAAGAATTTATTGAAAGGAAAAGAAAAAGTCAAAATTCAGGAGAATTTGGTGATAAAAAATAAGGATGCTGTAGTGGTATTGAAGAGTAAAGAGAAAATAAAAGTTTCGAAAGAGAGAATTGCTGATCAAGAAGAAAAACTAAACGAAGTTATTCCGGAAGAAGCAAAAACTGTTGTCGAGAAAGTGGTACATAAGAAAGTATTCGACATTGAAGCGTTACCGTCAACTACAGATTTTGTCCGATTTATGTCATTAGATTACTCAGATGGTTAGCATTTAAAATTGCTATATTTGAATGTCCAATTAAGTAATATTTAATTGAAATAAAAAGTCAAATATATTGTTAAAGATAGTGCTTTGATTCAACTGATTAAATTACTTAAGCAAACTACAATCTGAGATTTTCTCAGCAAAAAGATTATAAATTCATACGCTGCTTATTATTTCAAATAGATTCGAACTTCTTTTTTACTAAAATATTTTCAATTTAAGTTTCTTTTTTTTTTTTGCTAAAATTATTATGCATTTGCAGATCTTGAAGGTATACCAAAAGAATTACAACATTTTCGTACACTTCCATTAGTACCGGTTCCAGAATTACCATGGTCAATCTCGAGCAAATGAATGGCAAAATTGTAAGTGGAATTTGTAAAAATTATAATTTGAAAAAAACAAATAAAAATAAATCTAACCACAAAGCACCATTGTTTCATATGATTGATGATATAAATTGAACGGTGCTGAAAAAGAAAAAAGATTTCATATCATTTGAGAATTTTCAAGGGAACAGTATGAATTGTTTTTTATGTGAAATGAAAATTTCTATCTTATTTGTATTCTTTATAGTTTGTTTAATATTATCGTTACAAATTATATCTATATTTAAATTTGACAAATTTATAATGAATTTCAGGCCCATTTAATCAATATTGCTTTCATTGGTATTTCATTCTTTATATCACTTCTGCTATTTCAACATGGTTTTTTGCTTAAACGAGTTGAACTTATGTCACGCAGTTCGTGTTCAGATGTTGCTTCACATAATGCATGTTGGTTTCCAGCTCAATATCAACGGGTTGTTATTATTTTAATTGATGCTCTACGATATGATTTTGTTGCACTGTCTCAATCACAGTATAATAATAGCAGAAAAGAATATTCTGGTCACTTTTCTACTGTTACTCGTTTACTTGATGAACAGAAAGGTAAGTAAATATTTTCTACAGTTTTTTAAATATGTCGAAAATTTTTAAACATTAAAAAAAATTTTTTTTTTTAGAAAAAGACAATCTTAAGTAATGATTTAATAATGTTAAATGATTGCTGGATTTAGTAATGATGACCTATTTAGAAGGAATGATATATCATTTGAAATGTACTAAACTTTAATTTTAGCAAAAAGAAAAAAATAAGAGCTATATATATATTAATAATTTAAGATTATGAAAATTAAAAAGTTTTTACTATCCTATCATCTAAGCTACTGAGTCTGAAAATTATTATAATAAGATTGATATCAGTATAAATAAATGGATGTGGTTTATTTTTGATAAATTTCTAGATTGCTTACAATCATATTTTAGATTCAGCAGTTTTGATGCATTTTCATGCAGATGCTCCAACTACTACGATGCAACGTTTAAAAGCAATAACTACTGGTTCACTTCCCACTTTTATTGATGTTGGTTCAAATTTTGCAAGCACTGCAATATTGGAAGATAATTGGATTGATGAAATTGTCGCAACAAATCGAAGTATTGTTATGCTTGGAGATGATACATGGTAATTTGTTTAGTATGAAAATAAGCCATCATTTCTTGATCACAAAATTTGCTGTAATATATTGTCATATTTTGATTATGAATAGAACTAGATTTGAAAATTGTCAATTTAGGAATTTTTTTTTTTTTTGTTTTGTTTGCAAAAATTTATCGAAGCTCACTGTTGGTTGCATAACGATGCGATAGTACTATTTCATCCGTATTTTGGCTTTATACTTCATATTGCTTGCTTTTTTTTTTTTAGGATTTCATTATATCCAAAACAGTTCAAACGTAAATATCATTTACCATCCTTTGACATAAATGATCTTCACACTGTTGATCAGATGATTTCAGGTATGTTTCATTAGATGTGCAAATTTTTTCATGCATTAATTTTCTCTATTCTTTCTCTTTATATTGTCAGATGAATCTATATTCCAGACAATCTTTTCGACGAACTTGTAAAATCGGATTGGACTGTTCTAATAGCACATTTTCTTGGCGTTGATCACTGTGGGCATAAATATGGTCCGGATCATCCTGAAATGTCCAAAAAATTAAAGCAAATGAATGAAATCTTGGCAAAAGTGGTCGATTCTTTGGATAACAATACTTTATTATTGGTAATGGGTGATCATGGAATGACGGAAAATGGTGATCATGGTGGCGATGAGCCACTGGAAACCGATGCTGCCTTATTTATGTTTGCTAAAAGAAAGTTGATTTTTGCGGAACCACCAGATTCAGTTTCGCAGGTAATTGAGTTATTTTTGCTTTACAAAAAAAAAGTAAATGGAAATATCTGAAATTCTTGAAGCTTCTAAGCTTAATTAAAGCTTCTAAGCTTTAAGAATTTCAGATATTTCGTAAGTTTTTCCTGAAATTTGAAGAATTTTTGATAAATTATTTTTCATTTACTATTATTAAACAGTTATTCTATTTTGCTTTCACTTCAGGTTAACTGCAATAGCAAATTTAATTAAATTATGTGGAATATTTTTTTTCAGGTTGACATTGTGCCAACAATCAGTTTATTACTTGATTCACCCATTCCATATTCTAATATTGGAACACTAATTGATTGTGTCATAGTACCAGAACATCGAGATCTAGCAATAAGCAGTAATGCAGAGCAAATGATGCGCTATGGACGGACTATTGTGGCGGAAACTCAATTACCGGAATTAGATTCATTGATACGAAGTTTTGAAAATAATGGCAATGTAGAAAACTCTATTGATTACATGCGACGTTTACAAGAACTTTTACGTGCTTCATGGACTGAATTTAATAGTAGTTTCATGCGAATTGGTTTTTTATCATTGCTTGATGCAATATTATCAGTTTATGGTTCGCTTTATACGGGAAAGTAAGTTCCTTTATAAAAATTTTATAAATTTTTAAGAACCATTTCATCAAAACTGTACTCATTAATTGATGTTATCAATTTCTTTCATAAAATTCAACTGACTGATTATATTAACAAAATACAATGCTTTTTGCTACTAAACGATGGAGTAATTTTATTCTTTAAGTCATATAAATGCATTTCAATTTGCATTTTCTTTTTCAGTATTTCATTTACCTCTTTGGTTTTTCGTTCCGGTCTATTTTTCATCCAAATGTCGGTTTTTTTAATTGGAGATGATGAACATTATGTTGCAATTTTGGATTTTCTATTATCCTTCTCATTAATCATTCGACTTATTCGAGCAGCTAGGACATTATTTTTATTCGCACCAACAATTTGGGAATTTGCTGTATTTTGTATAACTATTGCACATGCATCATCTTTCCTTTCTAATAGTTACATTATTTTTGAATCATCCGTAATTCGTTTCCTGACGCAAACCGTAGTTGCTATTGCATTTTGGCAGTCATTTTCAAACTGGTATATAATTTTTGAATGTTTTATTTGATTTTAAATAATAATTGAGTTTGATAAAGGAGAGAAAACGTACAAAGTTTTGTGAGCATTTTGAAATTTGGGTATTTTTTGGACGGTTTTTTTTTTCTTTTTTCTTGACCACATGTTATTTACAGGAATCATAGTAATCGTCGTCAATCGAAATCGTTTTTAGCTTTGTTAGAAAAGCGTTTTAATTGGCAACGTTTCCTTATCTTCATTATGATCATTTTACTTTTGCGATTGGGTATTTTCTTTGAAAAATGTCGAGAAGAACAAGGAGATGCATGTGAAGCTACAATATTTTCACAGTCATTTTCACATATCCCTCATAGTAAGTACTTTTTATTTCTTTTATAATACTAAATAATTTGTGTAGAAAAGAAAATAATGGCGCAAATCATTATTCTCAAGCAAATTTTCATGAATTTTTTATCTAAATAGAATAAGCACGTTATTAGATGTGTTAAAAATAATTGTATTAATCATAATTAAATTATTAAATTTCTAACTCAGTCAAATTTTTAGGTCCTCTAAAAGTAATGCGTTTTATGCTCGGTATAGCAGTACAAATTGCTGCTGCATATATGGCAACGAAATTTCTGCAAAATTATCCATCTGAAATTTGTACTTCAACATTAATTTTTCCAACAACAGTTGCTAGTATTGCTTCATGGTTTTCTCTTTGGTTACCCGAAGATACTATTAATTATTTTGCTCGATTTTCACTTGGTACTGCTCAGGTTTGTTCATAATTGAATGTAACATCATTATTGACCGGATTACTGCAAATTTTACTCTAATGCAATAATTTTAGTTTGTAGCCCAACACTTCTATCAAATTCTATGCTTAAATGATGTAATGTTTTTAGTACTATAAACTTTTTATATTTCTTATAAAATAAATTCTTCACCTTGCATGTAGAAACTTTATTTTTTATTTTTTACTACGATATTGGAATTAGCATATATATAAATCATTTATTTCTAGATTGTTTATGGTTTATCGTTTATTAATTTATTAATTATTTCTTTTCGTGCAACTCTTATTGGAAAATTTTGGAATCAAAATAGTTGCGCAATATCATACTTAGTGTGCATATCATTTGTTTTATTTCTAATCCTGGGCGATGGTCTAGCATTCAGTTTTCTTTCGTTAATTACAATAATCTTTCTCATTCCATTTATTATCGATGATGGTATGTTATTTATTTCTCTTTTTAATCTAAACTCCTCTAGTATCTAAATTGTTTCCTTTCTTTTTCAGATTATTTTTTGTGCTCTATATTTAAGAAATTCTTGTATTACACTTTTTTCTTTTTATTTGCTATATTCATGGAAAATTTTAAATTTATTTAAGGTTTTTATTTATTATTTAATTTATTTTTTAGAATATTACCAAATAATATTAATTGTTTTTCTGTCATCACATGGGTTTTTTTCTTTATCACATCAGCCAACATTTTCATCAATTCCTTGGCAAGCAGCCTTTATTGGTGTTCCCGGTAATTTTGCCATCCAAATAGTACCAGGTGCACTTGTCATTGCTCATATTTTTGCATCACAAATCATTACATGTGTTGCATTACCGATGCTTGTGATGCAGCAAAATTATCGACAATCTGGTCTCTCACATTGGACTTATAAATTGATCTTATTTCATTCATTAAAGGTTAATTTAAGCTAATAATTTTGATTAGAATTTTAGAAAGTAATTATGATGCAAAGATTTACAATGAAATTTTAGACTTTAATTTATTTTCTTATGATATGATTTCACTTATATATGATATTCATTACGCAATACATTATTGAAAAAAATTCTATTTAGTTTTGAAGTACCAGAAGCTTGATTTCATAATTCAATCTACAATAACGCATAATGACAGATGAAATCTTCGAAATAAGCAAAACTCTATAATGGTCATATAGAAAGTTGGAAGTTGTAAAAAATCATGTTACTACCATTTTTGTTTTCTAAAATTAGATAACATGTACTGAAATTTACTGGACAAAATCATCATTAAGTTATTTAATGCGAGTTTTCTAGCAAATTAATTTATGTCATGCAGTGTTAAGCTAAAATCCATTATTCGAGAAAAAAAGAAAGGAAAAAACAAAGTGTAGTTAAAATTTCAGGCACTCTCAGTATGCATAATGGCAGCTATACATCGACGACATTTGATGGTTTGGAAAATCTTTGCTCCGAAATTCATTTTTGAATCACTTTCTCTTTGTGTTGTTTGTTTTACTCTGCTAATTACCAACTGTATCTTTTGGAAGTTGGTTGTACCTCCACCTCTTGACTTAACTGTTAAAAGGAGTTAATAATTTTTACTTTCCTTTTGCTGATTATTCATGCAGAGTTTCTCTCTCACATTTTTAAAATTGAATATATTTTAGCCTTCCATCTGAACTATTCTTTCTAGCTTATTTTACAATTTTCTGCATGAACTATTTGTTTCTTTGTTTTTTTTTTTTTTCTTTCATATACTACTTTGTTTCCTTGTTTTATCCCAGGAGAACCCTCTATGGTTAAACCAACGGGTCCTTACATTTCTATCTTCTTGATCTAATATAATTAATGTATAAAAGTTAAATGTGACTATGTTATGTTACAATAGTAATGTCGCATTTCCAACTTCATATTAGAACTTCAAAACTCTCTTTAAACTTTTAGGCTATCTTTTCTTGGCTGAATGTAAATACATAAACACTTGTGACAAATTATATCTGGTGGTGATTATTTAAAAGATAGAGCACTTTGACCAAAATCATGTCTGATTCATTTTTTATTTACAATCATCATATATCAATCAATAATCACATAATTCAAATTTTCCTGTCGTTCCATAAATAGATCATTTGAAGATGCATGAAAGAAATCAATGCTAAGACTTGGCGTATCTTGAATAACTTTGAAGTATTGCAATAGGCTTTCTTCGTTAAGACCATTTGATAAAATAATATCTGCTAGAGCAACCCGTTCAGGTATATCACTTTGTGCCCATCTTTCTAATGCAAATTCTTCCAGTGGTGGTAGTAAGTCTGTTCGTAAAATATCCAAATGTTTATCAATTTGTGCAGATATTTTTTCGGCTCGCCTATTAAATTCACCTTGTAACCACTTGATTCGATGTTCTTTCATTGTGACTGCAAGAAGACCTACACGACTTTTCTTAATTTCAGCATCAAGTTCCTGAAAACAAGATTGACTTAATGGCATAATTAACTACAGCAAAACTAAATGAAGTTCTTATACTGATTGAAAATCTTGAAAGAAGAGGATGACACGGTCGTTCTGAAGTTTTGAACTTTCGCTAATATGACAGATGAAATTTACGGATTGTTTTCAGTTATTACAATAAGTGTCGAAATTAAAATTCATGTTTTAGAGTACTTCATTAAAATCAGGAAAAGTTTACAATATTGAAATCTTGTAACATTTTCAACCACATTATCAAATAAAAGAATTCAAAATTAACCTCAAATTTTCCAGTATTAGGTAAAAAGTCTTTAATTGTAGAAATAAAACTCGCCCTTCTTCGTGAATTACCCTTTGTGGCAATGAGATCATTCATAAGAATCTATAATATTCAGAATAAAATCTCGACGAATTCTGATTTAAACGAAATCATTCAATGCCTAAAAAAGAGAAAAAACATTTTTTGAAAAAACATCTGAATGATAATCGAAAACGAAATTATATATTTAGATGTTAAAATTGATATAGATGCAAACAACTATCATATTTATTCTTTTTTAAAATAATCTAAAATTTGTCATCTAAATGTCAAATAAAATATGAAGAATGCATAATTGACTAACAATATAAGCAACTGCTCGTTCAATTCTACATGCATTACATTCTTGATTTATTGATGGAAGCTTAAATGTTGTCAATTGTTTTACTAATTCTCGAACAATTGAATAATTGGCATATTTTCGATGGCTAATAATATGTTTCATGATGAAAAATGCAAATTCAAGATGCATTTCATTGCTAAGTGATGAGATCAATAATCGAGCAACTTTAACGTAATTGTATCTTAATGCATAGCGTATGATTAATTCGTGAAAATCCATTGATCTAAATAAAATCGCTATACAAAATAAGAAATAATTTCACATGTTGAATAATTTTTATTATTTATTACTGCTCTATATAACTACTACAGCAATTAGATATTTGAATAAAGATTATGTAGAGTTATAAGGAGATATATAGCGAAATAAAGAATCAAAATGATTATCAATTTCTATTTCATCTATCAACTTCAACCTAGAGTTAAGTTTTAGGAGATTAGACTGTATGTCATTCAAAACAAGTACAAATGTTGGACTTACTTTTACTGCTTCCTGATAATTCCTTGATTAGTTAGAGTTTTGAACATTTGAAACAGCATGACGTACTCTGCATCCTACTTAAATTAAACATGATTTTAAAAAAAACTTGAAAAATAACAGTACACTGATCATGTGGGTTATCCGAGTAAAAATAAACATTCTGTTAATCCCCAAAATCTTCATATAAAAAGCAGGACCAGAACTTAAACCTATAAAAGTTTCTTTAGCAATACTTCAAAATAAAAAAAAAAAAAATGGCCTATATTTAACAGGAAATATGCGTTAAAAGTATGAAGTTTAAGTACGAATTATAAATTCCAGAATTATTATTATGCCTAATTTTAGTCTAACAATGTATCATAAAAGTGATAAGCTTAACCCTTTCTCACTTCAAGCAATTCGATGGATTGAAAAAAAAGTTTAGAACTGCAATGCAAGATCACAACTCAAACAAACCAAAAAATAAAAAAAATCACTATGTTTATTTCATTAAAAGGAAAAAAACGGACATACACAAAACTTGATTACTGAGTAGATGGATAATAAATATTAACAGTGAAAACAAACATCTCATTTATCTGAATATCTGAATTTGAAAATCGAAATTAGTTAAGTACATAAATACATATGACAACGAAAAAACGATCTAATCTTTTGCATTATTGTCACACTTACAATTTCAAAAAAAGCACTGTAATCCTAGTAGGGAAAATATTTCAATATTCAGATATATCAAATCATGAAGTGTCAATGAAAGGTTTTGAAAAAAAAATTGAAATTTAAGATGACTTCCACTGCTCATTTGCTCAAGCTACAGTTGAAAGTGGAAAATAAATAACTGAAACAGTTTTTCAAAAATAATTTCCGATAGTTTTATTTGACATCTTTTTAACAAAAATGATTAATTAACAAGCAAAGTTAATATTTAAACAAAATATATGGGCATTTAATTTTAATTCATGAGAAATGATACGATTAAATGATCACACTGTATTCTTCTGATAATTGCGTTTCTTTTAAAAAAAAAGGAAATCCAACTATGACTTCCTGAATGAAGGACTTCCTCAATCTACTGATATTTTAAATACCAATGACGATAAATGAATAATTCAAATTACTGAATATTCTAAAAGCATTTCCTTCCGAGTTCAGATTAAGGGAAAGAGGAAGACAAAGTAGTTGCATTCGGAATGTTGACATCTCCATAACAGAAACAAACTTTAGTTCATTAAAAAATGGTCAATTACAAACTTTTTCTCTACTTATACTCCTTCCTTCCCAAACTTTTTCCTTTCACTTTACACTAAAATCCAACACATAGGGAAGAAGAAACCATGCACCATTATTTTTAAGCAGAAAAAAGGAAAGCAACAGAAGATAATAATAAGTGTGGAGTTCAATGAAGTTTTATGCGAATAAAAGGAGATAAAAAAGTAAATTTATAACCAGACAACAAAAAAAGAAAAAAAAAATTGTATTTATTCATAGCTGAAATGGATTTACATCCTGCTAACTTTTCAGGCTTCTTTACCGGGATGAATAATTATGTCAGTTTCTATCGCCTTAGCAAAAAAAGCAGCAACAAGTACATTCCATCTCATCTCAGAACAATTTGCCAAAAATGAGTCCAGACATAAGGGCAGCAAATGCGATCAATACCATCTAAAAATAATAACTTTAATGCGGATACACTTTCAAACTGCATGCAGAACCTTAGATGAAACATAATTAGAAAAAAACACAAGATTTTGAATTATAGGAATTGTTTTGAAAAACATCATAGCATAAAACCACTGACTAGCTGAGTAACTGAAGTGTCACCTTAGCTGTATCAGTGCACTGGTCTTCAGTGGTAACGGTTCGAAAACCACCACATTCCTCTGATTTTTGCACTAGGCAAGTCTATATATATATAAGCATAACAACTCACCTGAAAAACTGTAATTCCACTTTCTGATGTCTGATTACCCGTGACTTGAGGAATTGTCTCAAGTGCGGCAAGCCGAGCCTGAAATTAGAGACATATGATAAAATTTGCAACTGAGATAGATAGAAAACATATTTCCAGTAAGCTAAAATAAGAGTAGAATCATGAAATTTATTTTGCTAACCTTAAGGTTATTATTCTCCCTTTCCAAATTGGTCTTCGCAGCTTCCACTCTATTCTTCTCTTCAATTACGCGACGCACTTCGACATCCATATTCTGAATCATTCCAGTATATTTAAAAATACGAAAAATATTTAAGCAATATACTAAAAAGCAAAATTACTTCCATTTCATAAACTTGAATTCCGCAAAATTTAAAACAATAAATAATACCGCAGCATATCCACCAGCTGCAGATTTTGATTCTGGGGACATTCGAGGAGGCGTTTTGTCTCCTTCGCATTCCGTTGCAGAAGGATGCTCAAAGACCACTCGCAACTTTGAATCCATAAGTTCGGATGGCTGTACATTTTTCCAAATACTACCTGTATTTTTCCAAATATTATTTGTTTGTGAAATCATGCTAATCAGAATTATGCATCAAACTATCCACAAAATGCAAACACTCTAGCTGTCTGATCCAAGTGAAAATCCCACCAAAAACCTTACTGTTCCTAAACTCTGCAAGAACCTATGACATGAAGGCGCTCATACAGCGACTAAAGCTTCGATCCTGCGACGAACAGTGTCATACCTTGGGTTCCGTCTTATTCAGACGAGGCTGACCAGTCCGCCTCAGCCATTAGTCACCAAATCTAAATCATCGCGCACTTAACAGAACCGAACTCAAACATACTTAACTGCTAACTATTCCATGAACCACTACACCAAGCAACATCTCACCCCTGCTAAAAGAGCATCCAAGAAAACTGGAAGTGAAACTTAAACCTAAATTCTATCGACTACTTTTAAAAATACCTGAATTTAAATATATTCCAAATGTCATTTTTAAATTAAAACTGCCAAATGCTTTCAATGGAAATTTAGAACCAGTCCACTGAACCAAATCATCAAAAAGGACATTTAAGTATACCTAATGAGAGATCTCCTGGTGGTGCATAAACGCTTTGTATTAAGAATTTATGCTTTGTGTGCTCCATTTCTACATTACTGGATGCATCAAACGGCTGAAGCATAACTGCTACATTACATGTTTCGCCTGGATTGAGAACACCCGAGTTGGGACGAACGCAATATTGTTTCGGAGCTGTTGTCTTCACCTAAACAAATAAATTAAATTCCAAATCAATTTTTAATTCATAAAAAAGATCTGTTCTAATGTTTACAGGAAATGAAAGATTACTTTCCTACAATTTTGGAATAATACATTGTTTACTTTGACACACATATGCTACGGATGAATAAAATCTCCTATGAAACAGTGCTTCATGATTAGTCCTCGCTCATGCGAAAAAAGATGTGTCTCTCAACATTTGATAATATGTAAAACTAATGAAGTGTACATTACTCAAAAAAGCATCTTATACGATAAGAAAGACTTTAGAAATACAAATTACGAATGGATATGAGCAAAAAGAAAAACTAAAAAATTCCACCAAAAATTTATGAATAATTCTACACATGCATTTAAGAACAAAAACAAAATTTAAGCACCTTAAAGCAAACTTGACGCTCTGTAGGATTTGTCAACCTCATCTGACAAGTCACCACATCATTGAAAGGACCTGGAAAAGAAAATCATTAACATATTTTCTCCACATATTTGCTCTTTTTCTATCTTAAATCTTCTATCTACGATATAAAGACACTAACAGCTAGCAAAATATAACGTAACCACATGAAATCCAAACAAAGATTATACAACTCATCGTTCCTACGGTTTTTATGAAAAGAAGATATTCAAGTTGATTTTGTAAAAAATATGCTGCTCTAAATTAAAGCTTCATTTTGAGATCATGTAACTTGTAATAAAAGTTACCCGTCAATCAGCAAATCGGTACATCATGTAATATATTCCAGTCAAGGAAAAAAAAATTTAAGATCAAAATTTAAGAACAAAGAAATCAATAAACGGGAAAAAGAACCTTTAAAGACAAGTTCATTGGTCGGCTCAATCGAGAGCACTTGAGCAGTTCTCGACATTTTTGAGCCAGTTCTTGGAGAACAAAATTCCTAATCAACTACACCCCTAAAACTACATATAAAATTTTGAAAATTATTCACCTTGTAACACAGATATTAAGGCGAAAGGAAAAGTTCTACAAATAAAAAATGCAAAAAAAAGAAGAAACGAAAAACATAATATTCTTATTTTATAACAAAAAATGAACCAAATGTCATTATATTACGACAAAGACCTATTCAAATCAGATCTTTAAAAATGGAAACTCACTCCAGATGATGCAAGTTAAATTAAATAATTCCGACTTTAAAATGTATAATAAGCAAATCTTAACACTGTTGGCATTCTACTAATCAAATTGATATTTACGATAAAAAAAATTTTAAAACAAACAAACTTGCACCGCACAGAACAATTTCTACCCAAATCATTTACAACAGCATATAAATGTTGTTGTAGAATGATTCATCAGAACATCAGAAAAACAATAACTGCAACGAAGAAAATAAAATAAAAGCTGGATATTTGAAAATTTGATGACTACATTTCCTAATACAAAGGTAGAATAAGAAATTTCACAAAATACAATTAAGAAGTACCACAGCTATGTGTAACAAATAACATAAATCGCCTATATTAGCCAACTTTAGTTTTCTATAATTATTATTAGTAACACAACTAATATTACTACTACTACTGTTAATAATGTTCTGGTGTCTCCCTGAGACAGAAATATAAACATACTTCCGATATGAAGTCGAAAAACTCATATTTTTTCAAAATTTTTATTTCCTTTTTCTTCAAAGTATGACGCCATCCAGACGACAATTTATGAAGCGGAAGGAAATTTCTTGTAAAAGAAAATAGACAATGTTACGATGTGAATGTATGTTGTATTAATTCTTCTCGTCTTATGTGCAATTTTCCCATTCCTTTATTCGTCATTTCAGAACAACCCGATCACTCTACAATTTTATATTTCATAAGTGCTACAGTTAAATAAGCTGTGAAGTAATGCAGAGAGCTGATAATAGATTGCACATAATATAGAGTTTTGGAACATATTTTAGGGTTTATATGCCTGATAAGCATTTGTTTAAATGATATCCAGAAATACTAGCTTAATTAGCTGAACAAAAGGAAATGATACCTAAATTACTATCAGCAAGTTTGTACAATCAACAGGAAATGGGATACCTGAAAAATTTGCATAACAAGTGAATAAAACATAATTAATATTTGCAATAATTTCTTTACATCTATTATGCAAAATTCTGCTGGCAAAATTTTGCCTAAACCCTATTTTGCTATTTCATTCCTCTTAAAAATAACCAAATAGGCATAACAAAACAATTAGCGAGTAACAGTAATATAGTACAACTAATCTTAGTAACTTCCATACGCGACAACAACCAATCATTTGATAAAAGAAATACAAAAGCATAAATATTGTGCTTTTCGGAAGGAAATACATAAAAGAATTCTAACAATATCTAAAAATTTGAAATAAAAATTAACCAATTACGAATAAAAGCTATGAGTTCGAATAATTCTCATAGAGACGCAACATGGGGCACAACCATTAATGATAACTTTCACCACTTTAATCAATTTCAAATTGCTGCATCAAATTTCCATCATTAACTGTTTGCTAACGTAATGCAGTGAATTCGTCAAACAAATTAGATTTGAAATAATTATGTCCCAAATGATACACTATATTTCGAATATTGCTTGAGCAAAAGGAAATATCTTTCTTTCCTAATTTACTACTAATGATAATAAACCCTAATTATGCGCCAACATTTAAGCCATTCCAAACTATCAAAACTTATAAACTGTTGTAAAGGCTACCATTTGAGAAAGAAACATTTAATTCACTTCCGAAATCTATTACACAAACACACACACGTACCGACACATACATACCAACGTAAACACATGAACTCACACAAACACACATGCACATGCACACACACATACACATACGTACTTCATACAAATATACACACACACAGGTATATACAAATAACATACAAAATAAGTCTAAACAAATAATCAATTGAGGGTAAACGTTTGGAAAATAGTTAACATGTTTATGGTGGACATGAGAGAGTGTCAGACGGCAGGGTGTCGCGAAACATTTGTGACGAGTCAGGACTCTGAAGATGGGCGATGGTTGAGTGAATGAGGTAGGAGATGGGATTCCTGACGGAATGGTAAACTTTTTGATTCCGCACGGAGTGAGTCATCACACTATCAGACATAAATTCATCCAATGAGCCACACATCATCCACTCATCCGCCGTCGCACAGAAAACAAAACAACACGATTATCTCTCAACAAAATGAAACATTTTGAGGGTTCGTTGCAAGACTCTTTTGAATATTGTAGCTCAATAATTGTTCAAATCCACCATCTGCACGTACGCTTACGGAAATTTATTGATTTTATACATCATCAGTTTACGTGTTCTTCCACTTGATACGACGGACAAATTCCACGTAGTTATGCGTAAACCTCGAAAACGCTATTATACAAATGCGCATACACACACACACACACAAATTTACCTTCAATCTAACTGTGTATAATGCAATTTAGGCCAAAATATATTCGCCCAGCCATGCATATATTTATTCAATAATTTAAAATAGTAATTGAAATTGTTTGAAATGAACAAATTTCTTCGCTTCTCGTTATCAACTTTAATCTATGATAATATGCTAAAATGAACTGATATATCACTAATCATTGATAATAAAATAATATATGCTTCAATGAAATGAAATAAAATTAAAAGATATAATAAGAAATTGTATCAGATATATATGTTTCTTTTTATAATAATATTTTATCGAATATTTATTTACTGCAAATTTATTTAAAATAAAAATGTTTTAAAGAAAAAGAAGTGTCTTTTACAACTTTAGCATTGCTAATGAAAAGAAAATTTCTTATCAAAGTTTCTTTCTTTTCTTATCATTGATTATCTTTTGCTTCTCGCAATCATATATGCATTGTGTGCAACACAATCGACATTAAAAATGAATAATTTTATACCATTTATTACGATATGCAAATGATATTAATAAATAAAAAAAAAGTTAGCAATGCGTTTTAATTAAATTCAATCAAAAATTTAGACATTTTATTTAAAAGTGATAATTTAATAAAAAAATTTTCAAGAAATGATATGAAATATTTGTAAAATGATAGAAAATTTTACTTTCTTGTTTTTTTCTTTTTTTTTTTTTGATGATATTTTTTGATCTTCGAAAAGAATTTGTATAAGTTTTTTTTTTTTATGTCTCAACTCTCATTTACAAATAAGAAAAAGATTAATCTATAAATTCTTAACTAATAATAAACTTATAAAAGCTTTTTAAAAATTCTTCATTAATAATAAAAAAAAAAGATTAATCAATAAATAATAAACTTATTAGCATATTTCAGAAAAAAAGAAAGTTAAATTTAAAAAAAAAAAAGTTAAATTAACCATTAAATTCTGTGTAATATCAAAACTTTCGCATTGCCTTTCATTTATTTAAACTATAAGTTTATTTATTTTGATTACATCAAATGAATACATTTTATTTTTATTTTAAAGTTTAAATTCAATGCATAAAATTTTATATGAAAATTGCATTGTAATATGCTAAACAGAAAAACTTCTTGTAAATATGCAAATCATTTTGATGAAAAAATTTTTTACGAATTACAAAATTAATTTTGTTAATTTTATGAATTTTAATTAATTTAGTAAAAAAATTTCACGTGGATAAAATTCGACATTCTTGCAAAATTTTCCATTCAGTTCTATTAATCCATAATGCAAAATATCTGAAATATCATATGATATTAATTTTGTTAATAAGTTTATTTTTTACTAAAAATTTTAAAATTAATATGAATTAATTTCTTTTTTTAAAAAAAAGAAAAAAGCATAATGAATAAATTTTTAGAATTACTATAAGTTAATTTGTTAGCAAACTATAATGAACTAATAATGGAATTACAATTAATAATTCTAATTTCACTTTCATTTAATTATCATTTAACTGAAGATAAAATTAACAAACAAAAAAAGAAAAAAAAAATATTATTAATGTAAACTTAAACGAGTATAGCTAAAATAATTAAAATTAAAAAAATTTATAATAGTAGAAGTGAAATTTTTTGCTTGTTTCTTTAAAAATTTCCACTTTTTTGCATAATTCATTTCGTCTTATTTTTGCTTCTTAGTTAAATTTTTTGTTTGAGAATGAAAAAATTACATCAAAATGAATGGATTTCTAAATTCCAAAATGTTAATGATCATTTTATCCTCCCATACCTCGTAGGTTTGTAATTTCAGGAAGAATTATACGATTATAGGATTGTAATTTCAGGTCGAATTATACTTTGTACAGTTGTAATTTCAAATAGAAAAACATTTCATTGAACTGTAATTTTTAGTAAAAAAATATTTATGGAATTGTAATTTCGGGCCGGATTGCGCTTTGTAGGATTGTAATTTCAGGTAAAAAAATATTTTATAAAATTGTAATTTTAATTTCAGGTAAAAGAAAATTTTACCTTCCTTCGGTGAAATTTTTCTTACTCTTTTGCATTTTATATTTGCCACGTTCCAAAACAATAAATGGACTTAATGCATGCAATTCGGTAATACAACGTTTTTGCGGTAATAAACGTAGTTTTTTCATCGTTTCATAATATACTTGCAATGCTATAATACTAATTTAATTTTTTTTTTTTTTTTGTAAAAAATACTAATTTTCAAACTAAATTAAAATAAAATATTATTAATGAATTCAGAAATTAAGCAAATATAATTGTTATCATATGAATTTATGCCACTATTTTAATGAAAATTCTGTTATTAAAACTTTTTTTGCATAATTTTTTGAATAGATCAAAATAATCTAATCATTTCTTTTTTTATTATTGAATTTGAAAAGTATTTCATTGGTTAGCAAAATGAAAAAGTAAAAAGAAAAAATGCTATAAATAAATTTAACAATAACAACTATTGATACTTAACAAATTTTTTTTCTAAAGATTAAGAAGAATCAATTTATTTTACTCATTTTTTTTTTTTTTTTTTGATAATTACAATTATATTTTGATTTGTTATAATATTGTATAATTTGATTTATATGAAGAATAAGGAGATATCTTGGATAATATTCAAAAATATATCAAATTCATTTTTAAGTTTTTACTTTTTTCCATTTCAAATTATCATCAATAAATTTTTAAACCAGATGTTCTTCATCTAATTTGCTGTTATTATCTAAATGCATTATGCTAGAAATAAACTAATTAGTTTAAAAGTTAAAGCATTTCCTGGTAATTAAATGAAATTTAAAATGAATATACCACCAAGTCCGCGACATATTGGTGTTTGCGGTTCAATCAATTCAATGTCATTATCATACATTGATAAAATACCATCCAAATCACCATCAGTACAATAATTATCAAGCTAAAATAATGAAAAACATTTTCTTTTCTTTTTCTTATATTTTTCAATTTTCTTTTTTTTTTTTTTTAATTGATATTTTTGCAAAAAAAGTTTCAACGATTGTACTACACACTAAACTGTAATAGAATTATAAAAATAAATTAATGAATGTATGGGTGTATTTCAGGTATTTAAAATATTATACAATTCATAATTAAGGGAAAAGTTAAAAGTATCATTTCAATAAGCTATGAAAAGTAATAATTAAAATATTATAAGTAAATTAGAATGGAATTTAAAAGAAAAAAAAAAGAAATTCACTTTTTATCAAATAATTACTTACCAATTTAGAATTATCTTGAATAGCCTTATGTGACTGTTCAACAATATATTGTGTCCTTGATAATGAATTCAGAAACAGTTGTTGTTTGCCAATATCAATATTAAATTTCGAGAAAGAGCCAACTTCACGGTCCATGAATAAATGAAATGAAATGAAATGAAATGGTGTGAACAGTTGTTGTTTGGCTTTATCTGATAAATGATCACATTTTAAAATGATTATTGTAATATCAATAACAATCCATCCTTCATCTTCTCGTCTTCTTTTAATCATAATAATAACAGCAACAAAATAATAATAATAATAATAATCAATAATGATAACAATAATAATAGGAATAATAATCAATAATAATAAGAAGAAGAATAAAAATCAATAATAATGATAATAATAACAATAATAATAATAGTAATAATAATAATAATAATAATAGAGCAGTAACATAAAAATAATGATAATAATAATAAATAAATAAGTAATACCTCTAACAAATCGATTTGTTAAATGCATATGGTTAAAAATTTGAAAGATTCATTTATGATCATCTCTAAGAATAAGATAAAAGTCAAAGATAGAGTTACACTTTAAAAATATATCAATTTCAAATCATATCATCAGCAAGTTGACACCATCACGTTTTTTAAAAAATTCCTTGCATTATTTTTATGTTACTGCTACTTCTCCTGCTGCTATTATTGTTATTGTTGTTTGTTATTGTTATTTCTATTGTTTGTTTGTTTTTTTTCTTTTTTTGTTATTGTTAAATATTGAAATGATTGGATGAGTTAAATGATAATTTAGTAATAATTATCAAATTTTTGATCATTTATCGCACTATGCTAGATGTGATTAATTTCAATGGAATTTCTCAATTGAAATTATTATTTTGATTCAAATCATTTCTGATTGATTCATAGCAAAAAGATTGTAATATTCTGAAATGTGAAACAATGCATTCATTTGAAGATAATAAGTAGAAATGCAAAAATAATAGCTAAGCTAAGAAGAATTGATTGAAATAATCAAATATCTGTCGTAATTTATTTATATATTTATGTATATATAATAGTATTTTAAAATGTGGTGATACTAATATTAGAATTTGCATTGCATATAAAGCAAAAATGAGAAAACAAAAATATTTTTGATTTATTTATAGAAAGAAAAGAAGGATTTTTTTTTTTTTTTTATAAGTTAAAAATTCATTTTAAATTACAAATCTCATTTTATAAATTAATAATTTTTCATTAAATTTGTAAAAATTTCATAGGAAAATAAATGAATGATTAAAAAGGAAAAAATTATGGAACATTTTATATCCATTCGATGTATCTTATTTTTATGTTAAAATTTGTTATAAATGACTTTTCGTTCTATCTTTTAAATAAAATATTTTTGTTGAAAAAATGATTTCTAAATGTGTTCGTTACATTTTCACTTTTTTTTCAAAAAGAAAAAAAGTGAAAATTTAAATGAAATCGCAGAAGAAATTTTACTAAAAAGAAAGAAAAAAAAAAATAAATCGGTCAGTTTAACTTAAAAGGAAGTCTTTGTCCCTTTCACTTTTTTTTTTTTTTTTTTTTTTGTTACCATTGTGCATAAAATGTAATTTTAATTTGTAATTTCTCTCTCAAAAGCTTTTTTTTGAACAAAAAAAAAAAAAATGAATAAACGAAAATTACTTCTATGACAACCACTTACTTTTATAATCTCTCTCACATTACTTCTATGATCCAACATTCTTAAAAAAAAAAAAGTTTTTTTTTTTTTTTTTCATTAAGATATTACTTGATATTAGTTTTAGCAATCAAATAGATTTTTAGACAAATAAAAATAAATACATTTGCTGTTTTATCATTTAATTTTATTCCATTCAACAATTAAATTCATAATTTGAGAATTTAAGTAACGTTTTAAAATTATTTATTTATTCATTATTTATATTGTTTGTTTTAGTAGCACTTTTTTTGTACTTCAAAATTTAAATCTGCTAGTAATGATTGTAAAATGATTAATTTTATGTTGAAAGATCATAAATAATTTGTTATATACTGTTTCTTCTTAATTAATTAGCAACATAGAACTTGTATAAGCTTAATAAAAATTAAAAATTATTTATTTAAAATTGAAAAAGAAGAAAAAATACTACACATATATTATATACTTTCGCAAATTTTTGCTATCATATAGATAGCAATCGACTAAATTAAACTATATTGTAATTTAATTATGTTATATCTTATATAAATATATATTATTATGCAATTCTTTGATAATAATTATTATAGATTATTTCGAAAAAAAAAAAAAAAAAAAAACCGAAAAACTGGAATTATAATATAATATGTTAAAATAATTTTGTATTAAATCTATTAAATGCAAATTTCTCGATGGAAGATTAAAGATTGTCACATTTAAAATTCTTTAGACAGTTGTAAAACTATTTCAATTTAATACTGCAAATGTTGAAAGCACTTATCCAAATACTTATCTTTCAATTATACCTGAGCTTATGTCAGTTATTTAGAATAGTTCTAACCTGTAAACAAAGTATGTGCATTGCTTAATGTGTTGATAATTGCTTCTAATTTTATTGTTAATAATTTAAATTCTTAAAGTCCATTGTTAAAAGTTTATTAATTCTTCCTTCATTTTTAAAAAAAAAAAAAAAATTGTAAAGGGTAAAGATCATTCATTTGATAGTGACAATTTAATCATTGCTTATTGTTAACAATTCGTTTTGGTTGTATGCCTAATGTTTACTATTTAAGAAATTTAACCTTTATTGTTTAAGGTTAATTTTTTAGCAATAATAAATTTCAATTTAACTAATCTTTCATATTCATTCAAAAAAAAGTTTTTTTTTTTTTTTTTACTTATTTTTGCATTCATTTATTTTTTCCATTTTATCAATATAGCTCATAGTTAATACATACATATAACAATGAAATTATTCGAGAGTAAAATTATCAATCGAGAATAAAATTTTATTCTATTAATATTAATGTTACAATCATTTCAATTACACTAAATATTCATTTGTATCAAAAAATTTTTTCCAAATCATAAAAATTTCCCTTACAAATCCCTATAAATTATCAATCGATCAATTAATAAATTAAATTCTATCGCAATTAATTGTAAATGCTGCCAAATGATTGATCCAAATAATTGCAATCAAATGTTAAACATTTTGTAATATTTGATTAGCAAAAATTTGTAGTACCAACAAGTTATCTATATCATTGTAAATAAGAATGAGAATAAAAATATGTATCATTTTGTAGCTTGATTATTTCACACTACAATTGTTTGATATTTATAGGAACACATTTTATCTTATCATTAACTGATATGGTACTAAATAAGATAAATAGAAAAAAAAAAAACTTATCAAAAATAATGATAATATATCAAAATAATCATTCTTAACGTACGACTTAAAATTACAATGCATAATGTCTTTTTTTTTTTCACATTCCATTTAGCTAAATAATATTTTAAAACAATAATTTTCCTTCAAAAAAAAAAAAAAAAAAACCTGAAAAAAATGAGAAAGATTAAAAATCAAAAAGAAAAAAACTAAATTATTCAAACATATTCGAAAAAATTTGTAATTTTTCCAAATTCATTTTCATTTTTTTTTTTTTTTTCATTTAATTTTTTTTTTTTTAAAATTTATTTCAGTTTTTCTGATTTATTTTATTTGTTTTTGTAATTTTCTCATTAAAACTTTTGAACACAACGTGTGACTAACCTTTAATGAGCTTATTCATAAATTTTATTTCTTCAAGAAAGTTTAATAATAATAATAAATAATAATATTAGTATTACTAATAATAATAAAGGAAAATGAATTGCTATTTAAAAGTAATCTAAGCAAATAATCCAGCAAAAGATGATAATAGTAATAATATGAAATAAGAGTTTTCAAATGAATAAAATTAATCAGAATTCATTTATTATTATTAATATTAATATTGTTATAATTACTTGTTATTATTATTTCTTTTTTTGTAATTAAAAAAAATCAAAAAATTATTTTTTGTGTTTATCAAAAAATTACACTTATCTATTATCAATCAATATAAAAACACCTTTTAGAATCTTTATACAAATTATATATGCCAATAATTTAATTACTATTACGAGTAAAATTTTCAATGAATAAAAAATTTTTATTGATTAAATAACAAAGGAATTAAAATTATAAAAACTTAATACATTGCAAAATTGTGAAAAGCCAAAAAAAAAACTAAAACTTACACTTTTTTTTTAAATAATAATAAAAACATATGCTAAAAATATATGTAATGAAGCACTAATATGTAATAAATAAACAAATAATTAAAAGATATTTTCAAAAGGAATTAATAATATTAATTAAATGAGTAAAATCATTATTTAAACTAATATATTATATTATATTAATAAAAACGTTTATTAGAAAAAAAATAATAATACTTTTTAATGACAATAATAGTAACAATATTTGTCAGTAATAATTAACACCATGTTTTTTGATATTAATATGGCAATAAAGATAATTAGTAATAATAATAATAACATTTGATTATAATAATAAATAATAAAAATTTTTTGATAATAATAAAAATACATGTTAGAAAAAAAAAATAATTTTTAATAACAATAGCAATAAGATAATTAATAATAATAATAATATTTGATTATAATAATAAATAATAATTATTATTTGATAATAATAAAAATATATGTTAAAAAAAAAATAAATTTTTTGTGAAACATTTATTAAATTAATACACCAATCAATTCTCTCAATAATAGTAAATCAAAGTATCACATTTTGCTACTTTATTTGTTTATTGTAAGTATTAATTAATTACTCGCTGTGTTTCTGTTTGTTTATCTAAAGTATTAATTAATTGATTTTGTTTTCTATTTTTCAACAGCAACAAACAGAGATGCTAAATGTTAAATAAATAATTCAAATATTTTTACTACGAAAAGTAGAAAAAAAAAAATGACAAAAAAGCAAAAAAGACAAAGAGATAAAGAAAAAAAAAAGCAAAAATAAAAACAAACAAATAATGAACGAATTTTTCTTAAAAATTTTATTGTTTAAAATTAATTTAAAAAACGAAACTTTTTTTTTTCAAATGAAAAATTAATCTTTTAAGTATAATATTTGAAAATTTTAATGTGTTATGTTTTTATTTTTTCATTTGTTTAAATTTTTTTGCTTAATTGAGTATAAATTCACTTAAAATTTATACATTATTTCCTACATAATTCATATCGCTTTTTTTCTTTTTTTTTTTAAAAAAAAAAGTTTTCTGACAACAAATATTGCAATTTATTTTGAATGAATAACTTTTAAAGTACTTAATTAACTAACTGGCTAATTAATTAATTAATTAATAATTGTTGTAAATAATTGAATAGATTTTTTAAAACTAATAATAAACTAAAAAGACGATGAGAAGAAGTGAAGATGAGAAAGCTGTTTGTTTCATTCAATCAGTTTAAGTAGAAAATTAGCACTTGCAAAAAAAAAAAAACTTTTTTTTCTTTTTTGTTTTGCTTTACTTCTTTTGTTTTTTGTATTTTATTTGTTGTCTTTTCTTTTTTTTTTTTTCAAAATGAAATGAAACAAATGAAATTAATATTTTAAAATTAAATTTATTTAAAAGAATATTTATAATAATTATATTTTTTTTATTTTTCTTTACTTCTGATTGATGTTTATTAATTTTTTTTTTCTTTTTATTCTTTATTTTTATGTGAGGGAGAAAAAAGTGAAATTTTGTAGTTTTATATTATTTTGTCTAACATTAACATGTATTTGTTAAAATTTCAACATTTTTTTTTTCTTTTTTTTGGTTTTTTTTCCTTCATTTTTTTCTTACATTTTTTTTTTATTTTTTATGCTTAAAATTCTCATTGTTCAATTTTTGATTTTGTATTGAAATAAATAAAATAGAATTGAAATTAGGCCTAATTACTTTATTCGTCCAAATAATCAATCAGCGTTTTAAGAAATTTGAAAAAGACATACAAATGATTTAGATTTTTTGGATAGCAATTAAAAACATTCTTGCAAACATTTTTTTTATTACTAAACAAATATTTTATATGTTTCAAAAAAAAAATTTTTCATTTAATAAGTTAAATCGTTTTTTTTTTTTTTTTTTGTTAAACGCATATAGCTATAATTAATACATAAATTTATCAGTAATACTTAATACTTCAATCTTTACAATTAAAATTTAAATTTATCAGCAAATCTAAATTAATCATTTATTTATTTATTTGTTTTGTTTAAAACAATGAATTAATTTTAAAAAAAAAGATGAAAAAGAAAACAGAAATATTAATATATAAATTAGATATATTAATTGGATATAATCATATTAAACTTTTATTTACATGCTTTCTGATTAATAGATAAATTAAAATTGTGTTAAATTTTATTCTTTTTTTTTGTATGTAAAATTAAATATAATTATATTGAGTTTTATCTTTTTTTTTTAATCTTTTATTTTTGTTTTTTTAAAAAATTTATTTTAAAATGTAAACATACACTGTAGCATTTATTAGTCATTTACAATATGAGCTAACTGAACTAAATAACTAAATCATCTGTTAAATTTCATTTTTCCCATTTGAAAGGTTTGCCAAAAAAAAAAAAAAAAAGGAAAAAAAAATTAGCCAAACCATTTGTCATAGACAACTGTGTTTTAGTTAATTATTTTTTAATTTTTATTTTTTTTTCCGGTTATTTGTTTATTCATTTCTGTTTGAAGCAATATAAACGATTGAAAAAAAAAAATGAATAAAATTGAATAAAAACAATTATTTTACATTATTTTTTTTTCATTTTTCTTTTTCAACCTTATAAAAATAAAGTTTCGTTCTTTTTTTTTTTTTTGTTTATTAAAAATAGTAAAAATGTTTTATTTGAAATGAAATAAACAGATGACTATCTATTAATTACTCAATCTGTTGTTATCATATATCTTGGTAATATCGAAATATTAATTATGGCAAATAAAATTAGATTATCAATTCTGGTCATTCAATATTAAATTATTTATATTGTTTTATATGTAAGTTTCATGAAAAAATTTACAAATAACAAATTTGCTTGAAGAAATTTTAGCAAAATTTATTAGATAATTGAAATTTTAATTCTATTTCAAACATTCATTTTTCTATGAATGAAATATTTTTTTCATTCAAAAAATGTTAATTAATTTTAGTGTGTTTTTTTTTTACAATTTCATAAATTAATTTCAGTATTAATAGCATTAATAAATGAGTACTAGCATGTTTACAGTAAATAATATTGTTATATGTATTTAAGAATTGTCAGAGTATGTATACAATTTTAATCTTTCTAATATCTAATAATAATTTAATTTTAAATTATTATTTAGCCTAGTTGGTACAAATTTTTTGCATAGTTTTAAATTTATTAAAATAAAAAATATGCATAAAATTACTTTCAGGGAATTTTGAAAGTTTTTGAAGTACAAAAATAACTTACACAATAGAAATCAATGAAAATTAATCATTGCAAAGTGTTACTGATAGTTAATTACTGGTTACTTTGCTAATAGCATCAAACTATTTTGAAGTCTTCCATTTTTCTCTCTCTCTCTCTCTCTCTCTCTCTTTCCTCCTTTCCTTCTTAATCGTTTTATCACTATTATTATGATTATTATTATTCATTATTATTATTATCACTATTATTATATTATTATTATTTATATTACAATTATTATTATTATTATTATTAATAATATTATTATTGTTATCACCATTACTGTCATTATTACTACTGTTATTGCTATCATTATTATTATTATTGTTGTTATTATTATTACTATTATTTTTATTATTATTTTTACTATCATTACCATTACTATCATTTATTGATGGATTGTCACAAAGAGTAATAAGTCATAAATAAATAATAATAATAATGGAACTTTAATAAATACTGACAATTTCCTGTTATCATATTATCAGTGATTATTTCTGATATGCATTGGTGTTCTGAAAATTGAAGCATAAAGGAGAGATCTCATCATTTTTTTACAAAACAAGAAGAAATGCATTAATTATTGTTATCAAGTTATATAATCATTTTTCATTTTCATGATAACAATGTATAACAATGACTTATTGTGATAAGAAATATCAATGATAAATAATGTTGAATGTGAAATAATCATTATCGATGAATGAAAATTAATATGCTGTAAAAACTTTGGTAACGAAATAATAAACCATAATTTATTGTGATAAAAAATTAAATCATAATTTATGGATGAAGGAGTAAATCATATTATTGTGATAAGAACGAATAATGAATTATCACTGTAAAAAATTAATTAGCAAAGATGATAAAGTTGGAATTAAGCGAAATTAATCACAATTAATTATGATAAGTAATTGCACATATTAATAAAATGTCATTTGCTATGTTTTTATTCTTTTAATATGAAAAAAAAAAAAAAAAATTAGCATATTTTTTCATAAAATAGTAATAATTAGACACAATAATAATTAATAAATTAGTCATAAAATACAATGGCACATTTCAATTTTACATTTTAACACAATCAAAATACAATAATTTGAGTGAAAAAATTTTCATATTTTAAAGAAACTTTAATTTCGAAGAAAGAAATTTCAATTTCAACTTTAATTATAAAAGATAAACAAAAAAAAAAAGCAAAAAAGAAAAAAAAAACTTTTCCAAAAAAGGAAAAAAACTAAAATTATTTTGAAATTTGTTTTTTTATCTTAGTATAATTAACATATTAATGAGACAATTTAAACATAAGAGTAATTACTGTACAAGTGGTACGGTAATGGCAAAGGTAAAAGAGCATGCATAAATGGTAGCAAAGGTTGCTGAGGAAATTCTGGTCGTAAAATTGATTCGATTGTAAATGATTTCTTAATTGGTTTTGGTGTACTAATTGGACTATCATCGGAGCATTCATCCTCATTTACCATTAAACCCATATGACGTCGTACCTGAAATTTTTCACTTTTTTTTTAAAAAAAAATAAAATTTAAATGAAAATTTGATAATATATTTTGTATTATTTAGTTAATTACATGAAGTAAAAAAGGATAGAAAAGGAAAACTTTTCCTAATAATATATTATCAGTTATATTGCTAAAAAAAATTGATAATTAGTGATAATATTATCATTAATGAATTATATAAAAAATTAGTGATAATATCATTAATGAATTATATAAAATATCATTATAGTTTTAAAATTAATGATATAAATTTCATATAAAGTAAAGTGAAATTAATTCAATGATTGGATGAATATATAAATGATCGAATATTTTTAATCATGATTCTTTTTAATCTTTAAATTGACTAAATTTACTTTAGCTAGCATTATTATTATTATTATCAAACATATATAATTCATTGGCAATTGAGAAAATTCACTTTATCTGATTTTAATAACTGATAGCAAAATTTGTTCAGCCAGAATTTTTATTATTAAATCTAAAAGGTATTTTATTAAAAAATTGAAATTGTTAATCTCAACTAATATTTAGGCCATGAAATTCATTTTTTATCTTTGTTAAATTTTCAGAAAGGTTTATCACAGTTAGATGATTGCCCAAATTTTCTAAATCTGATATGAAACTGATAACCAACTGATAACATATCTTTTTCAGCTTATGAAATTTCCATTTTTCTAACATTTCATTTTATTTCATTTAAATAAATTTTACAAATGTTTCATGCATGCCTTTTATCATATTTTATCTCAAAATAATTTTGCACAACTATTTCCCAATATTTCATAACTTTTATTTAAAAAATAATATATTACTATTAGTAATCAATAAGTGATCAATTTTTGATTGTAAGTTTCAAAAGAAACAAATAAATAAATACGAATAATTTATAAACCTTTCGTTGTGCTCGACGTCTTCGAAAGTCGCCCCTTTTGAAATCATCCAAATTTGCTGGATGGATTGCCCAATAATGTCCCTTTAAAACAGAAAAAAACAAAAAAAAAAAAAAAAAAAAAAAAGAAAGAAAAAAGCTAGAAAAATGAAATGAAAAAGAAAAAAAATTGAAATACGAAATAAAAAAGATGAAAATTTCAATTTTAAAATTATTACAAACATTAAATATAACGCAGTAAAATTCTATTATTGTTTACTTTCAATAAATCCAAACTTTTTGATACCATAATACTGTAAACGCTACTCAAACTGAGGTAATTGATATTTTTTCTTTTTGAAATAAGTATAATTTTTCAACCGACTTTTTTTTTTCTTTTGTTGTTTTTTTTTTTTTTTTACCTTTCCATTTGCTGATCGTCCAGCTTTAATGAAGCAATCATTTAAGCTTAAATTATGTCTGATTGAATTTCGCCAACCAACAGAACGTGTTCGAAAATATGGATAATTGTCGGTAATCCATTGGTAAACCTCAGAAAGTACCATTTTTTGCTCCCGTGAACTTAGAATTGCCATTGCAATAAGGCCAATATAGGATGGTTGAGATTTTGGCTGACGAATATCATACTGCTGTTGTTGTTGATCTTGTTGTTCTTGTTCTTGCTTACATTGCTGTTGTTGTTGTTGTTGTTGTTGCTGCTGTTGATTTTGCTTGTGTTGTTGTTGTTGTAGATAATAATGATGTTGATGATTATGATAAGGATGAAGATGGTGATGATAATGATGACGATGATGTTGATGATGATGATGGTGATGATGATGATGATAAAATGATTTTTTTTCTACTTTTGGTGATAAAATTGATCTCGAATATGGTAAAAAATCAGCAAAGCCAAATAAATCCATCCTTTGAAATTTCGTTAAATTCATCCAAATATTCACGTCCAAAATATTTCTCGATATGACTTTTATTTAGTAATAATAAAAATTATTTGGTAACAGTAATAATAATAATAATAATGATAATAATAAAATGATAATAATCAATCAAATCAATATATTATACTTACTGTAATAGTTTTTTACCCAATAAATGATTCCGTAAATATAATTATTGAATAATTTACTACAGTAATATGTTAGAAATTTGAAAATGTTAATTTTTGTTTATTATAAAAAAAACTTAAAACTTAAGTTTTTTTATATATATCATATATATCATTTTTTCAGAAACAAATGCTGGATTTAGACAAAAAAAAACATAAATATTTGTTTTTGTTTTTTTTATTTTAAAATAAATGATCCAGAAGAATAGTAAACAACTGAATTAATTACCAGTAAGAGAGAGAAAGGACTGATGAAGAAAAATGTTGTCAATACACTTTCAGATAATATCCGAATATGTGTGCGCCTCTTGTTTACCGATCATGTTGCTGTTGTTGTTGTTTGTTTGTTTGTTGTTGTTATTGCTGTTGACAGCGATAATGACAATGATAGTGATGATGACGGTGATGATGTTGATAGATGATGACGATGATAATGATAATGAAAGAATAGAAAGTTCGAAGGGCGGAGCTCAAGTTATGGGACAGAGTAAGATTTTGCCATACAACGAATCGAATCAGACTAGATTTAAGACAATAAATAGTAATTATGATTATAAAGGAATGATTAAAGATTTAATTGATTACTTTAATAATTAATTTCAATTATGTAAGTAAAACAATCTTTCTGTCTTTTTTTTCTTATAATTTAACAATAACTTTTAATTTTATGATATTATAAGGTTTAAAAATAATTCGTTTACCACATTTGATTTATATTTCTAAATTTTTGCAAATCCAATGGAAAATACAAAAGGAAAAAAAAAATGAAATATTAAAATTGAAGTTAAAACTATAATTAGATATTTTTATGAAATTATGATGAATAAAAGATTAGTTGTATTATAGAATGCATTCAAGTTTGATCAAAAATCATTGAAATGTTTTTTTTTCTTTTTAAAGAGTTAAATAAATTTAGAAATAGTTAAAATTTAGCAAATACTCATTTGTTACTTTATTTTAAAAAATAAATATGAAAAATTGTTTGTGTTACATAAAATTTTTCAAAAATATTAAAAATTAAAAAAAACTATTTCCTCAACAAATTTCATTAATTAATTTACGAATATCAAATTTTCATTATTGAATTAATTAAATTTCTCAAACAACAAAGTTTTTTCATCCGTTCACTTTTCTTTCTTTGTTGTTTTTAATTTCAGTTTCTGATTTTTTAATTCTGATGAATTTTTGAATGACAGTAATAATTAATAAAGATAACGATAGTAATAATCATAATGATAATAATAATGCTAAATATTAGTAATAATAATAACAGTGATAATAATTGAGTTAAGAGGTTAAAGGTCAGCAGGATCTCAGTCTAATGCTAAAAAAATCTAAAATCTAATCATTTTTTTATTTACAACATTAATTCAACTGTTTTTGCTAAAAATCCCATCAAATAAAAAATAAAAAAAAAAAACGCATTCTAAATAACAATTAATTTAATAATTGCAGCAATATAATAATAATTACATTAATAAAACTAATAATACTAAATAAAAAGATTAATAATTAGAAAAATAATAAAAAATTTTCATTCACTTTAATTTTTACTGAAAGCAAAAAGAAAAGTTATCAAACAATAATAAATATTCCTTCCGTAATTTCATTAAGTATTAAAATTAAAAAAAAAATTTTTTTATTTCTTACTACATTTTTTAATTATTTTTTGAAAAAATTTTGCTATAAAAATATAAACATTTGCAACAATTTGAAAATAAAAATCAATTAACCTTACCCTTTCTTTCCCATTCTTTTTTCCCATTCTCATCTACCCGTTTGCCATCCCTCTTCTACCCATGCTTGCCCGCCTCTCTATTATGAACTTGGAACATCAATTTTTACTAAATGGAATTGAATAAACATAGAACATTGAAATTAAATTCATTCATTCCTCTCTGTATAAGATAATGCTTTTCCTCTTCTCCTTCTTCTTCTTCTTCACAAATAAATGATTGCTTTATGAATCGTTATGCTAATTTGTCCTTCTAAACACTCTTATGCTTCTGTTTATTCCGGGCAACCATGGTAATTGGTTTGATTGAATTTTAAACATCATGTGTTTGGCTTAAAATAAGTTAAAAATTTATTGAATTTCTTCTTGTAAATTTTGTTCACAATTTTATTATTTGAATATTTATTTTTTTCCCCCCCCCCAAAAAAAAAAAAAAAAATAAATAAATAAATAAACAAAAAAAACAAAAAAAAAACAAAAATAAATAAAATGAAAACATTGTAAAATATTTTTTGCATCCTTTTATAATTGAATAATAACATCTTTTAATATACTGATTAAATTTTATCAATATCTGAAAAAAAAAATGTATAAATGATTAATTACTGGCTAGTTAAAAATTTTACATATTAAAAACTTTTTCATATTTTGATAATAATAACAATAATAATTTTTTCTTATTAATTAATATTAATCTCAAGTTTTACTGAAGAAATATATATATATATATATTGGCAATGTTTCTAAAAATTATAATTCTTTGCAAAAAAAATTTTTTTTTCAAAATATAAATTTTAGTTAATAAAGAAAAAAGTGAAAATAAGTATAATATTATAAGTATGTTTATATAATTTATAAGATAATCTATTTCTAATATGAATTTTTTCTCCAAATTTTTTTTTTTTTTAAATTTACAGAGGATGTAAATTCATTTGTAAACTTCTAATCAGATTAAAATTACAACTTTTTACCATTTATTTATACTATTTTACAACTTGCAATTCTTCCTTCTTTCTTTTCTCCTTTAGCTGCAATAAACTATAAGTAAAAATATGCTGAAATAATCTGTTCAATTGATTAATTTATATTCGATGCAAAAATTGAAATATTATCAGAAAGATTTTTAATTAACAACTAATTATCATTTCAATTCAAAAGTAATCAATCGTATTTATATAACAAAATAACAATTGTCTTCTCAATCAATCATTTTATCCAGAATATCTTATCAAAAATGATTAAATTTTCTAATATCAATCATTTCTTCTTTTTTTGATATCAAAAATTTCCGCCATTTTCTTTTATTAACTTTCTTATTTCTTATTTATCACTGCATTCACACAATTTCAAAAATAAAACAAATATTTTATAATTGAAATTAATCATTTTTTTTTCCTCTTTCGCTATTCATAAATTATAATTATTTTATTAGCAATTTATTTAATATATTCCAATGAAATACAAATAAGCATTGTAACGGAATCAATTTGAAAATTAAATATGAATGAATAGGTGATAATAACAAATACAACAATGAATTAGCTAGATAAATACATTAAGATTGCTCATTTTAATAATTTCTTTTCTTTAAAAAAAAACATTAATCTAAGATTAAACAAAAACTTTCTCAATCTTTTAATAAAACCTTTCTTTTTTCTTTTTTTTTTTTGTTTATTCTTCTATTCTCATCTTTCAATTATTATAATATGTGAAAATCATTTGCATATATTGGGACAACACTTGTCATTAAGAATGACATGATAATAGCAACAATGTGACAACAATGTTTGTCGCATGTTTGCCACCACAATATTATGACAATAGTAATAGTAATAGCAATAGTAATAATGATAACAATAATAACAATAATGATAATAATCATAACAATAGCAATAATAACAGTACTCCATTCATTATCAAACAATACAACAATGACCCAGAAACAAATGTCATATGACGCTTAACAAACAAACAAATAAAACAATATTTACTGTACAAATTAAACATATCATATTTGATGAATCAATAAAC